CACTTGAAACTGACAAATTGCCTGCGCAAAGATGGGCCCATGGGCTTCTTCAATGCTCTTAAGGCCCAACCTTAGAGTCCAAGAAAAATCAGTTAGCCCAAACCTTTTCCGATTACCATAACGATCCATTTTTTCCAGCCCATGCTGAGTCACCCACCCGGCTTCTCTAGAAGCAACTGGAATCAATTCAAACGCAGTCGTCTTCCTCCTCTCCGTTGTCTCCTCTCGCCTCCGCCATCGAATCTAACAGAACCTCCCCAATTCTCAACCATCCTCAACATGCTCCTGGGCCGTGCCGGGCCGGGCGGCCCGTTTAGCCATCTATACCTCCCACGGAAAAAGTACACCGAAGGTCCCTCAACTTGTAATCGAGTTACAAAATCGTCCCCTAACCACAAAACCAGATATATGACATCCCTCAACTCATAAAACCATTCGCTTTGACTCCGGTTTTGTCCGACGTGGAAGCTGCATGGGACCCACGTGGGCCCCACATATCAACGTGGCCACGTCACCCTCCTGCCTCCTCTCTCTTTTCCCTCTTCTCTCCCTTCCTCATCTCTCTCTCTCTCACACACACACTTCTCTGCAAGGCTGGCAGTGCGAGGGCGTCGGCAGCCGACGACAGGTGACGCAGCGGCGGGCCGACGACGGGCGACGCGGCGGCGGGCCAGCGATGGCGAGGACGCGACGATGGTTGCAGAGGCCGCATGCGTGGAGGAGGGCTTCGGCGGCCGGCGACTGGCGAAGCAGGAGAAGAGGAGGCGGCGGCGCACCGCGGGCAGTGGGCACAGGCGGCGGGGGGAGGACCGGCGTGCGGGCGGCGACAATAACCCACATATGCTAATTACACAGCCTAATCGAATATTTGAACACATGCATAAAGCATTAAATATAGATTAAAGAAAAACTAATTACACAGTTAAGGGAGAAATCGCGAGACAAATTTTTTAGCCTAATTAGTCTATGATTAGCTATAAGTACTACAGTAACCCACATGTGCTAATGACGGATTAATTGGGCTCAAAAAGATTCGTCTCGCGGTTTTCAGGCGAGTTATGAAATTAGTTTTTTCATTCGTGTCCGAAAACCCCATCCGACATTCGGTCAAACATCCCATGCGACACCCATTATTTTTAATGAAATGTACAAACATACTACCACTATCCGAAAATAAAAACGCCCTTCACCGAGGACGAAGCAAGCTCCCCGTGTACACGCCAACATGGACGCAATTGGCCTCCGCCGCCACGTCCGTTTGACCGCCGGTGTTCGGATCGTACACCCGCATCACGCCGCCGCGTGAACTGACACGGCGCTCCCACACCCAGAAGACGATCCTCCCGTCGTCGAGCACCACCACCGGCTCCGCGCGTTCTCCGTCCAACCGGAATGGCCGTCCGTGGTATGGCATGGTCACCGTGTACAGCTTCGACCAATGCTGCGGCCCCACCTTGCCGCCGTCGCCGGCGAGGAGGAACCACAGGTCCAGGGTGCCAGCTTGGTGGTCGTCTTGGGCCACCACCAAGGAGCCCCTCAGTGCGGCCAGGGAGACGCGGAGGCGGTTGTGGAAGGTCTCCGGCGGGCCGCCGACGAGTTCGGGTCGCCATTGCTCCGCCTCCACGTCGAACGCCGTGATCCAGTCGCCGCCGCCAGTCTCGCTGAGCAAGAATTCGTCGCGCAGCACGAAGTAGGCGACTCCGTCGACGACGGCCACGTACTTGTCCCACGTTTTGACGTTTCCAGGTGGGCTCTGCACCTCCCTTCACCGCGCGAGGCGGCCGCCGTTGACGCCGTCGCCGCCGAGGGCGAGGACCGAGCAAACCTGCCGCTCGCGCGGCTGCAGCGCTACGTCGTGGGTGATGCGAAGCACCTTGTAGTCCCCCGTCGACGCGGTCCGCACGAGCGTGAACGAGTAGTTGATGGGGTGGACCTCGTAGTCGGGGACGAGGGGAGCGGCGCCGGACGCCGGGTCGAGCACGCGGAGCAACAGGTTGTTGTCGACGAGGAGAGCCATGCCGCAACGCGTGGACGTCCACCACCTCCCTCCCGTAGGCGTTGAGGCGCCCGCGGACGGCGACGGCGAGGTGCGGGCCCGGGTGCCTTGCCGCGTGGGCGGCGACGAAGCTCGGGTCGGACAGCAGGGCGCACCACGGCCGGCACACGGCGCGAAGGCGGCAGAGCGGCCTCGCCGGGAGGCGCAGCAGTATGTCGTGGAGCAGGTCGACCGGCAGGACGCCGTCATTGCAGGTGGCGACCAGCGAAATGTTAATGCCGTTTTCACCGTCGTTAACCCGTGGCCTTTCCATCGCGGAGGCAATATTGCTGACAGCGTGCTGCGTTTAATTTCTTCTGAAACGGAGCTTGACTTATGAGTAGAAGAGCTGATGAATTAATTCGAGTACTGGACCTATTCGGATACTGAAACTTCCCCTTCGTGCTAGCTTTCCTATTCGGCATCGCTAGCGGAAGCCGTCGTCGTCGTTTGTAGTTCGTGCTATGGAGGTGGATTTTCATCTTTCGAGGGATATTCGTTTGCATGTCATCTAAATAGTTATCAAAAATTTTTTAAAAAATAATAATCTCTACTTTTAGTTAAAAAATAAGAAGTACTTCCATCGTCCGTCAAAAAAACCAAGCGAAAAAGGAAAAAAACCAAATATGTCTGATTCAAAAAAAAAAACGGGAGAAAAAAGCCGGAAAAAGAAAAACCAAACGTAAAAAAAAGGGCGATAAAAAGAAAAAAAAAACAGATCGGTCCCATCCAAAAAAAACCGGAAAAAGAAAAATAAAAACCAAACGTAAAAAAAAGCGATAAAAAGAAAAAAAACTGATCGGTTCGATAAAAAAAACACGGGTGAAAAAACCGGAAAAAGGAAAGAAAAAACAAATATGTCCGATCCAGAAGAAGGGCGAAAATAAGGGAAAAGAAAAACGAATCCGACTCCGTCTACGCGGTAAAAAAGGGCGAAAAAAAAAGAAAAAATCTATCTGATTTCAAAGAAAAAGGAATTATATGTGACACGGTTAAAAAATTTCTATCTCTACCTCTACTATACTTAAAAAAAATAAAAGGTGCTTCCGTCGTCCGTAAAAAAACCAGCGAAAAAAATCGGACGAGCGAAAAAACCGGGAGAAAAAAAAACGGGCGAAAAAGAATCGGTCCGATTCAAAAAAAAAGAAATCGGGCGAAAAAACTAGGCGAAAAAGATCGGGTGAAAAAGCCGGGCAAAAAAAAAAGAATCCGATTATGTGGACGCAGTAAAAAAAAGGGCAAAAAAATAAAAATGAATCTGTCTAATTTGATCAAACAATGTGGCTCTGATTTTTTAAATTAAAATCCGTTTGATAAACTCCTAAGTAGGCTCGAAAAATAAATTCTAAATCATATGCTAATTTATCAAATTAGTCTCGGTTCTACCTATTTGTTAATATATCAAATTAAACTTGATTTTTACCGATTTGAGGTTTTCAAGGTGTCACATTATCGAACGGTGTTTTTCCCGTTGCAACGCACGGGCACTATTGTTAGTATAGATTAATATGAAATATATTACTCCACAAACATGCAAGTCTAAATTCAAATTCTACAAGTTACAACAAAAATAACAAATTAAACTGGAAATAGTTATCGTGCATTTGTTACTATATTTGTTGTTTTTGTTATAGTTTGTAGAAGTTAAATTTAAACTTGCATGTTTGTGGAGTGATATATTTCATATTAATCTATGTTTCCAATTTTTTTCATATTTTTTATGACTATTTAGGTAGCATGCACGAAATGAGGGGATATTCCCTATGAAATGACTTTCCCTCCTATTCGGTGTCGTATTATTCATTTGTCGTTTGCGGTTCATGCATGATGTCAACTTCGGAAAATCCTCCCCATTTGGCGCCCGATGGGGAAAAAAATTGGACGCCGGCGCCTCCCACATCTTGCGCGCCGCCCCCATCACGCGCGCTGTTGCAACAAATCACTCGCATATTACGGAAACACTCTATTAGGAGGATCCGTTTCATTTTTGTTCCACCAACAATGTTTCGGCTAGTGTACTCGAGATGTTTCATTATGTACCAAATGTTGCAGTAGATTTTTGATATTGCTTTAATAATTTCATCTTAATGGACATGTAGTTTTGTTGATGTACACGTGATTTAAGTGTTGCAATGGTTTAAAATCGTTTGTTGTATACATTGAACCAATTTGTTTTCATCTAGCGATCTGACTGTGTTTCACTTTTTTTAAGAATTGAAACATTCTTTCGCTATTTGCTGAAACATTGTTTTTATATAGGATGAAACAACGCCCGATTTTGTAGAAACCGTTGTTTCATACGTTGTAGCAAAATATTTCATGAGGTGATTTGATTGTGTTCTAGTTTTTAAAAATTGAACATTTTCGAACTATTTAGTGAAACATTTTCGATCTACTTGGTGAAACAGCGTCTAATTTTTTAAAAAAAATCGGACGCCGATTTGTAGGCGCCTCAGAGTTGTCCATAATGATTATATATGTTTATTTAGAGTAGCCTAACAGTGTGCGTGACCAATTGGACCAATTGGCTACTCTCTATTTTAAAATTATAACAGTGTGCGCGACCAATTGGCTACTCTCTGTTTTAAAATTAATTTAGACATAATATTTTATAGTATAATGAATCTGGACAGTCTTTCTATCTAGATTCATTGTACTAGAAGATGTCACCTCCAATACTATCGGTTTTTTATGGATATGGGAATAATAAGTAATAAGTTTCATAAATACTCAATGCTACAGTGAGGTACTGATATCTCGAGGTATTTTTTGTTGGACTCGAGCAAATCTCTTTAAAAAACCAGAATTTTTGTGTAGGGTGGAGAGAGGTCGGGAAAAAAAAACCCTACTCCGTATCTCAACACGAAGAACTTTTGGTGACGATACAATGCATCATATGTTGCACACCTTTACTTTTTTTTCCTATTATTATTTTTTTAAAAAAGAGAAGATTATCCTCCTCCATTTTCCATTATAAAAGCACTGCTTCACGTACTTAATTTTTTTTCTTTTTACAAAACTCTTACTAACAATGATCTCAAGAAACGACAACTGCAATTAACAGGTTGTAACATCCTGTGCTTCATCAGTGTCATTCGAATTAGAGCACGCCTTCACTTGCCGTTTGCTGCGGCAGGTTCCGTCTCCAAGATCACTAGCAGCAAGACGCTTCTCTCCACGCCGATTCTGTTGTGGCTCATGGTTACAAGCCGCATCTTGCAACGCATCATCCAGTTGCCCACACGATGCAGCGATTAGTCCTGCAGGTCGGTATATATGTTGATCAGATTGTCAAAGACAGAAATTTTGACGGAACTCGACAAAGCGGTATGTTGATATTACATCACTAACTTGTTTTTTCAAAAGAAAAATATATATGAACTACCATTGGGTCGTTTACAAAGGTTTAAGTAACTTACCGACAAAAAGTGCAGAAGGTTTCGAAGGTCTCGACTTAAACTCGGGGTGAAATTGAACACCAACGAAAAATCGATGATTGGGTATTTCGACGATCTAGAAAATTGGACAAACAATAACATCAACATTCATGAATTTTGGAAAAGTTGAAATTTGTTCAAACAAGTTCGGTTCTTCGGCTTCTACCTGCACCCTTTCTCCGGTCTTGTCTGTGCCTACAACCTGAAGCCCACTGTTCTCAAATAATTGCACCATATTGGGATTTACCTGGAAAGTTAGTCAATATTACATATCAAATTTTCAGAAAAGAGAATTTTTGCGGTGCTCGAGAAAGTATCTCAAGGTATCTAAATTTTACGTTAAGGATAATTTTACCATCCTTAAGAATGTACCATAAATATTATATTTTCTAGTGTAAAATTTGGTACATCCTACAGGTACCAAAAAATTTTAGTGTAAAATTTAGATACTTAAGGTACTTTTTCAATGACGGTAAAATTTCTCTTACACTATACTTTTTGATATTTTGAGATACTTAAGTACCTATAAATATCAAATTTTGTATAAAAAATATAATTATTACCTCCTAATAACTTCTCAATGATGGTAAAAAAAGGCAATTAAAACACCATGAGTAACATTATGATGAACTACACAAGATATTGGTCAGCAAACCTGGTATCTGTGCCGAAACCTCTCATCTATGTGGCTGACGCTACCATATCTGAGTGATTGCAAAGTAATTAACACATAGAGAATTAAAACAGAAAAGATGCACTTGTGGTAAGAGTAAGTGTTCACTTACAGCTTGGCAGACTTGCTACCTGCAACCTTGAAAAATATCCTCTTTGATCCACGTCGCATGGTACCACCCTTTCCTTCGTTGGAGCACTGAAGGAGATGCTATTATTAGCTTTGTACTAGGAAACAGTAACTAATGGCCTAAATTAAGTTTGTAACTAGCCAGTACATATATATAACTAAATTCAACATACTTTTTTTTTCTGAAACAACTCATATCAGACATGGAGAAGTTTTATATTGGTATAAAAAATACAAGACTAAAATCTTGAGAGGCTATGATCAGAAAAATAGAACTTGATACAAAAATGTAGCATGTGTCCAAAATTTGGAGCATGTGCATGTAATTTCCGATCATTTATATGTATGAACTGAGGGTTTGACAATTACCTCTGGCATTATGGTCACACATGGATTCTCCGTTTTGGCATCAAATTCTGTGCTGTTAGCATCAGGCAATTTCAAAACATGGCGTGCAAATTCAACCGCAGTGAGCTGCATGCCAAGGCATATGCCCAGGAAAGGGACATCGTTTTCGCGGGCATACTTAACAGCCAATATTTTCCCCTCAACACCTCTCTCTCCAAAGCCACCAGGTACTAAAATGCCATCTGCACCCTGAAATGAAATATCTTTCAGATAAAGTATATATAATAAAAATTGTACATGTAGCAAACATTTCAGGAGTAAACTTCTCACCCTCAGTAAACTCCATGCTGTGTTGTAAGCATCAGGTGCCTATTAAAATTTAACAAAAACATGTAAGGAAACAAATATATATATACTACAGAGCAAAATATGATGCATAGTGTAAGTTGTTCAAACCACAGTGGCAGTTGAATCCTCAAGATCGGTGGAAGGAACCCAATCAACAACAAGTTTTCTGCCACAAGCTATACAAGCATGTAGAAGAGCCTACAAGAATTGCAGATCAAGAAATATGTTGGACAAAACTGATGAGGCTTATAATGGACTGAAGGAAGCAAACACCATAGGGATCCATCCGTCTCACCTTCATCACTGAAAGGTATGTATCAGATACACCGGTGTATTTTCCAACCATGGCAATTCTGACCTGAAAAAGGAGCACACAGACCGCTTAGGTCGTTCTAAATTTTTGTTATTGAACTCTTACTAACAATGACCTCAACCATTTGATTTCGCTAAAATCTAGATACACTTATAACATGACACATCAGTGTAGTAAGAAAAAGAAGGCATTCTTCTTGCCTTTCTTTCCCAAAAAAAGTAAGAAAAAAAATCATGATAGTTTTTTTTTCCTTTTTTAATGTAATCTCAGATATCCCTTTTGTTTGCATTGTGAGGATGAAAAAAGAGACTAACTGTTTCTTGTAGTGTGTCATATAGATCAGCCCTTGCCGTCCATTCCTCCAAGTTAGGCTCACCAGCAACACTGCAAATGTGAGAAATGAGCAATTGGGATTGCATATAGCAGCGTGACACCTTTAACTTACTCTTATATGGAACATTGAAAATATTACCTTTCAAGATTCAAAACTTTAAGAATAGCTTCATGTGCCTTTTGGTCCTAAAATGACAAGAGTAAGATATTCAACACAGTGCAAGGGTGCAAAATTTTGTCTGGTGTATAAGAAAGCTAGGACGATATTCTCTGTTTACCCGCAATAACAGAGGAACACGCCAGATGTTTGAAACGTCACACAGAGTAAAAATGTTAGCTACCTGCGATGGCCACAAGAGTTCATTAGCAACTAGAGCAATCAGTTGCTAACAATAATCATTAAATTAAAAAGAAAATTTCATTACCGGCACATGGCAGAAGAGAGAGAGTTTTTCTTTCACACTTCTCTCCAGTTCCTATTAATAATAAAAACATGCTCTTAGTTAATAAATAAGAAAGTTATATGGTCCTTAAGAAAATACATGAAGGCACCACAACTTAATACTAAAAATGAACCGGTAACTGGGTTCATAATACAAACCTTAGTACAACGGCAAGCTATAATATTTGGCGTGAGACCATATTCTCTTAACTTACGTATACTATTTTGAGTGGGCTTAGTTTTCTGCACAAGAACATACATAAACCAAATTAAAGATGTATGATATTATTTTCAAGACGAAGGCGGCAATTAGCAAATAGCAAAGTCACAGGTATAAATATTTTTTCTGACCTGCTCACCCACAACGTTCAGAACTGGAACAAGACCGACGTGCACCACACATAAATTACCAGCACCTGTCCAAAAATAACATGCAAATAAGGTTATCAATATCATCATGGAGAAAAAAATAAAATATCTGTTATGCAATAATTCAATTTATTTACCAACACGATAGGAGAATTGACTAAAGGCTTCAATAAATTGTGTGGATTCAATATCGCCTGCAGCATAGTGTCAAATAAATACTGTTAATAAACTGAAAATAAAGAGACGAGTAGCTATATATAGCTTTGAAATTGACTTCTAAATCCAAAAATGTATGTAACTCTAAGAATTTGTTAAGACTAAAATGCAGCTGGTTAATTGTCTCTTGTCACCTATAGTGCCACCGAGCTCTATTATACAGACATCGGCAGGATCCACCTCGCCATCAACCGGAACTATCGCGACACGCTCAATCCAATCTTGTATCTCATTTGTAATATGTGGGATAACCTTACAAGAAAAATGATGATTGGTTGGATTTTCAAGAAATGTAGATACTAAATTTACCAAAAGTTCAAAAACAAATTAAGAAGACTTGAGGAGAAGTGGCTGGCACCTGAACAGTCTGACCCAAGTAGTCCCCCCTTCTCTCTTTCTCATAAACATACTGTCGTCAACCACCACAAGAACATGGCTTTAAGTAAGCTAATCAAGAGCTAGCATAGTGTCTTTACAAAACTGAGACTTATTTATCTATTTATGAAGGCTGATATTTTTCATGTTGTTATTGTTAGTACTTATATATTACAGTATTGATTTTTATTTGAATAGTGGGACTATATCATAATCTAACACACATAATACTCATTTAATTTTCAAACTTCGCCTAAAGTGTGATTTTTGTTGAAGTGTAAATGTGGCCATTAACAATTTGTTGGCCATAGCTTAGACACATGGCGGGTTCTAGGTAGTTAATTAATGTTTGGGAGTGAAAGAAGAACTAATGATGGGTTCTCTCTATTATTCAAAAGTTTATACATACATACATGATGGATCTTCCCGGCGGTTATGCTATGGTCTCGAGTTAGTTTAATGTCGAGAAACCTCTCATAGTTCCCAAGATCCAAGTCCGCCTGCAACAAGTGAACACGGTAATATACATCAAATGAACAAATATGTATCCTAGCTATCACGGATATTTCACGCGAACATTTATCCAATACCTCACCACCATCATCTAACACAAACACTTCGCCGTGTTCATGAGGAGATATAGTTCCGGCATCAGCGTTAAAGTAAGGATCTACACATTTGAGAAATACAGTTACAGCAAATCTTACCTCGCATAGAAAAAATTAAAAAATAATCATCAATTCATCAAACACCTAGCTAGTCAAATTAGTAAAAGTAGTCATGACTAAAAATTAAAAGATATATTACAACATATTACAAGAGGAATTTTACAATTCTTGATAAATTACTTTGAGGTACATAAATAATTTTACAAGTACATCTACCTCTACCTCTAGGTACATTATCAAGAATGATAAAATTATTCATATTACAAACACACTAGAAAAATAGATGCAGAAGAAAAGCTGCAATATGTAAATCAACACGGAAGAGAGGCTTTAAGGTACTCCCTCCATTTTAGGTTACAAGACATTTTGACTTGCTTCAAATTTAACCAAGTTTGTAGAAAAATAATAATAATATTTTCAACTCAACACAAATCTATTATGAAAATATATTCAACAATTGATTTAATGAAATTATAAACATTACTATATTTGTGCATAAACGTTTGATTTTAACTAAAGTCATAACGTTTTATAATCTGAAACGGAGAGAGTATATAGTATTGTTCTTGTTTAGCTACTTCATCATATTATTATGACAGATTATTCGCTCCATGTCTTTGAACTAAAAAAACAAATTCTTCTGCTGCAAACCACTTTCCAGAATTCAAATAAAAGTATATGCTAGAAGTGCATATATATTTAGGGTATGTTTAGTTCACAGCCTAAACCAACCATCCAAGTTGTGGCGCCGCCAGAGATGGTGGCGAGAGAAATGATCGCCACAGCTGTGGTGGAAATAAGCATGCAAATGAAGTAGAAAAAAGTGTGGTTGCCACAACTCACGCATTAACCAATCAGCCAAACTGTTGTGCCGCATGTTTGGCGAGGCAATGTTTGGCGGGGATTCAAACACCCCTTTAGAAACGGAGGTAGCAATATTGTAGGCAAAGAGAGAGGGGGAGGAAGGAAAGATTGTAGGCAAAGAGAGAGGGGGAGGAAGGAAAGAAGAAGCACGTGTTGGTACCGATCTTAATGGACGTAACGCGGAGGCCGCACGCCTTGAGGACGACGCCAATGCTGCTCGCCGTCACCCCCTTGCCGAGGCCGCTGATCACGCCTCCCATCACCACCACGTACTTCATCGTTTCTCTACCTTGTGTCGGCAGCCGAAGGGCTAGGCTCCTCCGCTTAAACCTTAAACCTAAACACAGCCACCAACCAAAAGGTGAATTATCTGATCGCGCACCGGCCGCCAGGCCTTTTATTAGCCGCAACACGATCGGACTAGAATTTGGTTCCGATCCCCGGCCGTATAGTTCACGTCGACATAGTGCGACGATTATCGTTCGGTTAGGGGCTGCTTGAACAAAAAGTAATATATAATCAGAGCCCGTTTCTGTTTTGTTTAGGCCCCCAACTTGCCTCGCGCCACATGTAAAAAGCCGAGGCTAATTAGCGGTAAACAAACAAACAACTGCTGCAGCTCACGCGACCCCGTGCCGTACGTGCATTACCCACACCACACACCATGACACACCACGTTGCTTTCCCGGCCCGCCTCAAATTAATCAACCCATCAATCGATCAGACCTCGAAAAATCTCCTGAGATGACGATGAATCGGGCGGGGTGATACGACGGCGAGCTCCGCGAGATGACGCGCAGTGACCTTAGTTTTCGTCACGACTCGCGCAAAACTAAACCATCAGTCCGACCGAGCCCCCCCAAAACTTCCACGCGCTCTCCGATCCCCTCCATGCAATGTCTCCGGCCGTCCTCAGGTAGTCAGGTCAGGTGGGCCGTGTGCCAGGTTCCCCGCGCCAGCGCGCGAGCGACTCCACGGACCACGGTCTACGGGTACGTGCCGCCGCGCGCCTCAGGCGTCGAAATCGAGTGGCACACGTACGCACGAGACAAGCCGCGCGCCGACGCGCGTGGAGTCCTCCGAGTCGAACGATACCTGCTCCTGCGGTCCGTGCAGCGATATGCATGCGTACCACATAGCCACGCACACGGCGGCACGGCGCATGCACGTAGACTACAAATCAAACTCACGGCCCGTGTCCACTGCACGGGTGCGGGCGCAGCGTGCACTCTCGCGACATGCCTCACGTCGCGGTGGTAAAATATAGTACGAATATATAACAACAACCAGGTCGGTGTCTTAGCTACGACGACGATACGACCCGGATCGATCAGCATTGACTCTCGCGTGGTTGCCCAAATTCGGCCCTGATTAGTTGCCCAAAAACTTTTCGCAACAAACATCACATTAAATTTTAGGATACATATATAGAGCATTCAATATAGATAAAAAGAAAAACTAATTGCACAGTTTGCATGTAAATCGCGAGACGAATCTTTTTAGCCTAATTAGTATATGGTTAGCTATAAAGTGTTATAGTAATACATATGTGCTAATGATGGCTTAATTAGGCTCAAAAGATTCTTTCGCGGTTTCTAGTCTGAGTTATGAAATTAGTTTTGTCATTCGTGTCTGAAAACTATTTCCAACATCCAGTCAAACGTCTGATGTGGCACCCAAAAATTTTTATTTCAGGAAGTAAACAGACCCTTAAATGGGAGAGAACACTCGGTTTGCGTTTGCCTCATGTACCTGATATACACCTCCACTTGTACCAGCCTCCTTTGCTTTCATCAATTGATCACCTCTTGGCTTGGCCGCGTTCTGCTGTTATTTTGGGGAGAAAAGAAAGAGAAGGCCGCGCCGGGCGGTCTAGTCACGTGACGAGTCCATTCAGTTTCAGGCAGAGTGAACGCCGCCGGCGGCCGGTGCCGTGTGATTGCCAATTTGCCTGCACCGCCTCGGCACTGTAATGTTACATGGCAGTGCACATCCAATCTGCGTGCTCGCGTGGCGCAGGAGAGCGGCATTTGATTCCTTCTTCCCTTTCATCCTTTGCAAGTTAAAATGCAGCACGGTAACACGCTTTTCCTTTTAGCTGGTGCCTTTGGTATATGAGACACAGACTCTGCGATTGTCAGTCCAGCCGGTGTCCTCTACGACCAGAAATCTTCTTTTCTTTACCACGAACAAACCACCCCCTTGTTGCTGGGCCTGGGAATCGATCTCTCGTCTTTCTTCGCCACGACTCCCCTCTTCCTCCCCTCCTCGCCCTCTCGTCGTCTTCTTCGCCACAAGTCTCCTCTTCCTCCCCTCCCATCTCCTCCCGGCTCCATGGCCATGCATACACCACCGTGGGAGGAGCTCCCTGCCGACGTCCTTAGGATCGTCTTCTCCAGGGTCGCATGCCGTGCAGACCGCCAGGTGATGGCCGGGGTCTGCGGGGCTTGGCGCCGCGCCGTGAAGGTGAAGGTAGCAACAGGCCAGCCGCCACGCCCGCGCCAGCTTCCCTGTCTGCTGCGCCCCAACGGTGGTGATTCCTCCGTCTGCTGCCTGCTCTGCTCCGGCGGCCACGGGATCAGCGTCGTCCACGCCGCCCACCTCCCGCAGCAGCCCGTCGACGCACGCCACGCCCGCTTCTTCGGGTCTCACGACGGCAGCTGGGCGTTCCTCGCCTCCGCCCAAACAAGCGGCCACGTCCTTCAGAAGTTCGGCACCGACACCATCATCCCGCTCCCCGACTTCATGGATGTGCAGGGAGGAGAGAGCTCCTCCATCGTCCACCTCGCCGCGACGCTCTCGCACCAGCCGGGCCACGCCAGTTGCCTCGTCGCGGCGATCGTCAAGACGTACCCCATCGATGTCATGTCTTTGAGAGCTGTCGCGTTCTGGCGCATGGACCATGGCACCATGGCCTCCGAGCTCCACAGAACAGAGATCGAGGCTATGGAGCCAGAGGACATCATCTTCCACAAGGGCGTCCTTCTCGTCCTCACCCAGCAGGAGAATCTACTGGCGTGGATCCCAGAGTACACGGACGAGGGGCGTGGAGTCGAGATGCACGGACCGGAGCACCGCGCCTGCGGCAAGCCCAGGATCTACAACGAACTGGCCGTTCAGTCACGGTACCTCGTGGAGTCCCAGAACTGCCTACTGCTGATCGTGAGATACAGGGAGGGTCATCCCACTTCTTCCACCCAAGAACTCAAGATATTCCAGCTGGTGGAGCTTGAGATACCGGATGAGAACGGTATTATGATGACACGTTACAATTGGGTAGAGCTGTTCTCTCTGTTTGGCGAGATGATCTTCCTTGGGCGAGGCTGCTCCAGATCCTACAATGTGTCCAACTACCCGGGCTTCACAGAAGGCGTATACTTCCTGGACGACGGGAGCTTCTACCATGCTGACCTCCTGTCCCATGACGCTGCCGACCAGAAGTACACCTGCAGTGACAATGGGAGGTGGGTGAACCTCCAGGTCGACCGCTGCTTCCCGCCGGAGCAAAGCTGCTCCTGCTCTCCTCCGATTTGGGTTCTCCCTTGAAGGGATTGTGGTTACTTCTGCAATTTTACTCTGCTGTAAGCTGAAGTACGGTTCCTTGCATGAATGACTTTCAGCTTAGAACATTTATTTTGAGCATTGCCTCTATTGTCCTTGTCACATTTCTGATAATTCCTGATAATTCAGTAGCTCTCTAAATGTCAGTGGATGATTGCAGATATCTTCATGTTGCTACGCTTGTGCTGGGATTTTTTTTTCAGATTATATTTGTTCATGAATGGTACTAGTTGCTAACATGGCGCTCTTTTTTACAGTGTTAATGATGTGCATAGCACAATTTAGTTTGTATGTGATATTTAGTCCTGAAGCATGTGCACAGTGAAGTGGAAGAGACCAAATGCCTTAACCTTGTTTCACTTTCATAGTTGCATGGGTTCTGACTGCTGAGTTTGATGGTATTGCACTTGTTACATAGTTACTGTCTTACTGATTAGTCTAAATCGTTAACTGAAACATGAATCCTCCAATTGCTGTACAGCGTTTGCTACCTTAAGTTTATGCTGTCCTTTTGGATAATTCAAGATGTTAGCATATCCTTGTGTTGCTATTGATAATTTCAGTTTGTTCCTTATTTTCTCTTTTTGGATATTGAGGTGAGTGCTCTTTGCTTTGGTTTGCTTGAAGTGCATTTGCATGCAGTCTATTTGGTTCTGTACTTTGTCAGTCTACTCTTATTTGCTTGAATTCATTTAGTATATGTAAGGCATCCAGTGGAGTCCTTTTTAGACAATGAAGGCATCCGGTGGAGTGAATAGAGAAAGTGAGAACATTGAGATTCTTGGTGGCCTGGTGCTTCTTATATCTCTGTTTTGCAAACCTGTCTGCATGAGTAAAAGCAAACGGTTCTTCCAACTTGTCCATGCATTTTTTTTTCATTTTTGTTCTTCCGATAAAATTATGGAGTAACTGTTAGGTTTTTAGCTTGCTACACGAGGGATGAGGCTGGCTTTCTAATTTGGCCGTTATGACTGAACATTGTGTAAGCATTTTTTTTATTCTAATTTAATGTTGCAGCACAACAATGTCTTACCATTTCTTACGTTCTGCTGATGTTGTACTAAACATTATCGTTGCTTTCTTCTGATGGAAAATGTAAGAGAACTATGCCCATAGAGTTCGGAGATCAGTAACTTACTGTGTCTGCTTATATCTGTTTTTTTAACCCCGTCGGGGTGTACTTGTATAAGAAGGTGTGCTTGTATCTGTTACAGAACAAAGCTGTAACATATCCGGCGGCAGACTGAGGCCGGATGTTTCTATGTCAAAAGCTCTGTAAACATCACCACAATAAAACAATCAAAAGGAAAATTGTGAAGTAGTATAACTTTTGGTGTTTCTTCCCAAAAAATTCTTTCCGTGAAGTTCTGCTGAAATGGCACCAGTTGTTTTTCCTTTGAGATGCCTTGCAGTGTTTAATGGTGAAATGCACCTGGAATCAGTTGTTTTTCCTTTGGTATAAACTTGAAGTGTTCAGTATTTTTATGGTTCACATACTCAAAGTTACAACTCGGAGAAAGCAGAGAGTTGCGAACACACCAGCACGGTAGCACCACTGCACCAGTACTGCAGTACATATCCAGCTCCAAGGTGCCAAAAGGAAGTGCTCAAAATAATTCCTGGCTTCCTGCAAAGGCAATTCTTTTTTTTCCCCCATTTTGAAATCGACCAAGGCAACTCCTTGAATCTTTGATCACCATGGGCTTTTCTTAATGCTTTCCAGACCGAAATGTACAGCCCAAGAAACTAAGTTCCCAACGGCCCAAACTAACTCAATTGCGATATAAAGGTCCACTTCTCTTGCAGCCCACGCTGAGAACGGCATCCTCCTCCCACGGTCCCACCACCCGGCTTCTTCTAGAAGCGAGAGGAATCATTTCAAAACTCCGCACTCCGCAGTCTCGTCTTCCTCCTCGGCTCCTCGCCGTCGTCTCCTCCTCTATCGCTTCCACCCACCAATCCAACAGCAAAGCCCCACTTCCCAGCCATCTCCTCCCCTCCCCTCCCCTCCAGGCTCCAATGGCGGAGGAATCTTCGCCCTTCGATGAGGTCCCCGCCTACGTCCTGTACGAGATCGCTCGCCACATCCCCTGCAAGGTCGACCGCGTCCGCGCGCTGGTCGTGAACTGCTCGTGGCGCACGTCGCTTCAGGCGCTCCCGCCACCGCCCCTGCCTCCACAGCTCCCGTGGCTACTCCGCCCATCCGCCGGTGGCCCTACCTTCTCCTGCCTCCTCAGCGGCGCCGACGAGCTCAGCGTCCACCGCGTCCGCGTCCCCGCCGACCTTCGCGGCGCGCGCTACTTCGGATCGTACGACGGCGGCTGGCTCTTCCTTGCTTCTGGACAAACTTTCGGCCACATGCTCTTCAACATCCGCACCGAGCAACGCCTCTTCCTCCCCGACACTGTCACCCAGCCGTGGAGATCAGATGACTTCCCCATGATCATGCTCGCCGCCACCGTCTCCTCCCCTCCGAGTGCCAAGGACGACCTATGCTTCGGCGCAGCCATCGTCTCTGATGTTGGGCAGAAGCTTGCCCAGCGATGCAATGTTTTCTGGGAGTTGGGGGATTGCAGAGCCGTATCGTTCGTGCCACCACAGGATCCGTTTAATCTGTTCTTCGAAATGGAGGACGTGATCTACTACCAGGGGGCGTTTAACTTTCTGAGCATATGGAGAAACGTTCTGGAGTGCAGGCTGACATTGCACCAAGGAGTCCTGCAAGTACATCAAAAGTGGAGGTTGTTTTTACCACAAGAGGAACTTAGCCTTTGCCGCAATGCGGCTGCTCGCTATCTTGTAGAGTCCCGCGGGCAGCTGCTCATGGTCATCAGGGAGCGGCCTGCTTACAATCAGTCGCGGGAGTTTTTCATTTTTGATATGACAAAGACAGAAGAAGCAGTCGACGAGGCGGAGTACATCTGGAGGAGGATGCCAGAGCTCGATGGACGGATGCTGTTCGTTGGACATGGCTGCTCCAGATCCTACGAAGTGGGTGACTTCCCCGGCTTTCAGGAGGGCATCTACTTCTTCGACGACCAGGATTCATACAGTGTATCCAGTATTGCTGAGGATAATGAGTACACCTGCTTCGACAATGGGAAGTGGTCCGCCGGGCCGCCTCTAATGGAAACGTACTGCTTCTGGCCGGATCAAGTCAACTCGAACTACTCTTCACCGGTTTGGCTTCTCCCTGGAGGTGAAGATGATGCCAATAATGCTCAAGCTCAAGTTGATGTTCACATGCTGTAGAGCTGCTGGAGTCTATGTTAGCTGCCGAATTGGGGCTAACCTGTGCTGCATTTACATTCTGTTAGTGTTACCTCTTGCTGCTTTGAGATGTGAGGATGAGATAGTTCTTGCTGCTTTGTGAATTGGGATAGGATTGTTGCTGATTAGTCTGGTACAGTTACAATGACACGGTGGATATTAGCTGAAAGCCTGAAATCACTTGCAAACTCATTACTGAATCTATGTGCTACTTTGTTCTCTGTACTTAGCAGTTCATTACTGCATTTTGGCACTTTCTGAACTATGATATTTCCTGACCTCTGAGATTTTGATGAACTTTAATACTGAAATTACTGGGCTAGATTCCTGTTATGATTCTTGTTATGTGATGCCTGTGTTGAAAAGCAGAATTCAGTGCAAGATGTATGTAGGTGCTTTGATCTCTGCACTTAGCAGTTCATTACTGCATTTTGGCACTTTCTGGTGCTCTCTAACTTCTGAGATTTTGATGAACTTGAATGCTGAACTGACAGAACTGTATTTGTCAGCCGATGCTTCTTTACAGAGCTTTCTGACAATGCAATTTTAGTGCACAATGCAGAGTAGGTGGGGCTTCTGTAGTGTTAGCCAATGCTTCTTACAGGAACAGGAGGAAGAGACATCGAATTACTCTCCTCCTTGTTTGGCTCCTCTCTGTGCCAGTATCTCAAGTTACTCGGTTGTGTGGCTAGCTAAGATTCACAGAGCAACACCCTGAGTTTGCGTTAGTATCTTGATTCATTTTGTTGCGCTAATATTTCTGGGAATCAATTCTGCCAGAATACTTGTTTGATGTAAGTCGGTGCTTTCATCTTTTGCTGTTCCACGGCCATGGCCTTCGCCCTGATGGTCATGTTCGGGGCCTCGCCGGCGGAGGACAGGGGCCGCGGACCGGCGCACGCCTAACCCCCGTGATCCCGGTGACCGTCAAAGCAAAAGCGGTTGTAGCGGGCCCAGGAAAGCTGTTTACCCAGAATGGCAACCTGAATGCGGCTAAAATTCATCAGGCCTCTGCTTCAGGCCCAGGAAGCTGCTTTAACAGAAAGCAGTCCGAATAGGAGTACAGCCGAAGCTGTGGTCGCCTCTGCGCACAGTTTGTCCCCTTCTTCCAGTACGGGCTCCACTCCATTCTCCAACAACCCCCACCTCTCTCAGAGCGAGCACTGTCAGCCAGCGAAATAACTGACTACGTCACCCAAATCTGAGGTGGAAGAGAGAGAAATCCTAATAGAGAATAGGACGGGCGACTGGTGAGACGCTCGCTTGAAGCGGCAGAACCGAGATAAAAAGCTTCTTCTCTCCCATTTGCTACTAGTACATGCAAGCATTAACTCTTATAGCCAACCTCTACGCCAGTTCACTATATGCAATGACTTTCTCAAATGCTTAAAATGACATGGCCACCCTATTGCGCCAGGGGCCGGCGAAACCATTAACCATGCTCTCAGGGGCTCTGAGTCCAAGGTGGATTCTGAGATGGTCCCCTACCCAGCCAGTGGTGGACAAATCGCTGGAGCTATCTCTGTGTCCAGCCTCTACGGCGGCGATCCCTATATCTATGGCCCTGTTCGGTACCCATAGTTCTCAACACCCCTTTCTCGTGGTCTGCACGCATATTTTTTAAACTGCTAAACGATACGTTTTTTTTAAAATATATATATACGAAAGTTGCTTAAAAAATTATATTAATTCATTTTTGAAAAAAAAATTATGTAATACTTAATTAATCACGCATTAATAGACCGCTCCGTTTTCCGTGCGCAGCACATGTGTTACCAACCCTGATGTCCGAACACAGCAATAGTTCTTGTAGAAGCGTTGGGATGGGACAACAGAAAGCTAATTAGTACTACCTCCGTCCTAAAATATAAGCATTTTTAGCAATGAATCTGGACAACTGTGTATCCAGATTCATAGCTAAAAGTTGCTATATTTAGGGACGGAGGGACCGAGGGAGTATACAATAGCAGTGTGTTCCCTAGATTCGAACGTGTTAAGCTTGCGATCCTCATCAATAAATATCAGTGACCTGAGATCCTCAATATCAGTCTGAGCTTGCAAGATTTGTCGTTGAATCTCGTATTGCAGCTCGTTGAAGCTCTCTTTCTCCCTAAGGTTTGCATCAACCACGGCTTTGCCTTTAATAAGAGGCAACTCAAAAGTATTAATTTCCTGTAAAAAGTATTATGGCCGTGTTTAGTTTCAAAGTTTTTTTTAAAACTTCCAACTTTTCCATCACATCAAAACTTTCATACACATACAAATTTTCAACTTTTCCATCACATCGTTTTAATTTCAACAAAACTTTCTTTCAATTTTAGCGTGATCTAAGGGGGTGTTTGGGAGTCAAAAACATAAGTCCCTAGGGGAGGAACTAAGGTGGTGTTTGGTTGGAGGGAAAGTGGGGCTAAACTTTAGTCCCTCTCACAAAGGGACTTATATTTTTGTGAGAGGGACTAAATTTAGTCCCTAGTTCCCAAACACCCCCTTATGCTTTTGTGAGAGGGACTAAAGTTTAGTCCCTACTTCCCAAACACCCTCTAAACACAGCCTATGTTGTCCTTAGTGGTGGTTCACTCCTGGTAGTTGTTGTCCTGGTCAGAAGCCTACGTTCAATGATCGCATCATCTTCCTGCAGCCCAAATGCATAATGTGCAGACATGTCTCCGCCCCTTCCAGCAACTTTCCTCCCTTTGGCAAGCATTTTACAATCCGAGGGATCCCATAACCGAAATCAACACAGTGCTATGATAAAAAGAAACTGTATCATTTGGAAGTCAATCAGTTGTGCAGTTTTGACTGGCCACAAATATAGCTTAATTAATTTCAACAACAGGAGAATAGACATGAATGGGCATAGAGTACCTCAGTAGTGAAGCACAAAACCAGGCGGCAGTAACATATGCAAGACTAAAAAGAATGAGGAGAGCTAGCATAACAAGAGTCTCCAGATCACAAAAACTCAGTCTTATGACCTGCTGCATCAGACCCACAATATCCCAAACGCAACTAGATTTGCGCAATCGCACAACCTTAACATCTCACGTATCATTCTAGAGTTCCATGGACATCAATCACAACTACAATTTGGCAGCAATGGGGAACCTAGACCCAAACATCTTGCGTATCATTCTAGAGTACCATGAACATCGATCACAAGTAAATTTTGGCAGCAATGGGGAATCTAGGAGAGTTCACCTCCCATCAAATCGCACAAACCAATCAAAGAACAAAATTTTCACTCAAATACTAAGGAAGCAAACTGCACAGGTTCCATCCAGCCACTCACCGGGTGCGGCCGTGTGGGCCGCAGACGGAGACGGCTGCGCGATCGTCGGGTGCGACGCAGCGGCGCGGAGGAGTTGAGGAGGCGGCGGCTGCCGGGTACCGTGGTCCGTGGGGCAGTGGGGGCTGGCAGGCTTGGTGGGGAGCGGATAAAGTTTGAGGCGCCTACAAATCAGACGCCGGATTTTTTTTTTCAAAAATCAGACGTTGTTACATCGCATATAAAACAAAGTTTTAGCAAATAACGAAAGATCATTGCAACATTTGATCTATAAATAGTGAAATAACACGAATATACTTGCTGAAACATTGTTGGTGGAAAAGAAATGAAACGGAGTCTCTTAACAGAGCATTTCCGTAATATGTGGGTAGTTTGTTGCAACGGCGCATGGTGGGGATGGCCCGGAGGCGCGGCGCCCGATTTTTCGGCGAGGCGAGGCAGGAGGCCAGGGCCCTCGATGCATGCACGCCCACATCGGACGCCCGATTTAAAGAATATTCAGATAAAGTTCTTATTATTTCAACTTTTTATTTTTTTTATTTAAAAAGTAATTCATTCTAAAACTTATTTCAAGATATGAACCTTTTGGTAGCATAACAAAATAACACCGTCATGTCACTCGTAGTGGACATGGCAGTTTTGTTCTGTCACGTCAGTCAAAGTGGCATAACCAAATAACATTGTCACGCCATTTAGGGTTTGTTTGGCACGACTCCAACTCCAACTTCACCTCTCCTGCAGCTAGAGTGCAGTCAAACAGTTGTAGCTTCACCTAAAATCGGAGTGGAAACTGGTTGGAGCTCCCAGAGATGGAGGTGGTTTAGACTGCTATACAACTCCACTTTAAGAAGTAGTAGATCTACCAACCAGGCTCTTAGTCTTATAATTTTTTTTGCTCTATCAGTAGACTTTGCACCGTCTCGTACAAGTCATTAAAAAAAAGATTTCGGAGTCTACACGTCGCCACGCAGGTACGTACGACGACACGGAAGGTCTCGATTAGAGATGGCAACGGGTATGGACCCGACGGGTTTCCACTCCCCGTACCCACACCCATTGAAACTAAATCTGCCCACTAAAAAACCCACACCCGCTCGCGGGTGAGAAATTCCCCCATACTCACACCCGCACGGGTGATGGGTACCCATTGGGTACCCACACCCGTTGCAACAATTTCAATTGTGCACAACAACAACTCAATAAGGTTATTGGCTGCAGTGATATGTACACAGCAAGATTGAAAAACTAAGGCTCAAACAAACCATACAGAATACATACAGCCTGGCTCCTGCCGACAGCTGACCGGCGCGCGGCGTCCCTGCCCCCAAGCGGCGACCGACGCGGTGGCTATCCCGCCCCCAGGAGGCAGCGTCCCTAGCTCCCTGGACCCTGCCCCAGGTGGCGACCGACGCGGTGGATGTCCGCCCCCACGCTGGGGGCTGCCCGCACGACGGCGCCCCTACTCCATCGGCGCGACCGAGACCGGCTGGCGGCTGGTGCTGCGGCCGTGCGCGCCTGCGCGGTGGCGTGCCGGCGTGTGGCGTGCGGCCGTGGCTTGGCCGCTTAGGGGATGGGGGGCAGCGGAGAAACGGAGTCAGGAGGGAGAGGAGAGGAGGAGAAGGGGAATAAGGTTTAGAGGGGTGAGGAAAAGAGGATTTATACCTAGTGTTTTGATGGTTGTGGGCCTTGGGCCATCTGCATATTGGGCTAGGCCTACGGGTATTTTCAACCCACGGGTGACGGGAGAACGTACCCACACCCGTGTACCCGATGGGTGAAGGTTTTGCCCGTTAACGTACCCATGGGTATGATGTTTGAAACGTTTATATACCCTAATAAAGTAAAAACCCAACGGGTTTCGGGTCGCGGGGCTGTTGCCAGCTCTAGTCTCGATGCCTTTGACCTTCAAGGGCCACCGCTGCATTGTGCACGCGGCGCTGTCGCGGAACGCCACGTGGAGCGGGTTTCACGGCGCCAGGACGGCGTAGTGGTCACCGATCCCCCGGAGACGGGCGTGCGCAGCAGCTAGCGCCCGAGATTGTGTCCGTGAGACCGTGACCGTTGACCAGATCGCAGCGCCGCGCTGCGATGCCATGTGGCAGTGCGACGATTGGAAGTGACGGTACAAGTACGGGGCTACGGGCTGGCCGCTAGCTCGATGGGCCGCCTGAACGGGGATGTGGTCTACGTGGGCCATATGTTTTGGGCCGGAAAGGATTGTGGCGTACGTTTCATACGGGCAACAAAGCATGCAAATACTGCATGTTTCAGTGTTTGACAAACAGTATATCTGATGAGGATATGCTCTGTGGAGAACATTGGACATCACATACTATAACTTCTGTACTCTCTGGAAGTGGGACTAGTTCAGGCTGAACTTGGTGTTTTCATGTCGGTGGCAGCTTGTTACAGCCTACTCTGCATTGCGTAGTGAACATGATCTGGTTCACAAATTAATTTCAGTAGTACAAATCATGCATGGTAAAGAGAGGCTGGCTGTTACTAAGATGGACCAGAGTAGAGAACATGTAAAATGAAAAAAACTATACGAATGCAATTTATCAAACAACATCATGTGCATTATAAGAGTATGCATTCTACACAGTTATAAGAGCTTAGATATCTGCAATTTCAGTAAAGTCTGAAGAAGCTTTCTGACAATGCAATTTTAGGGGCCCATAAAAAGAGAAGAAAATGAACCATAACCTAGTAGTTTCTTGCAGGAGCTAAAAAACAACATGATCACACTTCACATGCCATGAATACAAATACAGTACTGTCAGTTCATAAAAGGGGAATGCCTGCAGCCTTTTACACCAATTTCTGACTGAATTCTAAGCGCACACACAAATTTTTCGCAGTGAAGTCTGCATTTGACCACTAACATCATACAATCTAGCTCAGTCATTTCAGCATTCAAGTTCATCAAAATCTCAGAAGTTAGAGAGCACCAGAAAGTGCCAAAATGCAGTAATGAACTGCTAAGTGCAGAGATCAAAGCACCTACATACATTTTGCACTGAATTCTGCTTTTCAACACAGGCATCACATAACAATAATCATAACAGGAATCTAGCCCAGTAATTTCAGCATTGAAGTTCATCAAAATCTCAGAGGTCAGAAAACATCAGAATTCAGAAAGTGCCAAAATGCAGTAATAAACTGCTATAAGTGCAGAGATCAAAGTAGCACATTGATTCAGTAATGAGTTTGCAAGTGATTTCAGCTAATATCCACCGTGTCATTGTAACTGTACCAGACTAATCAGCAACAATCCTATCCCCAATTCACAAAGCAGAAAGAACTATCTCATCCTCAAATCTCAAAGCAGCAAGAGGTAACACTAACAGAATGTAAATGCAGCACAGGTTAGCCCCAATTCGGCAACTAACATACACTCCAGCAGCTCTACATCATGTGAACATCAACTTGAGCTTGAGCATTATTGGCATCATCTTCACCTCCAGGGAGAAGCCAAACCGGTGAAGAGTAGTTCGAGTTGACTTGATCCGGCCAGAAGCAGCGGCTGGCAACGTGAGGCGGCCCCAACGTGTACTTGCCATTGTCGAAGCAGAGGTACTCCTGGTACTGAACAATCCTGGATACTGAATAGAACTGCAGGTCATCCAAGAAGTAGATGCCCTCCTGAAAGCCTGGGAAGTTAGCCAATTCGTAGGATCTGGAGCAGCCATGTCCAACGAACAGCATCCGGCCAACCAGCGTGGGCACCGGCGTCCAGACGTACTGAGGCGCCCCGGCTGGAGCCTGAACATGCGTCATCTCGAACACCGAGAACACCAATGGCGGCCATCCAGGAAGGTTGCACGTGCACTTGAGGACCATGAGCAGCTGCTCGCGAGACTCCACGAGGTAGCGAGCGGTGGCAACCGGGCGAGGGTAGCCGAGGTCGTCCTGTGGCGCGAACATCAACCACTCCCGATGATCTACTACCAGGTCTGCTTGATGCAACGCCAGCCTGCACACGAAGACGTTCTTCAGCTTGGTGACGAAATGGAAGGCTCCCTTGTGGTAGATGACGTCCTCCATCTCCTCCACGACGAACTGGTTGGACACCACGTCGAACTGATGGTCCGGAGGGATGGACGGGATGGCCATGTGAGACCCCATTCGCCAGAACGTGATCTGCCGCGAATCGGTGATGAAAGGCGTGCAGTGGACGATGGCAGCGCCGATGCATGGGTCGTCGGTGCCGCGGCTCGGAGGGGAGGAGACGGTGGCGGCGAGCATGATCATGGGGAAGTCATCTGAACTCCACGGCCGGGGGACAGTGTCGGGAAGGAAGAGGCATTGCTCGGTGCGGATGTTGAAGAGCATGTGGCCGGAAGTTTGTCGAGAAGCGAGGAAGAGCCAGCCGCCGTCGTACGATCCGAAGTAGCGCGCGTGGCGCAGGTCGGCGGGGACGCGGACGCGGTGGACGCTGAGCTCGTCGGCGCCGCTGAGAAGGCAGGAGAAGGTAGGGCCACCGGCGGATGGGCGGAGTAGCCACGGGAGCTGCGGAGGCAGGGGCGGTGGCGGGAGCGCCTGGAGCGACGTGCGCCACGAGCGGTTCACGACCAGCGCGCGGAGGCGGTCGACCTTGCAGGGGATGTGCGGGTGATCTCGTGCAGGAGGTAGGCGGGGACCTCATCGAAGGGCGAAGGTTCCTCCGCCATTGGAGCCTGGAGGAGGAGGGGAGGAGATGGGTAGATTTTCTGTTGGATTGGATGGCGGAGGCGAGGAGGAAGACGACTGCGTTTGAATTGAATGGATTCCTCTCGCTTCTGGAAGCCGGCGGGTGGGGGTGGGGGTGGGGGGCCTTGCAAGTTGCAGCTCTCAGATTGGGCTGCAAGAAGTGGACCTTTATGTACCATTGGATCAGGTTGGGCCGTTGGGATTTGGGAACTCGGTCTCTTGGGCTCTGCGTTTGGGGCTGAAAAAGGAGCAAAGAAGCCCATGATACTCAGGGAGTTGAGACCGTGACAATTTTGAGTGTTACATCTTGTAATTTTCTTTCTTTGTTTTCCTTTTTTTTTAATTACTGCGATGTAACATTTGCAAGAAAACCTCTCCTCATCTCGGCCACATTTGAAAGCCATCCCATCAAGATTTATGTACAACCTTATGTCCTTATCCTATTTTTTTTCGCCTTCACGCTACAAAGACACTACCAAATCAAGAGGACTCGTGTTGCCGCACCTATAGCCGCCGTGTCCCTACCTAGCACATCACCCCTTCCTAGCACATCACCCCTTCCTCGCCTCAGTGGCATCGAAAGGAGCAAATGCTGACGGCGAGGCCCCACACGTCCATCCCCACCTTCTTTGCCTCTCCTCTTCACTAAGAGTATCTCCAACGGTCTCCTTATCCTACTCTCCAAGCCAAATTTTTAGCAATTTTGAACAAAAATACACTCCAACAGACTAGTCAACCAGATGGCCAAGCCATCCGGCTGGCCAAACTCCACCTCGCGCTGGCCAACTTTGGCCAGCCAAAATCACCTCTCCAACGTGGGCCCACGCATGGACCCCACGCCTTCCCCCTCTCCCAAATCGAGCGACGTCTCTCCTCATCCCCCTTATCCCAAATTGATTCAACGCCCTCCCCCCGCCGGCGCCGCCCCTCCATCGTGTCGTCGTCTGCTGCTGAGGCCGCCGCCCATCCGTCGCGTTGTCGTCTGTTGCCGAGGCCGCCGCCCCTCCGTCGTCGTCGTCGTCTGCTGTCGAGGCCACCACGTCATTATACCCCTCCCCTCTCCTCTCCTCCACGGGAGGCGGTGAGCTCGAGCGCAGCGAGCTAGGCGGGGAGGCACGAGGAGGGGCGAGCGGGTGGAACGCCTCCGCCCGCGGCGACGATGGCGCGGAGGAAGCCCACGGCGACGCCTCCTCCCTCTCTCCCTCCGCTGCAAGATCCGCTTGACCTCCCTCCTCTGCAGCTCCGCTACCACCGACGCCGGCCGCCGTGCATCGGCGAGCCGCCTCCCCTCGCCAGCCGCTGTCGCGTGGACATCGTCGCCAGGTTTCAGTGGAAGAAGAGAAGAAGGGGAGAAAGAGGAAGAAGAATAGATAGTAGAGGCTGACATGTGGGCCCTAAGTGTCATAGACTTATTATAGAGAGTGGTGGAGAAGCTGTTGGAGCGAATAACTAGTTTGACTAGCCAAATTAGATGAAGAGTTGGCTATATAAATGTTTGGAGAGGCTATTGAAGATGCTCTAAGCCCTCACTATCTTTCTAGTCTCCAGCAGCCCCCTCATCGTCGAAGACACCCAGCTACCAAACCTTGCACATCGTCCTCCAGTTCCACGGCTTCGATGTATTGCTGCTGCTTCGTTGCTTGCCCATATCCACTGTCCGCCGACCGTGTGCTCATGGCCATCCCTTTAAACCTAGCGAATCCTCCCCCTTCTACCTTGATCCTAAACCTACGTTAGGTCCTTTGCCTAAGTTAGGGTGTCTCCAACGATAAAGAAAGGTAGAGCTCGACATAGATGGAGGAGCTGGAGCGCAAATCTTGGCGTGGACCCAACGATTTAGAATCTGTAAGATATCACTCTCAATTTTCTGTCAAATACCATTTAGCAAATCCGGTCTTTTTTTTTCTCTTATCCAGCAGAGGTATACGTGGTGCGAAGTGAAAAATGTTGGTTTAGCTCTAATTCATTATGAAACTTTTCCAAGATCGTGGGACAAGATTTCTGGATTCTGCATCTCTGCTTAGAACCTCAGAACTGACTCGGCACCTTACTATTTCTTTTATTTTCTATGAAGTGTATAAACATATAGGCAAATATGTATAGAACAAATCATCAGCACCGTCTTACAAGTTACAACTGAAATGTACTCGTTGGATTAGCAAAGTAACGCCTTCTACACTTGGATGGTTCTTTACAGTGGCCATGTTGCTTCAAAAGAGACTGAAATGTGGTCGGAGCCACAGGCACAGGTTCATCAAACACCCGAACGTAGATGTGTTTATCAACTGCCAGTTGTTCCAGCAAGGTTCTGCATGTCTGCGAACAGAGAAGGTATATAAACCAATGAGGGGATGAAGCTAAAATATTGTTATCACGGTCATTTGAATATAGAATATACAAATGCATTGTTTTTGGAAGGAATATGCAAATGTAAATACGGTTAAATGGGGTAACATACCTGAGGGTTCAGTACATCCATCCGACAGATAAGGTGCTCCTGAAACACGCAGAGCAAACGGTCAGAATTTTATTTTAGATGGAACGACCAGAACTTGAATAGTGTTTCCATGCTTGATGCTTCACTCTCAAGGGGAAAGCAGGTTCAAATAATTAGATCCACCCTTTTGTTGGTGTTTTCAAAGTCATGCATTTAACTATATGAAGAAAGTACCCCAATCATCAGCACTAGTTTTGACAGTTAAGAAAATTATTCATATCTCAATCTTATCCACAAAACTAAGCTGACCCATGAACATCACAAACAAAAGAGAAAAACAGAAATATTCCAAAAATATGAAAAGCTTGATTTTGAACCCCCCAATCTGGGACATATGGAGTTCAATTTTGAAATTTTTGCTTACGTAAAGTCTTCCTAAAAATCTGGAGTTTATTTAATTTAATAAAAAGGATACTTGGCCAAGAATGACATTTAACATAATACAAACCTTTTAGCAATGTACAATGAACAAAAGTGAATTATGGCTGACCAAATAATGCACAGATTCAGTGGCATATAAAAATTTCCCAACACAGAAATAAACAGGTCAAAATAACAAAAATAAACATGCACCTCCACAACTCCTGGATATTGCATGACATATCCAATAATTCGACGGCTAAAACCTTCATAGACAGTTTCATTCATGCTACCATCACCATTTATCCACGGTAATATTGGCTGATAAATATGCCTTCCACAAGCATGACAGCAACCACTGCCCCCATTGTCTTGTGTTGGAGTTGATAGCCTCTCATCCTCTCCACTGTGCATATGAGGTGAGCTCGAATTGCTTTGGACATCAAGGACTGTAACAGTGTGCACATCACCAAGCATTTTTACAGTTCGCTGCAAATTACTAGCCACCCCATGCTTATCTTTGAGTGTATTTTCGGCATCTCCAGTTGCTGCTATTTCAGAAGCTGGATCTCGCAAACAGCTGCAACCACTGTATTTTGCAAGTGTGGTTATATGATACTTCGACTTATGTAGCGTGTCAACGATCTGCACACCATCGTATGCATTGACCTGTGATTTGTGAAGCAATTGAACAACTTCAAAGATATATATTAGGCTTTTTAGCAGGACCTATATATATTAATTAATTCCCCTCGAAAAAATATATATATATTAGTTAATTTAGAGGAAATAACAAAAGATGTGGCCAAGAAGGCAGAAAGAAGTTGCATGCAAGCAGTGCATTGTTAACCAGTGCTTAATGCATACTCCCTCCGTCCCAGAATATAAGAAGTTTTAGGGTTGGACATGGTTATTAAGAAAGTAGGTAAAAGTGAGTGGTGGAGAGTTGTGATTGGATGAGTAGTGGAGGTAGGTGGAAAAAGTGAATGGTGGATGGTTGTGATTGGTTGGAAATAGAATGTTTGCGGAGAAGTTGTTATATTTTGAGACAAATCCTGAGGGCTAAAAGTTGTTATATTTTGGGACGGAGGGAGTATTTAATTATGTCAATGGAAATTGCAATGTAAATCATTTGTTTGTTGAAAATCTATGGAGAACTGGTAACAAGCAACAAAAAAAATGTGAGCAATGGAAATATTCACAACTAGGGACATATGAACTGAATTAAAACAAGTTCATCGACAGACAGTAATCAAACAATAAAGTGCATTACTAATGTACCATATACATGCTCACAGCTTTACCTTAAAAACTAGCTTAAATATCTCAAGCGTATCAATAATCACCTTGACAAACTGCATGCCTGCAGAGGATAAAACAAAACAAATGAACTATACCAGGCAAAAAGATATAGCTTTATGTAATAATTAACTTCTACAAAAACTAAAAAAAAATATTTATTACTGAGGATACCTAGTGGATGCAGTGCCTGTGACATTTCTCTTAAATCAATTCCTTGCTCACCAGTTTGATGAATAACAGAAAATGCATTTCTGAACATGTCAGAAGACAATATGAATGATTCATCTTTACAACAAGATAATGATGGTAACTGTTTGGCATATATATTCATAGCATCCCAAGGCCATCCGCTGTAAGACCTCTCCAAATGAGACGCAGACAATAAACAACGACATGAACTGGAGTTGTTTAAATATGATAGCATATTTTGGCTTTCCACCTGTGAACTAACATCCTTGCTGCCCATTTCCCTGGCTAAGGTAAAAATAAGGCATTCTTCATCATGTAATGCATGCATGAGATTGCTTGTTTGGTTTTTCTCTTGATTCAAAGCCACTTGGATTCCAGGGAAGCCTTTCTCGCGGCGATAGCAAAAATCACTTTCTATCTTCGGCAAAGGTTTGTGTTTCTTACTCTTACTACTTTTCAGTTTCACTTTATCAGCCTTGCGTTTGTGAGTGCTGTCATCCAACTCACTAGTATCTTCAACAGAAGGAATACGGTCGTCAGGCTCATCAGCCTCATCTAAAGGAATATGGCTGTTAGGTTCATCGGCCTCACCTACTCCTTTACTTGGCAAGGAAGGTGAAATGCACATTTCTCCTGACAAAACCAGAGAAAAGAGGTGAACAATTTCCCCACATTGTAGATCTGGATACAAATATACTCTACTGTCCATGGTATTCTTTTGCTGCGCTATAAGCCATTTTGAGAATTCAGAAGCCTTCTTCCCTGAACCAAATGGGAAGGGTGAGTGGGAAGCATTAAAGAAGAATTTTCCAGAAAGTGTTGCAGGCTTTGTTCCATTTCTAGTGACCTGCAAAACAAGGGGGAGTATGATATATGGTTAAAAAATCCAGAACAAGGTATCCAACATCGAAGTGTACCATACACAACCTTATATTTGCATCTTGCTTCTGTATGAAGTTAATTTCTTACTGGTGGGATCTGACAGGGATTAGATATGTATCATTTGTGTGACGGCTTATCATGCTTGAGCATATTTTAAATTCTACACTACTACTTGCAATTACAAATAGTTTTCTCGTTGAGTAGGGGACATAAGACAATCTTCAATTTCACAGCCAACAAAGGTTGAACATTATTCAACAGGATGGTATTAGAAATACATTTATTTTTCATATTGCATGTTTCGACAGGGGGGATACAGAATAAAATGTATAAGCTGGTTAAGCATACTAAAGAAAAAATAAAAGATATTTGATATATTGATGGAATTGCGTAAAAAAAATATTGATGGAAAGATAAGTTAAGAAACACTAACTGTGAAGTTTCTATCTCTCAGAAAGCAAAAGGCTGTAAAAATTTCCCTCTCCGAATAAAGCTTGAAGGTGGCTGTTAATGAAGCTTGTACTTCTGGTCCAGATGATGTGCTGAGATAAACCATCTTGAGGAGCTCTAATGCATTGGCAACAGCCAAGGACTTGCATACATCTCTTTTAGTAATTTCATCTTTGTTAGGTATAATGACTTCTTCATGATATCTAAAGAAATTTTCCATGTTTTTACTTGCATGGATTGCAGTTGGATGTCTATACGGTTTTACATGTTCATGGAGTCCGCTTTCTGGAACTTCAGTGCTTGAGCTGGTTACATATTGCATAATCTGATCATTCCAAGGAAAAATCAGTATTGAATAAAATATATGTTGGTTGAGGATAAAGAGATAATTACTTACTGTCTGTTCCTGCCCAGTTGGAGCTTCGTCAGCATTAGAATCATTGCTCACTTCATTCTTAGAACTGATTTGCTTGGTTCGGTCCATTTTTTCTAGTTGAATGAACTCAAGGACTTCATCGAGCGCACCTCTTATTTCCTGATCTTCAAAATTATCCCAATTTAATTGCTCAGAATCTGAATCTACACAGTTCTCTTTGTTAGAATCTGAGACTTGGGAAAGTAATCCTTTCGCTTTTGATATCCTTTCCCTTTCAAGGTGCTTAGCATAACGTATCCCAAGAAGGTTGCAGATTTGGCTCACTGCTAATCTTATGTACATTTTTGCTCGTAAGTCTGACATCCTTCTACAACATGCTGCTGGTGAAGCTGGAAGATCAGAGAGAGAGTTCCAATCTACACGGGAAGATCTTGCTCCACGTGCTGCACGGTATCTAGTGTATATCATCAACAATTTCCTGCAAATAATATTAGCAAATCAGGCTTCATGTAAAACTTTTCATCTCCAGTCTTAAGTTCTCTTTCATGTAAAACTTTTCATCTCCATGTATAACTAAAACTTTTGAGACTTTTTTTTTTTTGAAACAACCCGCACAAGACAGTGCAGAGTAGCAGGGACTAATATACCTGTCAGATTCGTATGTCCAAAATATTTTTTCTCTTTCATGAATTTCTCTTTGTTTTTAGAACTTTCCGTGCATCTTCTTACAAGGGTAGATTGATTGATCATTGGACTGCTTTCCTTATCTTCATCTGTATGCACGGGAGAATCAATGTGGTATGTGGGAGTGCTGCTAGTTTTGGATACCGGTAGATAATGTTGTTCTGGTAGATCAGGGGATGATAGAAAGATTCTCTCTGGTACTTCTTCATTCGGAATAGACTGGGATGATCTCTGCTGAGCTGATCCGCTAGCTTCAACTTTTTGTTTAATAAACTTCAGGGTAATCTCATCAGCAGATCTTTTCCTTTTCTGAGAGGTTGACCCAGAGCTAACTTTTGGCTGACTTTGTGAAACAGGAACTCTCGGCTGTCTATGACGTCTATTCTGGGAGGAGACACAAAGCACCTACATAAGTAGAAACCAATCCAACCAGTCAGTGCTATTGGATAGGAAACCATAGACATAACAAGAAAATAAAATTCCACCCAGTAACAAAAAGGATACTATAATAAGTAGACAAGACAAATCAGCCATACAAAAGTTGCAACTAGGATGACGAAACCATCAGGCTAACAATGAGTAGTTAAAATAGAAAAGAAGGATGAAAGAAGCAAGCAATTACTCCTGATAGGATAAGCATAATGAATACTAAAACATAAGACCGTATGAAAATCCCCTTCCTGCTAAATAATCCTATACATGTTATTATTGCCAGTTTCCATGCTAAAAATTCTTTCATTAGCTAAATAATACTTCCTCCGTTGCACAAAGATTCTTGATCTAGCAAATATCAGACAAAGAAGTTGTGGAAAATGACATGGTTACCCTCATTTAGTTCATCCCAAACGTGTCCCAAAGCTATCATAAATTGTGTGGTTCAGAGCTTGAACCCCTTATGCTCCTGACTGTTGGCATCCCCAATGCAAACATTTTGATAAAAATGCATTGGAACATGAGAATGACAAACATTTTGATAAAAAAATTGAATGCTAGAACAACAGTCTTTGTGAAACGGACATATGATGAGATTGCTCTCTGTTATCAGGATTTAATAGAGAACTGCTGATGGTACAGCATTGCTAAGACAAAAATAATAGACTAGGAAAAAAAATACATTTTAACTACCCTGAAGTACCCAGTTTATCTACTAAACCCCCTAAGCTTCGAGAATCAGATCACCTCCTATCATCAGTCTTTTCTTTATATCAGCAACCCCTGGATGCTGCTCCCATTCAATTCAGTGACTCACCCACAGTCATAATGGCCTGCCACTAGCTTTTCTACACCACTGTGTTCGCAATGCTCTTACTCACCAAGGTGCGCTAAGCATCCTTCCACTAAGTTTTCCCTCAAGGCCAGTGGTGACGACATGCTTGGGGATTTGGCTAGGCAATTTCTCATATAAATTATCCATGAAATGTGCACGGTATAGGCTCTCACAGGCCGTACGGTAATGTGCCCCATGCAAATATCAATAATGGATCACACATTCTGCAGAACCAGTGCTGGCCTCTGCCAACCTACAGACTTCACTTATCACGCATGTCCTGTGAACCATGCAGTTACCCTCAAAATATTCTCTCTTTCATCTGAGAATTCATGAAGTTGCTACTGGTAAAACTGGCTAGAGCCAGTTACCTAGGTGGTAGCTTTATCCTCAACTTCCCATGATGGGTTACATGTACACACTCCACTTGTCATGTGGGGAATTCCGTTCCAGAGGTGAAGGTGCAGGGCTGCGGCAAATGATGGCGCTGGCGCTGACGCGATACAGGATGGGAGCGGAGTCAGGTCTGTCATCTGTTTAATCAGTTGTAATCGCGCGATACAAGTCAATGAAGAATATTAATCTCTAAACCATCTTTCTATCTACCGCTTGATCTTCCTGCCCTTGGTGTGCCCTCTCTACGCAGTGCACGCTTCTTCTCTTTCTGATTTTTTTTTTTGCCGGGTCTTCTTCTTCTCTTTCTGATGGCTGTGCATCGGCGGCCACGGGGATTGTGACCAAGGCTGCCTGTTCATCACGGTTACTACCTTCACTCAGCATCGGGCCGTGACACCACTGTAGAGGTTCTTGACTTGGGATTAATAATGTGGCAATCGTGCCATCTTAATTTACCCCGTGAAAGAAAATGAATGTAAACAGGGGATGACCTCAGGATCATACAGTTAACTGCTATGACATTAAGCATTGCCATCTTGATTTGAAGTTCTATTGGTCTCGGTGTGGCTTTCTGTTTTACCCTTTCTTCTAATACTTAATAACATGGGACTTAGTTGATTTTGTTATCTAGTTGTCTTTTCCATGATATGTGGAGTTGTCTCATAAACATAATTGATCAAGAAGAGGCAATAGCACTTTATATGAAATTATGAACCAATGTTGTGCAGAATAAGATTTTCTTGTTTTAAAAAAAGTGTATTCCACAGAACTCTGGATGGAAGCGGAGGATTCATACCTGCTGCACAGAGAGATTTAAATCCTTTGCAATTATGCGACAATCTTTATAAGAAAGTTTCCCCTTCTCAGTGACATTCATAACACGCTGTTGTAATTCTAGTCGTTGTTCAGTAGTCATTACCCTAAGTGAACTCCATGAACGAGGATGAGAAACCTACATGGAACAGGGTATCGTATAGTAACTTGTACAAATAAAATCAGAAGTTCACAACTAAGGCCTAAGAGATCTCAATACACTAACAGTATAGCCAGCATCAGCCAATATTGTTTACAATGGGGATAATTGTTGGCCTTAAAAAATAGCTGAATAGATGTTGGAAAAAATTCAACAAAATAGTAACATTCTTGCTGCTGACAATATATATAGTAAAAGAAGAAAATACAAACGTGAAATATCAATATCAAGATCCATGAAACTAGCCAACTAGAGTTTCAGAATAATAGTGAAACAGTTTATTGCAGTAGCAGTCAAATATGGTATTGAAGGTCACACAGATGGCAAAGTTGGAGGCCATGAAGTTATGAAATAATATGTGAAGGTCAGCACTACCCACTCAAAAACAATATGCTTATATGCACATTTTAGTAGAAAGAATCATATAGGCAGAACATTTTACCACAACCAGAAAAGAGAAATGATGTCTCATCATTCATCAAATGCAGGGTATGTAGAGAATGAAACAAAGGTTAGTGCAAAAATCACTATGCGGTTAGCCAACCATGTCAGTCATACATGAATCATATTTGAGAAAAATTATAAACATATTGCTTAAAGGATAAGAAAAGAAAAATGGTAATAAAAAGATAACAACAAATAAACTCGATAGCAAGATGTCATTATTACTAGGTAACAGTGAAACAACATGCAGCAGTGATGACAAACCTCAGGTACAGAATAGCCAGGGAAGGTACTTGACGGCTTAGCAAATCCAGCTGTTAAATGACAGTACTCTAACGTTTCCCAATAAGCATCAACAGACTCCTGCTTTGAAAGCATAAAATCATGCCGAAATTTTGGACAATGGCTCACATTGATGTGTGATGAGGGTAAAATTATTGGTGTAGGTTCTTCAATATAAGGCCTGAGCACCAGTGAATATGTAGGCGCAGCATCTGATTGCACGCCAGAATCCTCTACAGATGCTTTTGCAAGTTGGATCAACTAAAAAACAGAGCCAAAAGGTGGTCATTTAAAGTCTGTTGCACACTATCCAATCAAGAAAGCATGCAAGCTGAATTGCAATAAACTTGAAGTGGACTTGCTAGACAAAAAAATGCAGCAGGATAACATCAATATAAAAAGAAATCTAGTTTTATATTCTTAGTTTCATGAACTATAAGATTTGCTACTCTCGTAATGTTAACTGCAAACATCAAATACAAAGAACATTACCTTGAGCTTATCTAAAATAGTTATTAAGCGTGAGAGTCGACCCTTGGCATGAGTGTCCATGAGCTGATCATATTCCTTGGTAGGAATTTCTGAAAGTGTTTCTCCAAGACTACACTTAGTTATGACACAATCAATCTTCTTTCCTGATCCTACAACTTGTAGAAAGAGTTCAAGTGGCATTTCTTTTATAGCTGCCGACATTGAAAACAAAAGACATGACTGATTAAGGTTCTTGTTGAGATGCCCTTCTTTGGCATAATCAGATGGGCTGCACCAATTTGACAAACTGCTAACATATAACCACAGAAATTTATGTAACAGCTTTGCCCGAATCATCTTTGCGCCTATGAAACCATTGGCATAAATAGCTTCTAACACTAATGGTTTGTTGACTTTGACTCTACGTCGAATCCTCAAACCATGTATGGCAGCCGTCTGCTGTTTCTTCCTCAATTTAGTTACTGCACGAGAACGAGTTTCAGTATCAAAATTCCTTTGCCTGTCCTTGATCTCATTAACAAGTTCCATTGACAAGTCCCCAACAGAAGAATGCAGTATTACGTCAACAAGATGATTGCGAGCATAGTTTGTGACCAAGGGGACACTAACTTTGATACACTTGCAGCTGCCCTCTTTCTGAAGCTTATTCACTGTGCTAGTCAATGTCTTCCTATCCATTATTTTTCCATTCTCCTTCTCAAGTCTCTCTAGCCATTTATGTAACTCCACCATCAGTACAAATTTCTTTTTCTGGAAAGGGAAAAAGGCAAAGATGTTTATAACAATGCAATCAGGCATGCAAAGGTGTGCGTACACAATCCATGCACATGACACTGACGCACGTACTTGAGTGTGTGTGTGTAAGGGCACATATAAAAGAACAATGACTTCCAACACATCTGTATTTCAGTATATGGTTCATATGAAAATTGATTGACAATAAACTTAGCAGGCAACCTTCAACATATGAAGAATCCTTTTAGGTCTTTGATCATCACGAATTGAAGTAGGACGGTGGCACCTTTTCCTCTTACCCAAGGCAGATTTATCTAAAACAGAAAACACAAGATCACTTTAATTGAACAGACTAGTATTTGTCTATGCATATTGCACCCTTTGTTGATTTTAAAGGTACTCGTGCGTCACGAGATTTAACTGTTGTAGTTTTTTTTACCAACATTTAATACAAAAACTGTATGAAAAGTTTAGTTATAGTGATTCACAGAAGTGACACCTTAAATTTGCATTCAATGTACTTTCATATTATCATAATTTGCAGTTATTAGGAAAATCATAAACTAATGGTCAAAATTCAGTACAATGTAATTCAAAAAAAAAAATCAAGCCTGCACGAGAAAATTTTAAAAATGAACTTGACTAATTGGATAAAATATACAAATGGGTTTGAATATTATTGTACAATCTGACAATGGGTGCATGAAACAGGGTGTATTATTGCTTATTTATTTGAATGGATTATGGAATTACATGAAGCATTTGGATCTGTGGGCACCCGCAAGTCAAGGTCAAAGTAAGTCAGTTTGAGGCAGCACATAGACCAAATGGTCTTACAGAAGCGTTGCAGTTCCCACTTCCCAGATAGACAATGAGCACGGTTTTACAAAATAAATAGAAAGTGACAGGAATTTAGATTGATGTACCTTCCTCTAGTAGTTGAGAAGCTCCAACACAAGTTTCACGGTTACTCAGGAGGTGAGGTCCGATTAGTTTATCAGAGTATTCTTCTTCAAACGAGAAATTGTTATCAACACATAAATCACCCTTAGGGCTAGGAGAACCTGATCCTTTAGATGGAGCTAGTGACCACAAATCGGCACAATAATCATGATCATCTAGGAGCACATCAAAGTTTTGCAGAGCAATACGAGCTTTGTAGTGTGAAAAGTTTTTCGAAGTCCAAACTCGGTATTGTGATGTTTTATCTAGAACTTCAGCCTCCCGAATCAACTTGAATCTTTCAAGCATAGATGAAACTCGTCTGTGGATCCTTTTTGAATTGTTGTGCCCAAGACGTTTGCCAAGCTAATTGGAAGTAATATGAGAGCATGAGTTGCTGATTTCAATAAATATATAGAAAACCAACATGCCACACCAGACGAGGTAAGCAGAAACAAGCCATTTTACAGTAGAATGTGCCTGTGCTGTGAACTGCAATGTATCCCAAATTTATTTTCATCCGGATTACAATCAAGAAGGATAATGTATTGGTCATAATAAGGCGATCTTATCTCATTTAAGTTGGGCAGTCAATAAAATTCTGAACAAAAATTTGTTAAGGCCACTGCAGCTCAAACAAAAAGAAAAGTATTTTGTGCTACTAGAAATGAGCTAGGCACAAACCGCAAGTAGGAATCACCAAATGCCATTACCTGTTTGCATGCAAGTATATTGGAAAATATGCCAGTAGCAGTGCATGCTACCATCTCAGATATGCGACAATATATAGTTTATATGCTTGTATAATAGGTTATATTACCGACAATACAGATATTTGACTATGATTGTGTTTAAAGGTCGATATCGAAACTAAATTAACCCCCAATAACTAGCCTGACATGTTAAGGCCCTGTTAAGGACACGGAATTTTTCACAATCTGTGGGAATACAAATGCTCCCCATGAAAGTACTACTTTGAGGGTCTAAACTTTTAGGTTTAAAGATGGATTGGCTATGATTTTTTATATTGAAATTCACCTGGATATCTCACTACCTTGCATATGGATTGGGATTTGCTGTTATGTGCTTTTTCTTTTCAAAAACGCAGGACAACTGTGCTTAATTTCATTAAGAAGAGAGAAATATTAACAAAGAAAGGGTCAAGGAACCCCTCCCACCAGAACACTTCCAACAAGCGTCACACATAAGTGAGGCCCAACCAACAAACCCACTAAAGGTAACTCACTGCTGGGGTAAGTGACTTAGAAAGAAACTCATGGAGCGCATGGGCTCCCACTAAACACCATATACTACCCTCAATTAGCCACAGCTTGCAGCCCCCCGCCAAATCAGGATTAGCACCATTGAAAACACAATCATTACGGTGTTAATGTGTTATCAGCCCAAGGTAGCCTAGGTACTGTTCACACGTGAACTGTAGCGTTTTGCAATTACTGTGGTGGCACAAGGACCTATTTCCATAATATTAGACACAAATTTCTGAGAGGAGTCAAATTAACCTATCTATATAAGGATGTGATTCAGTGATTGTACCTACTATGAATAAACAAGAAAAGGGCTGACCAGAGCCTCTAGTGTGCCAGGAGAAGCCCACACAACCAGAGAGTGACCAGCATTATTCCCAACCTTAGGACCTATCCTTGACCCAATCCATAACATTAACCCGGTTATTTTGAAAGAGAAAAAAAAGAAGGAAATTTGAGATAGTGATAACAACATTGACCGTAAGGGTGTTGAGATTGATACTGAAGTGGAGGAAACCTTCTAGCAATCTAACCAATTTGTTGCAGCACAAGCTGGGCTCATGTTCATCCATCACTACGTATAAAAAGGTCATATCACTCTGGCATGTCAAGAATCAAGATGCTATCGCTGGCCTTATATCACATTGCTGGCAAAGCTCTGGAATGGAGTACATCGTGCTTTTGCTGCTATGCTTGGCCTACACAAAACTGATGCTCCGCTAATGCAGCCCACATGAAGCCTCCAGCCCCCCACTGCCATGATCAACCTATGTTACACCCCCTCAAGCCCACCACCACACACCTAGCCTTTATTGTTGCAATCATGTCACACCGATTATGCGTTGCAATCATGCTGCACTAATCGTAGCCAAGGACCCATAAGGAGAAAATATCTCACTTGGAAACGACAAAGATGACCAATGATGTAGGAAAAAAATGGGTAAATATTAATTTGTTTGTTGAAGAAGTATAACTTGTTTTTGTCCAAGATTCGTTTTTGAGATAACAGATGGAGATGGGAAATTATTTCTGTTCTCCATCATGATAAATCGACTACTACAACTAAGTTTTTAAAGCAAGTGCATTGTTTTATATATGATTGTAAATAGAAACTAGATACTATCAACCAGGAACCAGGAACTACAATGAAGCTGAATGGTGTTCTGAAGAAGCAATATAAAGGTTGATGCTATGAAGAAATTTTAGCACATCATTAAAAAGAACATGATACACCAAATGTTGAAAGGTTCAGAGACATACCTCAACAAGGGTTATACCCTTTGGCCCTTGAGCACTGATCATATCATATATACAGTTTTCTAAAGAGAGTTCCATAATTTGGTCAGTTGCCTGCCCTTTCTTGCCAAGTTTGTAGTTTGAGGTTTGAATTTTTGGCAGAAACTCATTTGGATCAAATTTCTTCAAAAGACGTAAACAGGGAACAATCTGAAAAAGATGAGCATTTTTATAGCTTATGGTCAACAAGGTATGTGACCGAGTAAATGATTAAAGCATGAGTGAGGCACACCAGGCTGATAACTATGTCACTACATGCCTAACAGATCAAATTATTGCATGTTTTCATTGCAGCTGTGAAAGAAAATATAGCATAAGTGTTGCAGTTGCCAAACAGATTTGGATGGAACTGCTACAGTCCTGTAAGCATGCTAGAAGGACGAGTTCTTAGTTGTCTAACCATGTTTCAAGTAAAAACTTGTGCACTCTGTTTCAGATTATTTTAAATAAAAAATAGAACTGGAGGCATAGCCTTTTTGTTAAAAAGAAAAGAGACATGAAATTTGGTAAAACAAATTTCAACCTGCATCCAAACCAGGGTATGAAACCGTGCTGGCGATTTCTGAAGACCGAAAGATTTTCAAAACATGAAATCGATTATTTTGAATTTACTGTTCTTGACCAAAAAAACCACCAATAACCAGAAGTATTAAGACCAAATATTAGAAAAAGGCATATAACTGAAAAGACTACAAAGTGGGAGGAAAGATAATTTCACCTTATCATCAACTTTGGCATCAAATTCTTCAACAAGGTGTGCGTCTCTAAGCCTATGCAGTACCTGGAGAAAAGGTGTCGCGGTAACACCCAAATAAGTGCAACCATAAAGTGTATAACACAAACAGGAAGTGATTACAAACAAACTCAAATTTCTCCATGCTCTATGCCCAAATGTCATCCTGTAATTGAGATCATTTTTTATGTCTGACACGACAAGAACCTATAGGAAATAGTTACTGAAGGTTAGAAAACTGGAAAAATGAAAAAGAACACCGAACAAATGAACAGAACAATTGACCCTTCCACTAGCTTCTTCGAGTTTGTCACAAATGGCTTTCATTGCTGGAAGATAATCATGGATAGATACATCATTATCGGAGTTTACACCAAAAGTCCCATCTTGTAGATCATCTATGTTGGTCTCTTCATTGCTCACCAATAGTCCGGGCTTTATAATCTCAATTCTCTGGTGTGAATTCATACAGTCTTTGGCATATCTAGTGAGATACAATGAGTTGGTATTGGTTACTCGTTTATTCTGTGAAGCATCTTCCTTCTCAGCTCCATTGCCTTTAAACTTTATAATAGTTGATCGTCTAACAATTAACTTCTGGGACTGAAGGCTTTGCACAATATAATGGAAGTTGTTCCCTTCCATGCCAAAACTTTTGCACAGGTCATTTTGTGTTACACCAGAAGTCCTATGACAAATACATGATATAAGTTATTGCACACATTATATCAAAGGCACTATACTTAGTTAGTCTATGAACGTTTGATAATTTGACCAAATGTCACACCTGACACACCAGATGATAATTTGATCAAATGTCACATTGGGTAGATGTTGTGACCAAATGCCACAACAGATGATAATTTAGACCAAAAATGTCACAAAACCAGGACGAACCTGCTTGCCCCGACACGTTGTAAAGCCTTCTTCTGGACGGCACTCATCTCCGATTTGGAGTGCCTGAGATCATACATGCCAAGGAAGTTGTCCCTGAGCGCGGCGCTCGCAACCAGCCGCATGCCCAGCCGCTCGGCGTCCTCCACGCCGACCTTGGGATCGTCGACGACCGGCCCCTCCGCCTCCGCCTCCGCCTCCCCCAGCACGACGCTGATGACGGGGAGCACGATGAGGCGGGCCCAGACGGCGCGCTTGACAGCCGGCCCAATTGGGAGGCCGGCCGCCTCGAGCGCGCCACGGAGCGCCGCCCAGAGATCGGTCACCGGGATGCCGGCCGAGAGGCGGGCGCTCACCTCCTCCAGCGCCGCCGAGACGAGCGCGTCCATCGGCTACCTTCCGCTAGGGTTTTAGCTCTAGCCGCATCGGCTACCTTCGGCTCTCCACGAGACGGGAAGAGAGGATTGCTTCGCTATGGGCTATGGCGAGTCGGCGAGGTGGAGGCAGCGCGCGACGATGGCCGCGCGGCGGCGCCGCGCGCGCGACCGACGGCGAGATGAACCGGTGTTCCGTGCGGTTCAGGCGTGCCACGTTCACGCGCTGTTTTGCGAATAGGCCCTTGAATTTAAACAAAAGTAGTTTCCGTGTTCTTAACTTTTTATTGTAGTCCCTATATGTCCGCTCGATTTTATTTTTATGTTTTGAGTTTTGATTTTTTAATTTTAAAATAATCATTCTAAAACTTATTTTAAAAATACTTCTTTTAACCACATCAATCAGTGGGACTAACATAGCAAAACATCGCTGCCACACTCATCTAAGGTAGGGATGAAAACGGTCGGAACGATCGGAAAACAGCCTCAACCATTTCCGTAACCATATTTTTCTTGGAAACGAAATTGGAAACGATAAAGTCGGAAACAAAAACGATATCGGAAATATCGGAAAACCGGAAACGGAACAATACGGACGGAAACATGTCGGTACAGATCGGAAACCGGTAACAAATACGGAAACATTAAACTATAAAAACATATATTTAACTTTACATAAGTATGTTATATATATATATACATAAATTCAAGCTTATACTATATAAATTATAAATTAACTTCATTTTAGCCATGTACAAAAGTTAGAGATTTTATTGAAGAGTCATTCAATCTATAAGCTGTGGGTTAAGTATAGACATGTCCTATAATATCGACATATTTAGAATACGGTAATTACCATATTATAAGAAACGGTAATTTCCGCGAGAATACGGTAAATACGGAAACGATCGGTATAACAGCAAAACCATTTCCGTTTTCATTTCCATATTTTTTACCATTTCCATTTTTGTTTCGGTCGATTACCATTTCCATATGGCTCGGCCGGTAGAAAGTCGAAAACGAACGCCGGTCGGCCGGTAATTACCGTTACCGTTTTCACCCCTAATCTAAGGCCCCGTTTGATAGATTTACAACTCCTAAATTTAACTACCGGAGATAAGATCTGAAGTGAATTGTAGAGTAGCATAACCCAATTCCACCTATCTATTTTTTTTTATAACGCTCCAGCTAGCTCTATTCCGACTTTAGGTGGAGTTAGAGTCAGAGTAGTGTCAAACAAGACTTAAATGAAGTGGCAGCGTTATTTGATCACGCCATGTTAACTAACGTGACAAAATAAAACTATCATGTCCACTACGGGTGATGTAATTTTGTCATGCTACTGTTTTAGAATGAATCTCTATCTCCACTAATATAAAAATTAAAGATATTTTTATCGGTACTTTAGTACGTCATCCGTGTATAAGTCAGTTTTAAGGTCATTCGCTTATTTAAGTGAGTTTTTAAGTTCGTTCGCTTTTGAAAATATTGGAGCGTATAAGAAATCTCTTTTAAAATACTCGCATGCTAACTTGAGACGTTCGGACTCCTAATTACAGCTCATGATTTTGTAAAAAAAAATATTCAAGGTAAATTTTACCTTAGCTAAACCGTACAACAATAATAATAAAGATTAAAATAGTCTTCGCCCGTTACAACACACCGGCGTTCTTTTCTAGTTATTTGAAAATTAAAAAGTAAAAAAAAAAGTTGAAATAAATTTTATCCGCTCCCCACCAAGCCAGCCAGCCCCACTGCCCGACGGCACCCGGCCGCCGCCGCCGCCGCCTCCTCGACTCCTCCGCCCCGCCGCGTCGCACCCGACGACCGGACCGCCGTCTCCGCCTGCCGCCCGCACGGCCGCACCCGGTGAGTGGCTGGATGGATCCTGTTTAGTTCTTTGCTTCCTCGGTATTTGAGTGAAAATTTTGTTCTTTGATGGGTTTGGGCGCGCGATTTGGTGGGAGGTGAACTCTTCTAGATTCTCCACTGCTGCCGAAATTAAGCTGTGATCGATGTTCATGGTACTCTAGAATGATACGCGAGATGTTAGGGTCTAGGTTCCCCATTGCTGCCAAATTTTAGTTGTGATTGATGTCCATGGAACTCTAGAATGATACACGTGAGATGTTAGGGTTGTGCGATTGCGCAAAACTAGTTGTGTTTGGGCATATTGTGGATCTGATGCAGCAGGTCATAAGACTGAGTGTGTGTGATCTGGAAGCACTCCTCATTCTTTTTAGTCTTGCATATGCTACTGCCGCTTGGTTCTGTGCTTCACTACTGAGTACTATGCCCATTCATGTCTATTTTCCTGTTGTTGAAATTAATTAAGCTACATTTGTGGCCAGTCAAAACTGCTCAACTGGTTGACTTCTAAATGATACAGTTTCTTTTTTATCATAGCACTGTGTTGATTTCGTTTATTGGATCCCTCGGATTGCAAAATGCTTGCCAAAGGGAGGAAAGTTGCTGGAAGGGGTGGAGACATGTCTGCACACTATGCATTTGGGCTGCAGGAAGATGATGCGATCATTAAACGTAGGCTTCTGACCAGGACAACAACTACCAGGGGTGAACCACCACTAAAGAAGCTTCAGAAGAAGTTCATGTCCTTTGCCACTGAGGTTGAGAAGGATGCTGACAACATAAGTGACTGTGAGAGGTTGTACAAGGCCTTTTTACAGGAAATTAATGCTTTTGTGTTGCCTCTTCTTAAGAGCAAGGCCGTGGTTGATGCAAACCTTAGGGAGAAGGAGAGCTTCAACGAGCTGCAAGACGAGATTCAGCGACAAATCTTGCAAGCTCAGACTGATATTGAGGAACTCAAAAAGAAACTGGAACAGAGCAGAATTGAGAGGCTGTACAAAGAGGAGTGCGAAGCGATCAGAAAAATGATTTCTTTGCAGCCTCCACGATCGGAAACAGAGAAGCTCATCGCGGGTCTTGAGAAGGAGATTGCTAATTTGGAGGCCGAGAATACAGCATGTATAAGGACTCTGGAACTAAGGAAGAAGCAGCTTTCTCTTCTTCTTCATGTGGTGAGTTTATTCGTCAGGTTCCTTTTGCTTTTCTGAATCATGCCTTTTCCCTTTCTATATAGAGTGGTAAGAGGATACTCATTGGAATTTATTAATCTGCATGGTAAGCTTAAATGATATACTACTTTTACAAACATTGTTTCCCGCAAGACCGCAACACAAAACTACGTTTAGGAAAAATATGACTGTTTCTGATTTTTATCAAATTATAACTATTAGCATCCATTTGTCTAAGAAGGAACTTGGAAGACTATATGTAGCTATTTTAATCATGCCATGCAGTTCATTGTTTTGGCTGATGCCTATTGATTTCTGATGTTGTATCTATTACAGGTCGAGGAATTGCAGATCTCAATCGAAGATGAGCAGAGGAGCATAGCGGATGAGCTGAGAGCTGGCGCTGAAGAGCAGCAGAACATGAGCACAGATGAAGGTAGCGGCGATGCTTCAGATGCCATGGCTTTAGACTGATCCTAGCAGAAAAGCGCGATGCCTGCCTAGTTCCACAAAGGCAGATACGTTTTCTTGTGGCTATATAGCACTTAATTGCCTTGGTTAGACTTGTAGGTTGCTTAATTACACCCTGACACATGATGACTCTCGTGTAGTTTTTTTTTTAGAGAGAAGGCCAGAGTCTCTCGTGTAGTTTCAGTTGTAATTTCAGTCCTAAGTTGTAATCGTGTGCCCTTTGTCTGAAGGAACAGAACATCATGGTGTGACATATACTCCTCCAGATTATTCCAACATGTATGGTTGTTATTATTTGCTAAACAAGCCCCTAACTGAATGCTAATCGACGCACTGTCGACGTGGAAACCAAATTCTAGTCCGAGTCCAGCTCTGCCCTTGTTGCGGCTAATAAAAGGGCTGAAGTTACGGCCGGTGAGCGATCGATCAGGTAATTTTAATTTACCTTTGGTTGTTGGCTGCGTTAGGTTTTTAACCCAAGGAGCAAGAAGCTAGGTACATAGAGACGATGAAGTACGTGGTGGTGATGGGAGGCGTGATCAGCGGCCTCGGCAAGGGGGTGACGGCGAGCAGCATTGGCGTCGTCCTCAAGGCGTGCGGCCTCCGCGTTACGTCCATTAAGATCGGTACGTACTGGAGTACTCCTAGCAACCAACGTGCTGCTAATTCCTCCTTTTCTCTTTTTCCTATATATGTTTGTGTATGTTTTAGTTTACTACTGTACTAACCTCCATCCCTAAATTAATAACTGTAATTCTAACGTATACCTTTTTTGTCTCAAAATATAACAGAGGTAGTATGTTTATTTGAATCCTAGAAGTGCATGCACTTGTTAGGTCAAGTTTGACACATTATACAACGAATTGTTACATAGGATTATAAAATTGATTGTAGGGATAAATTAAATATTCCTTAAAATAAATTTAACAAATAGCTTAGAGTAAGTAGACTAATTAATGCAGGTGAAGAATCTTTTCAGAAAACGTATTTTTAGAGAAGTAGCTGAAAAGAACAAGGCCTTAAGTCCGACCTAAAGTCACCTCTTTTCTTTGTAGATTTACCGATTGCTGTTTCCTTCTGCTTATCGATCTGTTTTAGAGGATTTTCTAGAAAAAGAACACTTCATATCAGCGAGGCGTATTGCCTTGTAGAATAATCATGCCAACTTTTATTTAATCAGGCGTTTGATGGATTGAGGTAAGACGTACTTGTTGTAACTGTATCGCTCAAATGTGCAGATCCTTACTTTAACGCTGATGCTGGAACTATATCTCCTCATGAACACGGCGAAGTGTTTGTATTAGATGATGGTGGTGAGGTATTGGATAAATTGATGTTCACGTCGATGCATCCATAATAGGAGTCATTTTTGTTCAATTGATGTATATATTATCTTGCACTTGTTGCAGGTGGACTTGGATCTTGGAAACTATGAGAGGTTTCTCGACATTAAACTAACTCGAGACCATAGCATAACCGCCGGAAAGATCCATCATGTATGTATAAACTTTTGAATAATAGAGTGAACACATCATTTCATTCACTCCCAAACATTGATTTACTGCCTAGAACCCACATGCATGTCTAAGCTATGGCCAATAAATTGTTGGCCACATTTACACTTAAAAAATAACGCCTTAGGCAGAGTTTGAAAAATAAATGGATGTTATTTTTTTTTAGAAAATGGGTAAAACCCAACCTCTACATCCAAACAGATGTACATAGCCAAATGTTATGTATGTTAGATTATGATATACTCCCACTATTTAACTAAACAAAAATCAATATTGTAATATGTAAGTACTTAGAATAACATAATGAAAGCTATGAGCTTTCGCAAACAAATGAATAAATAAATAAATAAGTCTCATTTTTTAAGCAATATGCTAGCTCTTGATTTGTTTACTTAAAGCCATGTTCTTGTGGTGGTTGACGACAGTATGTTTACGAAAAAGAGAGAAGGGGAGACTACTTGGGTCAGACTGTTCAGGTGCCAACCACTTCTCCTCAATTCTTCTTAATTTGTTTTTCAATTTTTGGTAAATTTAATATCTACATTTCTTGAAAATCCAACCAATCATCATTTTTTTAAGGTTATCCCACATATTACAAATGAGATACAAGATTGGATTGAGCGTATCGCGATGGTTCCCGTTGATGGTGAGGTGGATCCTGCCGATGTCTATATAATAGAGCTCGGTGGCACTATAGGTAACAAGAGACAATTAACCAGCTGCATTTTATTCTTAACAAATTCTTAGAGTTACATAAATTTTTGGACTTACAAGTCAATTTAAAAGCTATATATCATGTCTTTATTTTCAGTTTATTAACAGTATTTGTTCGACACTATGCTGCAGGCGATATTGAATCCACGCAATTTATTGAAGCCTTTAGTCAATTCTCCTATCGTGTTGGTAAATAAATTGAATTATTGCATAACAGATATTTTAATTTTCTCCATGGTGATATGATAACCTTATTTGCATGTTATTTTTGGACAGGTGCTGGTAATTTATGTGTGGTGCACGTTGGTCTTGTTCCAGTTTTGAACGTTGTGGGTGAGCAGGTCAGAAAAATCATGTCTATTAATTAACCACAGCTTTGCTATTTGCTAATTGTCGTCTTCGTCTTGAAAATAATATCCTACATCTTTTGGTTTATGTTCTTGTGTAGAAAACTAAGCCCACTCAAAACAGTATACGTAAGTAGAGAATATGGTCTCACGCCAAATATTATAGCTTGCCGCTGTACCAAGGTTTGTATTATGAACCCAGTAACCTTCATCTTGCGGTTCATTTTTAGTTTTGGAAGTTGTGGTAGTCTTTTATTTATTAACTAAGAGCGTGTTTATTTATTAATAGGAACTGGAGAAAAATGTGAAAGAAAAACTCTCTCTCTTCTGCCATGTGCCGGTAATGAAATTTTCTTGGCTTTTAGTTAATGATTATTTTCAGCAACTAATTGCTCTAGTTGCTAATGAACTCTTGTGGTCATCGCAGGTAGCTAACATTTTTACTCTGTATGATGTTTCAAACATCTGGCGTGTTCCTCTGTTATTGCGGGTAAACAGCTTTCTTATACACCAGACGAAAATTTTCACCCTTGCACTGTGCTGAATATCTTCCTCCATCGTTTTAGGACCAAAAGGCAGATCAAGCTATTCTTAAAGTTTTGAATCTTGAAAGGTAAAATTTCCATGTGTCATATATATATGTAAGTTGAAGGTGTCATGCTGCTATACGCAATCCTAAATTCTCCTTTATCTCATTTGCAGCGTTGCCGAAGAGCCTAACTTGGAGGAATGGATGGCAAGGGCTGATCTATATGACACTTTACATGAAACAGTCAGCCTCTTTTTCATCCTTTTTTAAATAACGGATTTTTCATAAATCCGGTCTTTATATTTACGAAAGATATACACATCCAATATTTTTTATCCTCGTGATGGAAACGAAAGGGATATTTGAGATTACATTAAAAAAGGAAAAATATATACGTTCTATTGTTTTTCTTACTAACACTGATGTGTCATGGTGTGAGTACATCTAGATTTATCTAAATCAAACTATTGAGATCATTGTTAGTAAAAGTTCAGTAAGAAAAATTTAGAAAGACCTAAGCAATCTGTGTACTCTTTTTTCAGGTCAGGATTGCCATGGTTGGAAAATATACCGGTGTATCTGATACATACCTTTCTGTGATGAAGGTGGGATGCATGGATCCCTATGGTGTTTTCTTCCTTCAGTCCATTACAAACCTCATCGGTTTTGTCCAACATATTTTTTGATTTGCAATTCTTGTAGGCTCTTCTACATGCTTGTATAGCTTGTGGCAGAAAACTTCTTGTTGATTGGGTTCCTTCCACCGATCTTGAGGATTCAACTGCCAGTGTGGTTTGAAAAACTTACACTATGCATCATATTTTGCTCTGTAGTATATATATTTGTCTCCTTACATGTTTTTTGTTAAATTTTAATAGGCACCTGATGCTTACAGCACAGCATGGAGTTTACTGAGGGTGAGAAGTTTACTCCTGAAATATTTGCTACATGTAGAATTTTTATTATATATGCTTTATCTGAAATATATTTCATTTCAGGGTGCAGATGGCATTTTAGTACCTGGTGGCTTTGGAGAAAGAGGTGTTGAGGGGAAAATATTGGCTGCCAAGCACGCACGCGAAAACGATGTCCCTTTCCTGGGCATATGCCTTGGCATGCAGCTCGCCGTGGTAGAATTCGCATGCCATGTTTTGAAACTGCCTGATGCGAACAGCACAGAGTTTGATGCCAAAACGGAGAACCCATGTGTAATTATAATGCCAGAGGTAATTAACTGTCAAACCCTCAGTCTATATATATAGATATGATTGTAACATTTATATCCACTCGTGAATATAAATATCAGATTTCTATTTATTGTGTAAAAACGTGTATTTGCCTTTAGTTTTTTTTTTAGAAAAATGTGTTGCATTTAGGTGTATGTACTGGTTAGCTATAAACTTAATTTAGGCCATTAGTTACTTGTTTCCTTAAATAAGTAACTTAATTTACTTGCATTTCCTTCAGTGCTCCAACGAAGGAAAGGGTGGTACCATGCGGCGTGGATCAAAGAGGACATTTTTCAAGGTTGCAAATAGCAAGTCTGCCAAGCTGTGAGTGATCATGAACACTTACCCTTACTGTAATTGCATTGTTTCTGTTTTAATTTTCTGTGTTAATTACGTTGCAATCACTCAGATATGGTAGCGTCAACCACATAGATGAGAGGTTTCGGCACAGATACCAGGTTTGTTGTTCAATATCTTTAGTGTAGTTCATCATAATGTTACTCATGGTGTTTTAATTGCTTTTTTACCTTTTTTTTAAAAAAAGAACTGTGATATTGACTAACTTCCCAGGTAAATCCCAATGTGGTGCAATTATTTGAGAACAATGGGCTTCAGGTTGTAGGCACAGACAAGACCGGAGAAATTGTGCAGGTACAAGCTGAAGAACCCAGCTTGCTTGAACAAATTTCAACTTTTCACTTTTCCATTATTCATGCATGCTGATGTTATTGTTTGTCCAATTTTCTAGATCGTCGAAATACCCAATCATCGATTTTTCGTTGGCGTTCAATTTCACCCCGAGTTTATGTCGAGACCTTCGAAACCTTCCGCACTTTTTGTCGGTAAGCTACTTAAACCTCTGTAAACGACCCAAGGGAAGTTGATATATATCTTTCTTTTGAAAAAAAAAAAAGTTAGCGATGTAATATCAACATACCGCTTTCTCGAGTACCGTCAAAATTTCTCTTTGACAATCTGATCAACATGTATACCGACCTGCAGGACTAATCGCTGCATCGTGTGGGCAACTGGATGGTGTGCTGCAAGATGCGGCTTGTAACCATGAGCCACAGCAGAATCAGCGTGCAGAGAAGCGTCCTGCTGCTAGTGATCTAGGAGATTGAACCTGCCGCAGCAAGCGGCAAGTGACGGCGTGCTCTGATTCAAATGACCCTGATGAAGCACCGGATGTCAAAAGCTGTTAATTGTAGTTGCCGTTTCTTGATATCATTGTTAGTAAGAATTTTGTAAAAAGAAAAAAAATAAGTATGTGTAGCAGTGTTCTTATAATGGAAATGGGGGAGAATAATCCTCTCTTTTTTAAAAAAAAAGGAAAAAAAAAGTAAAGGTGTGCAACACATGAATACATGATGCATTGCATCGTCACCAGTAGTTCTTCATGTCGAGATACGGACTAGGGGTTTTTTTGTCCGACCTTTTCTCCGCTCTTCACAAAAAATCTGGTTTTTTTGGGAGGTCCGTGGATGTTTAGAAAAAAAAAAGTAAGCTCTTCTAGGTTAATCAGCATATCTACTGGAATTCAAGCTAATGCAACCATCGGATTCTTCAATAAATATGTGTGCTAAATAGGAACTGTTTTACATTTGCTAGCATCGGAAGGCTACATGTTACTGCTATAATTGACAATAACGATCGCAACAGACTTTGCAGACAAAATGAAGTCGCTGTGATAACCTTATGGTCCTCACTAATCCTTTGTTCAGTATTTTCACCGTTATCTGGTCAGGCTCAATAAAGTCATCCAGAAGTTCAGTTTCATCAGCACCGCCACTGTTACTAGATCAGAAGTTAATTTTTATAGTTGAAACCAGTGCATCCCTTAATAAGATACTCTTACTGTGTATTTAGTCATGAAGACAATGAGGAACAAGCAATTTGTTTAATTGTTTGTTGAAATCATCAGTTTGTCAGATTGAGACACATACTACAAGTTATTCATTGGCCGTCAAGTGCTTTAATTGGAAGTAAATTTCAAACTCTTTGGGAGATTTCTTTGGAACTGGATCGGCTGAAGGACCTGTGGAGGCGATACCGAGGCACTGAGGCAGTGCTGGCCCTTGGCGTAGCCCTCCCAATCCATGGCGGCCTCCCCCTGGCCCCTGGGTAGGTTTTAGGCGCCTGGTGGTGGTGGATCGGTGCCGGTGGGGGATTTGCCGGGTCGGCGAAAGAATGCCGACCAAATTTCATTAAGATTGAGAGTAAAATACATGTATTCCGATATTAAACTGTCGAGTCAAGGCAAAAGCCTTGAAACAAAGTGAGAAAAAGAAAAGGGGAAAACTATGCCGGTGGGGGGATTCAGCGAGTTGAATGCGGACAAGGCGGTTTAATAACCGGAATCAGGGTACGGTTATGTATGGGTTATCCCGATCAATCGTATTCGTGTCCAATTCCAAATGGACAATGCGTGCCTACTTAAATTAAGTAAGGCGCGTTTAATAACCAATTAAGACAAGGGGATATACTACAGGACATACAGATCAATCATGGCGGCAGTCTTCTGCGGGGACATGATCCCGGTAAAGTTGTGGTGGGAGATCCTGCTCAGGGCACCAACCAAAGACGTCGCCCGGTCAAGCTGCGTGTCAACGCAGTGGCGCGGCATCGTCAGCGACCCCTCCTTTCGGAAGCTCCACCATGACAGGCATGCCGTGCCCAACCTCAACGACGGCATCTCCGACACTTTGCTCGTCGCCACGTCTGACGTCGACGGTGAAAGCGTCTCCAGCGTCTTCCCGGCTGCACTGGTCTCTCCGGCGGTGACGGGCCAGGCGCCCATCTGCCGGGTCAACAACCCATACGGCTACAGCCTCACCAACGTCTGCAATGGATTCCTCTGCTTCGCCTCCTGGAGCAGAGCCAAGGTCATCGTGTGCAACCCCGTCACCGGCGAGAAGCTGGCGCTCCCCAGGGCTCCTCACCTTGGACTCGAGAAGCGTCGACGTTACTCGCGGCCGGTCACGTTCGCCTTGGGGTTCAGCCCGACCACCGGTGCGTACAAGCTGTTCCGCTTTGCCGACCGCAGGATGGACGTGTACACGCTTGCCGCTGCTGGCGGTTGGCGCCAACACCCGTTTCCTCACCCGTACCGCGTGGTACAAAATACGCCAACTATTGTTGTAGGTGGTAAGATATGCATGCTGACAGCCAACCCGGCGTCGCATCAGCACCCAAACGATGTTGGCAAACCCGGTCCGGTGATGGTTGTCGATGTCGCAAGCGAGGAGTACCGCACGTACAACCCAGCGGACTATGGGTGCCTGTGGGCCGACATGGCAGTGAGCGGCTTTGAGCTGCACGGACGGCTATGCCTGGCCATCAGGTCTGATACGGAAATCCATTTCTGGAAAATGCCTGTTGAAGAAATATCCATGCGTGCTTGGCTCGATGGTGATACCCACACGTTGTGCTACGGAGTGGACAATAAGTTGTACTCCAGGTATGTCGGCACAACCATGACGATGACAACATCGCTGGCGGCACGGTGTCTTTCTCCGACCGAGGTTATGTCATGGGACTGCAAAATCCGTCTCCCTACGACTCCACCGTGGTTAGTGTCGTGCAACTGGAACATCTACACGGGATACCGCCCCAGCCTGCTCTCGCCTCTCACCTTTGCGTCCCAGCAAGATAACAACGACGATGATGAAGATGAAGGCGACGAGTCCCGTCCATTCGTCCGCAGATTGTTGTGTGCACTACGACACCAGAAATCGCAGAAACGCCGCATGTCTCCAACATCAACCGATCATACCAACGGCAAGAGAGTTTGCTATAGAAATCCATGCATATGCTAATGTAAATATGTAATTCCCCGATCCTCGTTGACAATATTCACATAGAAATTGTATTTTAAGCAGTACAAACAATACATAAACTTATTTATGTGGTGGATTCAATCAATCCTTTCCGGCCCAAAAAATATGGCCCACGTAGACCACATCCCCTTTTAGGCGGCCCATCGAGCTAGCGGCCAGACCGTACTTGTACCGTCTATTTGAATTTTTTTCATTTTTAAATTTTTTTCTTTTAATATTTACAGAAATAATCTATGGCGCAAAAAATTACAAAAATAAACAGTAGAGGGCGGCAAGCTGACGTGGCAGACGGCGGCTGCCGCCATCTGCAAAAATTACATTTAGCCCCTTGCCGCCCTCTGTAAGGGTTGCAAGGGGCTAAATGCAATTTTCGTAGCGCTAAAGAGCATTTGGCTGGTACTTTTGCATCTGGGCCCCTTGCCGCCCAGATGCAAAAAGTACCAAGGGCGGCAAAAGGCCCAGATGCAAAAAGTACCAGCCAAAAAGTATTAGGCCCGGGTTGGCTTTTTTTGCATGGGAGCCCCTTGCCGGTTTTCGTCGAAAAAAAAAACCCTCCCTCTCCCGTCACCGCCCGTCCCTCCCCTATTTGCAACGTCACCGCCCGTCCCTCCCCTATTTGCAACGTCAGCTTGCCCCTCCCCTATTTGCAACGTCAGCTTGCCGCCCGTCTGCCATTACCGCCTGTCCCTCCCCCGTTTGCCACGTCAGCTTACCTCTCCCGTCACCGCCCGTCTGCCGTCACCGCCCGTCCCTCCCCTATTTGCAACGTCAGCTTGCCGCCCATCTGCCGTTACCGCCCGTCCCTCACCCGTTTGCCACGTCAGCTTGCCGCCCTAATGGAGGGCAGTAGGGTCTATTTTTGTAATTTTTTGCGCTGATGGATTATTTCTGTAAATATTAAAAGAAAAAAAATTAAAAATGAAAAAAATTCCCGTCGCTTTCAACTCGCAGCGCTGATACCTGGCCGTCTCCGGGGGATCGGTGACCACTACGGCGTCCTGGCGCTGTGGAACCCGCTCCACGCGCCGTTACGCGACGTGCACCGTACAGCGGTGTGGCCCTTGAGATCCAAAAGGCATCAAGACAGGTAACCACAACCCTCTAAAAAAGAAAAATATTTGGAAAATATTTGCCCCTTCGTGTGAGAGTTCTGTGTCGTCGTACGTACGTGCGTGGTGACGTGTAGACTCGGGGAGACGTGAGACGAGTCAACACAGTACAGATGGGGAGACGTGAGACGAGTCGAGACAGGTACAGATGTCACGTTTTGAACTAGCTATACACAACCTGTTCTGTTGTTCTTGTGTTCATCAAGCTGCTAGAAAAGAGGCTACAGGTACTACAGTCGGATACTCTAGTGTGCTTCTTTCAGAACAAACGCTCAGGGACAACAGATCGATACATAACACGAGTGAAGGTACACAAGCTAATCGGAGCATCCCGTGATATGCTAGCATACTACTTAACCGTCGTCAGGCAGAAGCAGCAAGGCCGTCGAGTCGTCGCTCAATCGCTCATCAGTGTGTCGTCATCAGGTGAAAACCCTCCCGGCGTGCGCCGTAGTCATCGCCGGCAGATCAACCTCCCGGAGATCGGTCTTCAAGCCCTTGCCGGCGGCATTCGCCAGCGGGTGGATGCCGTGATCCGGGCCGCTCATGTACGCTCGGTTCTCCCTCTCCTTGTCGAACGACACGCTGAACTTCTCCTCCACACCTGCAATGCACGCACCAATCACCAACACAAGTAGTTAAGCTGTGACGACTGACGATAGATTGGAGAAAAAAACACAATTGAACATGAATGATTTTGCACGTACATTTGGCGAGTTCTTGGCGGAGCTGGCCGTCGCGGGTGAGAGCCATCATGATCTGGGGCAGGCCGAGCGGGAGCGCGTCGCCGCGGTCGACCTGCCAGAAGTGGATGGTCTTGCCGTAGGTCTTGCACACCCTCTCGAGGTCGCGGCGCTCGACGACGCCGGGGACGCCGGGCATGAAGAGGACGCCGCCCTTGACCTCGAACTCGTGGGTGTGCCACAGCGGCTTCTCGTCGTCGGGGAGCGTGAGGAACAGCGGCTCGGCGACGATGTACTCGACGCCGATGAGGCGCGCGCCGGCGTCGGGCCCGTCGAAGATGAGGCACTGGCGCATGTCCTCGTTGAGGTGGGCGCAGAAGTGGTGCGCCTCCACCTGCCGCGTCATGTCGTCGGCGTAGAAGTGGAACGCGCACAGGTGCTGGTGGATCTGGTTCACGGGGCCGAACCCCTGGATGCTCCCCGTCGCCGCCTCCAGCAGCGCCGTCCCCGTCTCCGTCGGCTTCCCCGGCACCTCCACCTCGTGGCACGACGCCGCCATTGCTCAACTACTAGAAGCTAGCTTGGTGTGTGTGCCGCTGGATGGATGAACGAGAGAGAGACTCGAGTGCGAGCGAGCTGTTCTTATGGTGCGCTGACTCGCCCATGCAGTTGCACACGTGTAGTTCTGGAGGAGGCACGTGTCTCCCGCGACAGATGCTTCGCTGCCGCCGGCTGCCACGAGCGCCCACGACTCGAACTATCGGCACGAAGCATATGGGCCTAAGAGCGATGAAATTGAGGTGTCCATTTTCGGCCCGCGGCCCAATAGGATTGTCAGAATTCAGCCCATTTTCCTCCGACTAACTCCATAAGGTGGTGGGCTAGACGATCTGGGTTTGAAACCTCACCCATTCTAATTATTTGATATTAGATCCTTCTCTAATATTGGCCTTTTTTTAAGAGGATTTTTAGGGTACATTGTACTGCAAGTATATACTAGCAGTATATATGATTTAACGGTGTAGATTCATCTAATCTTCCGCCCAATGAGCCTGCAGTATAAATTGAATAGGGTATATTAGTTTTTTTCATCTTTTGCGTGGAGGAATATTTTTGTATTTTCGCATTTCTTTACTTCTTCGTCAGATCCCGCTCGAGCGAATTCCAGTTGGAGAGTTAGAGCCGTTCCCTTTCCTTTGTCGCATGTTTGACCGCCGCCGCCGACAACCACCGGAAGCACGCCGCGCCCCGCGCCGCCGCCCCCGGGAATCGATTCTATTTACGTCCTCTTTTCATCCTCTTCTATCATTCCCACTCATCCAAAACCTTCCTTAACTCCTCTATTGACGGCTCGGGTGTGCGGAGACGGCATTCAGGCGGAGCTGCATATGGGTGCCGGCTGCTGGGGGCCCAGGCCAAGGCGCGCAGCTGCGGCAGTTTGCACCGGCAAGGCTACACACAAGGACTGAACATTAATGATGAACAGGTTCGAAAAGGGTACATATAGAGGGCTTCAGATGTTCAAGATGGCTACGCAAAAAAATATTTTGATCCTGTTTTGGATAAGAATCTGATACTTTCAGTAGTAGCATGTAACATTGAACGCTCGACCTCAGTCTTTGTCTCTCCCTCAGGAGGCAGACCGCATGGAAGTAACATTTTCTGCAACACCAGCAGTCCAAGGAAGCCTACAGAATCGGCGACGGCCGGGCATGGAGGGCAGAAGATGGGGAGGCAGCCGGCTATAGCAGCGCGCCGCCTCGCCGCGAGAGGGCACGGAGGCTGATGCTGGGTTCCAGCCGCCACGAGAGTAGTGTACAAACACTTCACCGCCACGGGTTGGGGAGTACAGGAGCAGTGAGACTGGAGGTGGGAAGCGGGGGGAGGCAGCCAGCTCGTAGCGGTTTGGGAAAGGCTGGAGCTGTGAGGACGGATGCGGAGGAGAAAGCCACGCGGGGAGGAATCGCGCAGTCGTCAAACGAGGAGCCTACAAGCGCGTCGTCGTCAGAACATGCCCCGACCGCTCATGCGAGATCCAGGCCTCCAGGGTACTGTCGATGGACGGTATTATAAATCTCAACTTCAAATGACTAATAAGCACTTTTTAGGTTTTTGACAAATTCCTATTATACCCATAAATATACTGCTAGTATATACTTGCAGTATAATGTACCGTAAAAGTCCTCTTTTTTTTAAGTGTCACCCTGAAGTCTGAATTCTGTCTGCGTAGCTGTTAGCTCTGAATTCTGATCAGAAAAGTTCAGTATATCTTGCGCCCACATGTATTGGTATCACAGAAACCAAAACAAACAAGATGACTCTGGCATAAGCTTAAAACGAACCGCTGACCAAGATGGTAAAATCTTTGTACACGTACAAGAAGAATTTTTACCAAGATGGCAGAGGAGGAGCATATCGATCTCATGTAAAAAAGGAAAATGGTAAAATTCTAAACTATCAAGCCATATTCTAAATGATGATACCGGGTTGATCAAGATGGCCACTGCAGTTAGTCGATGGAACTTCAGAAAGCTCAAGCTTCCCTGTCCACTCCTCTCCCGGTTTCAGAGTGATTTGTCTCTCCGCTGCAGCCGCATCAACGCACAGCATCTGTTTGTACTCCTCATCGCCGAAGTCCACGATGTTTTTCGATTTCTTTTCCCACGGATTCCACACAACTGGGAGGAATAAAGCGAATATGATGGAAATTTTTCAAGCAAAGTTACCATGGTTAGGTGGCAAAGAGAATATTGTGTCTTACCAACGTCAGGCAGTCCTTCCTTTCTTATGACAAATGTGCGTTTCTTCTCATGGTCCAGAACAGCTATTACATTTGGTGAGCTAACATAGACTCGGTCAACCTGCATATGTTTGCACATAGACCAGGTGCTAACACCGTAAATCTTGGACTTTATGATGTGGCAAGTAAATTTTTACAACAAAATGTCAAAACAAGATTTGCGGAATCAGTAGATCAAAGTATATAGCGCATATGATTATTCAAACATTTTTCACCTCCGATTCAAATGTTATGGCATCTCCTTGTTCTGTAAAACGTTCTCTCTGGCTAAGATTATCGAGATAATCAAGTGTCTCAAGGCCTTCTATCCTCACCTCACTGGAATTAACAAGATATATAATCTGTCATCTTCAAAATATTATATGGCACCAACAAAAAGTGGTTGAAGTACAAAAAGAATGTTGGGTGAAATGCCTGACCTGATGTCAGAAACAGACAGATATGTGTGATAACCAAATGAGAAACTGAATGGCTTGCCATTAACATTTCTGATGCGTGATACTAGTGACAGGTTCCCATCCTTTGTAAGAGAAACTCTCAGGCGGAACTCAAAACTGAAATCAAATATTGCAGGATCATACATAAAATCAAATTCAGTCAGCATTAACAACGAGATGAGGTGCAAATGTTCAACAACCTCCCTGAAATAAAATATTCTCCTGACTATTATCATCAAAAGTGCCAGGATTAGGCTGTTCAACTAATTACCCCCATGATGCAGTACATAACAAAACTTTGACATATGGCCCTTACTAACAAAAAGGCGTGCTATAAGAGAAAAGGAAATACATATTGGACAAAAACAAATGCATACCCATGTGGCCAGCACTTCAGGTCATCTTCAGATGGCTTTAGTATAAGGTCAACAGAAGCTTTGCTGTTGTTATCATTTTGATTTAATGGTGGATGCTCCTCATCTAGGGCCCATATCCTGTTTCTTGCAAATCCATGTTGCTCCAATGTTCCAGAATTTCCAAACTGCAGTGAGTCTTGTGGATATCAGAAAAGACCAAAAAGAAGGGAAGCTAGCTTCCTTATCAATTGGCATCCTATTTGTAACAGTATATAATACAAATCTTCAGTGCAATGGAAGACTATGATACCTGTGGAAAACATATCGGGATTCCACCACGCATCGCCTTTGGTGGCTTGAAGATTGCCTGCACGTCAAGAAACTGCGTGTTGAAGCCAGTGAAAGAGCCATGGAAGAGAATACTGAAGATTTCTTCAGTTTCCCAGATGGAAACAGTGAAACAGTTCAGGTTTTTGTGTCTTCAGAGCCCGTCTGAACTGTCCTTCCACAAGTACAGTTTAATGTTCAGAGTACACACTTCTCAAACAGAATCAATCCAAGAACATATCCCGCGAGCGTACAGTTTGAATTCTACTGCAATCAATTGAACTTGCGAAATACACTTCCCTAGGCTAATCGCAGTAATGTGAACCCGGTTGCAGAGCACTGAAGAATCGAAAAATGAATTGAAAAAAAAAAAACGTCACCTTGCTGCTGGTGAAGAGAAGCTCCTCGCCGCGGTCGTTCCTCCAGGAGAGGACCTGCCCGCCGTGCAGGCTCACCTGCAAAACACACACCACGACGAAGAAAACAAAGCCATCAGAATCGCACCAAACCAAACCAAAGGACTCAATGCCAAGCCGATCAAAATCCATTCGCAAAAACCTGCTCACCCGCGCGTAGGCGCCCCGCGGCGAGCGGAGCACGACCTGGTCGACGCCGTTCCAGTCCCTGACCACCTCCAGCTCCGTCCTCGGATCCGTCAGGTTGGTGTAGTGCCCCATGCTCATCAACAGCCAGCCAGCCAGCCCGCGTGAAGAGAGAGTAGAGGAGAAGGAGAGACGCACACGAGCGCGCGCACGTACGCGTACGAGATTTTATGGCGACGCGCGGGAAGCAGTGGGCGGCGTCGCCATTGGGACGGTTGGGGTTGCCACGACGTTTTACACTGCGCGTCTGCACTTTCCTTGTGAGCGCAAAAAAAAAAAAAAAAAAAAAAAAAAAAAACACCGCGCGAGCGCGCGCGCGGCCTGAAACCCGTGAGCCACCGGCCACACCAGCGCAGCCTCAGCGGAAGCCAAAGCTTCTGCAACCAACCAAACCACCGGCTCGCTCTCGCTCGGAGCAGCAAATTCACAAGGCACGCCACGGCAACAACAACAAACGGATCGGATGCAGCGGGAAATGGAAATGCACGTGGTGGTCAGAAGCGCAGCGCAGGGCAACCACCTCGTCACGTCGCCATTGGAAGATCGAGATGAGGGAGGCGAGGCGAGGAGAGAAGCACGAGTGGGTGAAGCTCTAGCTTCTCTAGTGCGCGAGGAGGATGAGAGGATCCGAGGCTAGGAGAGGAGAGGTTGATGCTGATACCGATGGCTTCGTGCACCCGGCAGAGCCCGGAACCCGGTAAAACCAACCCAGCGCCGCGGCCATGGAGGACACGTGCAGTCGCCGCTTTTTCGTTGAGAAAAAACTAAGACAAACCGTGGGGGTTCGACCACTTTGTTGCACTTTGCAGGTATAGAAAAGTCTCAGGAAAGAAACTGAGAAAGGAAAAAAGGGTTTCATCGACGACGCAATGCTGAGTAGGAGAAAGAAATTTTGAAGGAAGAACGAGGAGGAGAATTAACAGATTGTTTTGGCTTCTGCCTTGTGGATAATAATCGGATAAACTCTTGCAGCTTTTCTCGTGTCCTGCCTTGAGTCTGCGTAATGTAATGCCTGCATTTTAATTTTAGCCGGTTCTTTTTAATTTCGCGGAGGAGCCCACGCTGCAACGGTCAAGTTTTCTCCTCCAAGTTTTTCAAAGGCTTTTTTGGCGTTTCTTAAGCCTTCCGCTTCGCCATCTCTCTTTCTTTACTCCTTTATTATAATCTTTATTCTCTTCTTTAAAGCAGAACGGCAGATTAGTAGTAGCTACTATAATCAACAAGCCTTGTTCTAAACATGGCGTCTGTTCAAACATCGAAGTAATGTGTTCTTTTGTTTTCGGAGAGGACAAATTTCCAGAAACAAACGATTCTTATGCGTGACACGATCTCTAAATAACTTTGTTTGCATGCACACATAGGCCAGGTATGCTTTGTTCACAGACAGTGCAGCGAAAGGAACACTTGCGTTGCTTCAGGACCTGGAACTTATCCATGGTCGCCAAATGTACGAGTGCCGTGCTCTCTGAAACCTGCTTAGAACAGGGGCCTCTCATTTACTTACATCAACCCAGTGATTTAACTTTTTTTAACTTAAAAAAGAACTCAATGATTCGGACAAAAATGGTGATCCGAAAACTGTTTAAGCGAATCTTTCGGAAAGGGAGAAGTGCAGCGAGTGTAATCCACAAGTCAGAAGCTTGGAGATTTGCCCTGCACAGGTCGTCTTCAGTTGTCGTCTCGTTGAGTCTCCCGCATGTGCATGGGCGGCAGGTCCATGGCGAAATTAACGGCATCCTCCGTGTAAAGCTACGGCTGCTAGCTAAGCACCATGCTAAGCTGAGTTGAAGAGATAGAGATTTTCTTTCACCCATCGCCGTCAGAGATCAGGAGAGGTCAAGTGCTTAGTACGGCATTCCATTTTTTCTTTCTGTATCTTTTCCTTTCATTTCGAGCAAAGTCTTAAGCTGAAAGAGGACCTAATCTCCCACTTAACTGCGAGCAAGTGAAGCACTAGCTAAGCCACTAGAGTGTTAACTCTGCATCAGTACATGGACATTACATGTGGTGGCATGTCATGGCGAGAGTGCGCCATTGCTTAATGCTAACTTGCTAATGCGCACAGCACAAAAGAGGGAATTGCTTGATCAAACTCCCAAGACATGGCACGATTATGCATCAAAGATTCAAGAACTTGCGGTTGGTGTGATGTTGAACTTTAAGCAGGATAAATTGATGAGAAACTGAAAGATCATACACGTGTTGTAATGTAGTACATGTGCTTAAGACAGGAGGACTTCTACCATCCTTGAGTTTGGCTTTGGAAAAAAATAAGAAGAAGAAGAAGAAGAAGAAGAAGAAGAAGTTTGGCATCCAGCGGTCAAAGTGGATCTGGATAGTGTTTCGGTGTCAATCGTTTGTGGTTTGTCGTTTGATCCGATTGCAAAGGGTCAAACGTCAAACTGTCAAAGCTGTTGGGGCAGAGTGGTCCTCCTGTACAAGGACAGGCCGACAGAGTCATTAACTAGAGTTGATCAGATCAGAAGTTCAGATCACAGGGTGTACTGTAGAAAGTGTATGGATTCACGTACTAGTATGGCTTAACCTTTTGGATATGAACTACTTCCTCCTTTTCGTAATATATTATAGAGTAAAATACATTAGCAGTTCTTAAACTTGCAGAATTGTGTTATATAACTCCCTAAACTCTCAAAATACATATCCAGGTCCCAAAACTGGTTAAAGTGTATCATCTAAGTTTAAATTGACACATCCCCTCTAGGATCCTACGTGGTGCTGATGTGGCAATACCACATGGACGTGACATGTCTTTTCTTTTTTTTTACTATTTTTTTTCTTTTTCGTTTTCTTCTCATTCTTCTTTTTTCCTTTTTTTTCTGCTCGGGTCACAGAGAAAGGAGAAGAAACGGGAAAAAGAGAAAAAAAAAGAAAAAGGAAAAAATTATATGGGTTCCATTTGTATAATGTCATGTCATGTCCATGTGGCATGCTACATCAACTCCACGCAGGATGCTGAAGGCGTTGCGGTGATTTAGGACCTAGATAACACACTGTGATAAGTTTTGGGACTTGGATATGTATTTTAAAAGTTTAGAGACCTAGATAACATACCACTATAAGTTTAAGTACTGCCCGTACACTTTACTCTATATTATAATAGAGTTTATCCTTTTATAGTTAAATTTATTTAAATTTAATTAAGCTTTTAGAAAAATCTAGTAACACTTTCAAACCAAAACAAACATAATATCATAATATATTTAATGAAACTAATTTAGTGTTATAAATATAAATTTTAAAGAAGTTTGACTAAAAACATCTTACAAAGTTACAGTTCCAAGCCATGTAAAGAATATGGGCCCATATACCCAAGTAAAAAGGGTAGGTTACATTTCATTTAGTTTGGTCTCCACAAATTTCAATTCTAAAAAGTGTTTAGCGATCTCACAAGGTTTGAGGTTGGCATGCAGCACAACACCCCTATGTTACAACACTGCTAAAACGTGGTACATTGGTCTCACCTAGCAAGCTTCCATGCCTGAGCAGGGAACAGCAATTGGAAACGGTATTTTGAGTAGTAGATGGTCACCTGAATATACTGACCAAATTGACACCTAACACTGTACTGCCGAATGTTATGTGAGTAGTAGCGTGAGCTTGCAAAATCCCCAGGCCGCATGCGCGTAGTCTCTCCTCTGTGACAGGGAAAATGGCAGATTAGCTTGCAGCAACAACATCAGTGGCCGGGCCGGAGCCGAGGAGTTGTCGAAGCTTGGGTTCAGCATGCTCTGTGTGTCTGACACTCGTCTTGTTCGTGTTGTCGATCATTGACAAAAAGTTCTCCACGACGCGAGGAGAGGAGGCTGTGGTGGTTTTCTGCAGAGATGTTTCTGCCTGGGTCGATGCTGCAGGATCCTTAAGCTTCCCCTAGGAATAATAAGGCACATTTCTATCAGAGAAATGTATATAATACATGTTAAGGGTTATGTGGAAGCATAAAAGAGGTTCAGTACCATTAGAGCCGAATTCTCCAGCCTGAGCTTCTCGGAGCTTTCTGATAGCCTACTGATTTCAGATCTAAGTGACGTGTTCTCTGCTGTAAGTGATTCTACTTGTGTAGCCAGATCCTCCGTTTCAGCCTAAACGAAAACACTGACATCATAAGTGAAAGCATTATGGAAATATGTTCTGTACTAACTTGAAATTTTGTATGTGACATGACATGTATGTGATTAAATTATCCTGTGACTTCACTGGGATTTGCAATAAAATCCCTTTCCCAAAACAGAATGTCCAAATTGGTTTTCAGTTTCAGTCCATGTTTCCAGGATGATGCCTCTTTTTCTTCTTCAGAAAACTGGGTTTTGCTCATATTGATCACAGGGTAATTGCTACTATAATATACCTGCTTTCTCAGCCTTGATCGTCTGGCGGATTCCCTATTTGATTGTTTCCTCTTTTCACGCTTTAATTCCCTTTCATCCTGGCATATAAGAATTCCACAAAGTTAATCCCTGAGAAATGTATATATACTAGTGTAATTTTTTTCAAGGAATAACAATGACATGAAAGTTAACTTATTTACATAAAATTATTGTTTTTCATAATTTCTGATTTCACAGTTTTCTAAATGATGTCAGATTGAAGATACCTTGATCAGTAATTCTGTTGATACTCCTGTATGACTTGGAACAATCACACCAGGCGGTGGAGATATTGGTGTGCCCAATGCCCTCGAATTAGCAACATTAGTAGCACTGGGCCTAATTACTTGAGCTGGAAAGCTGTGATTTGGCAAAATCGCAGTACTTCCCAATATATGGCTGGGAGGTAAAGCATTTTCCATCTTTGCAGCTGCTGATGTTTCAGCACCTGGCAGAGATTTAAGTTGTTAGCCACTATTTTTTTACAAAGTCAAATTTGAAACAGGATTTGATTAGTCACCATTCCATTAAGAAACTGAAAGATAAAGATGTGTCTTATGTGTCATTTGATAAATATTTTTCCCTTTTCTCAGGAAGGTGCAGAAGCTTTACACTATTTTCTATTAAGAAGAGCCAAATAATACAAAGGGATAATGTTGAGAATAAAAAAATTGTTGCAAGTTATACCAAACAAGGCATGATAGAGGACAAGATAACCGCTGAAGCAAATGATTAATCAAGTTTGGTACTGCATACATCTATAACAAGTCTTACAAAGATGAGGGAAAATGAAATTAGCATTATGCCTATGATATTAAAAAAGTTGTTACAAAGTGAAATACCAGCTCCATCATCCAATCTCCGTTTCCTGCCAGTCTTGCCCACCTAAAGAATGTACAATTTTAGTATATTTAAGCATATTCAGACATGTTCATTAGAAAACAACAAGATAACACAATGTAGCATGCATTTGAAACTAACTGGTACCTTTAGATCATTTACATCACTAGAGCCTTCTGCACTGTAATCCCCACTAGACGTCATTGTTTTTTTACTGTCACCACTCCCAGTGGATACTGCAGCCCCATCAACTTCCTTAAGTTTCTTGTTGGAGCCTTTTTCCTTACTGCTTGCAGACTTGGCTGGTTCCATGCTCAATGGATTTGCCATCTTGAAAGAATTGACATAAAACAAATTAATAGGAGTCAGCAGAATAAATATATTGAATCACAAGTCAACATAGGATTAAGGCTAAAATTTTTCAATAAGAATCAATATGAGAGGTTCTGACGCTGTAACTGAAATAATGAAAACAATCGGACTGTATGGTCCAAGGGGAACAAGCGTGATGGATCATTAGGAATGTGATTCTGTTACTGTGCCTACACGTATGTTCTTCCTGTAAGCTAGTATTCGGCACATCATTTAAAAGTTTGATATGCTTGGTATGAAATCAGTGCTGATTATGGTGCACCGTAAACAACATTACAGAAGTCAGATTAGCATACATTTTTTCCCTTTAATATACTGTGTTGTCTGGTCAACCGTGATAGACTTTTCCGAAATATCTGCCATGTTAGAAGTTAATTTGATACTGTATATGATGGGACTTGGTTGTCCGATTTTCCACAAAACTACAATATCTTGTGCAAGTCCATTATTGATAACAAAACATCTATCTAAAATGGTTAGGCAGAAATCTTATATTTAATGCTTCAACTAACAAGTTTAATTGAACAAAAAAGTGTATGGAAGCACATCAAGATTAATGTTTACCATGGGCATAAGAGGGTGTGGATAAGCTCCACCGTGTGGGTACATTGCAGCATACGGGGTCCCAAAAGGGGGTGGCATTATAGGCTGCAGATATGCAGAGAGAAATTCAGATTTCATGCAACACCTGGAACTTCATTGCATAGATAGATCGAAAATAAATTACCTGAGGACCCCACATATATGGTGGAGGAGCATGGCCTGAAGCTATTGCTGGGGCAAAATATGTCGGTGGTAAGACACCAGGGCCATAATATGCCTGAAAAATTTTGTATTGATGCTTACATTATATATATTCTATCTTTTGGAAGTGGAGATTATAGGATAATTTACTAGCAAAACACTTAACCTGAACAGCGGACCAATCAGGAAATGGACATGGAGTTGGTTGATCCTGCAAATGAAGGCAATTGATAAGATGTTTATGGATGTAGCTCTACTCTCCTACCCTTGAAATTGATGAGTCAGGTGAGAAAATACAATATGTTGTCATTCCACACAAGACCTCAGAGTAAGCCATGTAGTGGAAATAAGACCTCAAAGTGTAGACATCATGTTAACAGATTGGGAATACTGGATGTAATTCAAAGGTTGCTAATTCATTTACGTACTCTGTCCCCTACTTTTGGAGAAAGAAGAACTCTCCCTTTTAGAAAAGAGGCGGTAAGAGACTAGTTTTTTTTTTTTGACGCAAGAAGGTAGAGCATGCTCTACCTTATAGTCATTTCATTAATAGAAATGAGGTTTACAGGTTACAAGTTTAAGGTTAGAGAGAAGAGAGACAGAGATAGAGGTACATAAAGGAAAGCAAAAAAGAGTGAAGGAAAAAGAGACGGGTTATATATACATTGATCATGATCTGGGGCTTTTGGTCATGCCACTGTTTTCGACAACAGTACAACTAATTTCAATTCACAGCAAAGAAGATATAACATAACAGATCACAAGGAATATCTCAGTAGTCAGTACAACTACAACTAAAACAGGTATTCTTACCTTAGGAGGGGAGGTTGTTTTCCCAATCTTTTGTGTAGCAACAGCTTCATCATGAGCCATGCCTTTTATGAAAGCCTGCTGTCTGCTTATCAAGTAGAAATTCAGGTTATAATGGTGTGCAGTTAAGCAACTAAAAATAAATAAAAATTTGCGTGAGCCTGAAATGTGAGAAATGTTTGATTTCACCAAAAGGACGTTTTGGCACACTGCCCAACAGTATCGATATAAAGCTATCAACTTGTGTAAAAACAATTCTCAATCTTTTCATAAGATGCAAATTCCTATCATACAAGTCGAATTATGATTTTTAGAACTAAAAGCAGCTATTAAAAACAAAAGTTTCGTCGGTCTCCTACATTGGAGAGCACAATTTTTTTTTCGAGGTCAAATAACTTTTCATATGTTTATTATTAATCCTGGTTCCAGGAACAGGACAGGGCAAACGCATACATCAACATGAAACTGCTTCAGTAACTAGATATTCAGTCACACACCCAATCGATACAAACTGCAATTAGAACTCCACCACCAACGCATCATCGAAATCCGGAACAAAGAGGAGGACACGGACTAATAATTTGGACGGAGTGAACAAATCAATCCAACTTGCTAGCATGGATCTCCTATCGCTCATGAAAGCAGCGGCTAGGAAGAGAACAAATACCTTCAATTCAATTGCCTCTTGTAGAGAGATTTAAGGAAGAGAGCCACTTAGAACATGCTCGCTCGCCGGCTCCGCACCGGAGTAGCCGCACAGGGGTTGGAGGAGTGGCGAAGGAGAGGGAGCTCGCCGCCGCCCGCGCGCGCGTGCCGGGAAGCGAGACGGCGGTGGAGGAGGAGACCCTCGGAGGAAGCACGCGGAGAGAGAGAGGAGACGTGAAAGCAGATTGATCTCCAATGAGCAGCGAGAGAGGGGAGAGAGAGAAGGGCGCGGAGAGAGGAGGGAGGGAGGGAGGCGAGAGAAAGGGGAGGCGGCAAAGGCTGGAGCCACGTCACGAGACACGTGTCTATGATAAGGACTAGGCCACCGGGGGTTGCCCTGCACCGCCAATTGCTACGCGTACCCTTTATTGCACCCCAACTTGAGATTGATTCACATTAGCGTATATAAGTAATTTTACAGATTGTAGGTCGTTTTGGATTCAAATTCAAATTAAGCGAGCGGCTGAATTTCCCTCAGTATCCTTCTACTCCTCTGTTGAATTTCGCTCGAGTTACTACTTCCTGCCATCAGTGCCGTCGTCCACTATGTTAACACCGTCAGCCGCCGATGTACCTTGTTTGTTCCCCCCATCTCCTTAGCCTTCAGCCAGCCAGTGAACCTCATCCCCAAGTGCTACGTGTACCTTTTGTTACACCCCTAGCTTAAGATTGTCTAGCATTGGTGTATATAAATAGACCCTAATCATGAAAAACTCACAACATAGGAATAGGAGTTACACAAAAAATCCTCAATTCTAACATAAAAACTTCAAAAGAGATGTTTGATTACAAACCAAGAGAAAACATATGATTGCAAAAGAGAAAGAACTAAAAACATGATACTGGATCTCTTGGCTATTTTCCTCAAAAATCATTATAGGATTGTTTATTCCATATGAATTCAAAGATATAACAGGATTTAATCATTTGTTTCAAAGGTTTCACAAGAATTGCTAATATAATATTAGAATCCTCTAAAGTTTCTATGCTAATCCTCCAATTATAAGGAGACCTACCACGCTAAGAACAATAATGTTGTGATTAACTGGACGACTAAGATTGCACGCACCAAGCAAATAATTGAGTTGCCAACAAGCTTCTGTACCAGATAGAATCTCCAGGATAAGAACTAGTAGTACTAATTTCGTGATAAACGTGCGTGCTCGACTGCTCGTTAGGTAAGCAAAGTGGTTTGTGTCATTGTGCGCCCCATGGACCAAATGGTGGTGGTGGTGTACTGGTGTGTACATTCTCTGGGGGGGTGCGTCTGGAATTTGGGGTCGGGTGATGGGCGAGGCGGCAAGTGGAGGGTGCACTGGGCCACGGGCTGCGTGGTGTGGGGGCCACTTGTTTATTCCTCGTCACCTCCATCCGTCCGCTCACGTGTCGACCATCTCGCCGCTCTACGCGTCGCCCCCTCCAGGTCCAGCTTTGCATCCGAGTCATGTGGGTGACGTGGTGCCCGCATCCCCAGGTGGGACCCACACCCCCCACAGAATAAAATAAACTTTTTCGTGCTAGAGCAAGTACAATAGCAAATATAAGACCCCTTTGAATCAAATGATTTATCTAGGAATTTCATAGAATTCAAATCCTATAGAAAATTTTCCTACCTGGCCTTTTGATTCAAAGGATTGAAGTTTTCCAAATCCTATGAAATTTCTATGGAATGACACATTATATGTGGATTTTAGAGGAAATATAGCAAGAGCTCTAACCTCTTGGAAAATTCATCTCTCTCATCCGATTCCTGCGTTTTTCCTGCGCTTCAATCAAACGATCATTCCTGTGTTTTTTTTGTGTTTTATAATCCTCTGTTTTACACTTCAATTCATATCAGAATCATGTGTTTTTCCTATTTCTCCAAATTTTCAACCCTACGATTCAAAGGGGCCCTAAACAAGCTATAACACATTTCATAAAGATAAAACAGGAGAGAAAAGGACAACGGACTATAGATTTGTAGCCAGTTGTAGCACAGACTTTAAGATGCATGTGTCGAACTTCAAGATGCATATGTATATGACATGTGTGACCATCTATTAAATAATTATTATATGAATCGGTAATTAAATTGACTATAAATAATTTAGAGTCCACAATTAGCTATACTATTAAAAACTTGCCGAGCAAAAAAGCGGAAGCTTCTCCCACGCCGTTGGCGTGCCGTGGGGCGTGGGCTTTGTGGGCCCGAGCGTGTGGGGGTGTGGGGCCACCGCTTATAGCCTGGCGATTGGAGTAAGTGCGAGAGGAGGGAATAAAAGGAAAAAGAAAGGGGACATGTGCGTCAATTTTGCCACGTCGTCGCCCATGTGCGCCTACGCAGCAGTCAGGAGGCGATTGAGCCACGTCGCCGGGAACAGTGTGGGGGTGGGCCCACGCGAGCGTGGAGACGAGGCGGTCAGTGACTAGGTGCCAGCTCACGGGGCCTAGCTAGCTTATCTTTTTGATCCCGCCCTGACCTGGCTTGGGTTGGATTGGGGCGCCCGGTGATTGGGTTGGACCAGACCTATCCAATTGCCTCGTTGCAGCATGCGTGTTGGAATAGAAGTTCAGTTGGTGTGTCTAGTTAACGCTAAAATTAAAAATTTGATTAAAATTGTAACGATGCGATAAAAAAATAAAAATTTATGTGTAGGAAAGTTTTGATGTGATGGAAAAATTAGAAGTTTAAACAGAAAGTTTGGAACTAGTGTGCCTCGTGTGTGTGGCTTCACTGATACCTCGTCCGTGTCTCGGTTTGCTGAATGATTTTTCTTGTTTCCTTGCATATCCTGGGGGCTCCTCCTTGGTCTAGTGTGGGTGTGGATCCCCTGGAGTTGCCTCCAAATCCACATGGTGGATTTACTTAATCCAAGCCGTCCCTTTAATTTGATGGATTAGATTAAATCCAATCCATTTTCCCCTGGTTACTACTGGCCCATTTTCTTTCAAAAGAAATACTACAATGTAGAGTCTATAAAAAAATGTTATCTAGTATTGTAGAGAACATGTTACCTTCAAACTTTCTGGCAACAATTAGAGAAGAACAAAACAAAAACATTGCACCGATAGAAGCCTTTTGTTCTGTCGATTATTAGGATGAATGAGTTCGATACAGGTCTCAATACCGTAAATTTCATAACAACTCAGTTAAAAAAGTTTAAAGATAATTATTTTTTACTCCATGATGTATAATGCTCTTCCGAGACTATTGATCTGAATGGACGGACAACACAAAAAAATAAAAGTAGATAGGATTATTTCTGTTGTAAATGTGTAATTAGAAAGAGGTAACATGGCTACATCTAGCCCATAGAAACAAAGTAAGGGGTCAGATTGGTTCAAATTCACCGGTTAGAATTGGAAGCCAACTCCAGAGGATCTGCACCCGTCTAGTATAGGTTGGTTGCGCCGGAAACCTGATCAATTGATCATGTACTCCGTTTTTTTCTCCCGTTGTTAATGGTCGATTTTGTCTATAATGACCATTGATCAGTCCTGGTTTGCCCCAGCAGATACACAAAGATGCAAATCATCGATATGTTTTTCCTTTGAAAGTACTGGAGAGAAACATAGTACCCATTATTGATATTGATAGAGGAGAAATTAGTGAGGAAACCTGCGCCCAAGAGGATTTGAGCTCAGGCCAGCGTATTACTGCTAGCAGGAGCTTGCCAGTTGAGCTAGGCATCGTTCTCTAAAATGTGTTGGAATCAATGAGAAACTTAGCATAGTGTAATTGCTAAATAAGAAAATGATAAGAAACTTGCGTTTGAGAGGATTTGAGCTCAGGCCAGTGCTCTACTCCTAGCAACTGCCTGTCAGCTGAGCTAGGCACCATTCTCTCGGTGGCGATATTGCGTGATCTGGAAATGAAACACAGGACAGTAGCAAGTAGCAAACGTTGTCTTGTAGTACTACATTCGGGACACCAACTTTATGCAATTACAGGCAAGGCGAGTCTTCCTGATTCCATTTTATGTAGAGTCGCTATTCGGCGTTCAGATAAGTACTAGCCTGAATGCCTGATGGATGATGCCATGTTGCCAATCACTATCTTGTGCCTTGTAGGCTACTGCTGGCTATCTGAGCTGGATGCAGTTCCCCTGCTCGTTAGGTGCAACGAGGCAAAGAGAACGCAACAGTTTTAACAAACCCAAAAATAAAACTAGAACCACCGATTTAAAGGCTCTGAGATACGAATACGATAGTGCATCGCACTACCATCGGCTGTTCCAGAGAAGAACCCAAGCACAGAGGTCAAGAGGCTACTCAAAAAAAATTCTTCCAGACTATAGCTAAAACTGCTGGAGTACTACTCAACAGTAGTTGCAGCTTAAATAAATTGCCAAATTATCAGCTGGACGTCTCATCCTTAAGCACATTGAATTATTACAAATGAAATTGAGATACATAATTAATTTTCTCTTGTACAAATGACTGAAGGGAACTTAAGCAAAGCTCCTTCCTGATGGACGTCGAACGACCAATCAGCAGCAGGGCAGAGCTTTTCTTAGTCACTCATGAAAGAGCATGCACCTACTGCGCTGCCCATAAGCTAAGATCCTGCAAGAACTTCTAATCTTGAGCCTCTGATGGCCTGATGAGATTAAGGTCCTCCAAGTATTGCGTTCTCGATGTCTTCTCTGCTAAGGGCATAGCTGAATCTCCTCTCTACGTCCTTGTCAAGATTCCCAGGGCCGCTCTTCAAGTACCTGATTCACAATATGACACGGAGTTAGTAACTGAATTTTGATAAGTGAGAAACAGAATCATCGTCCTTATACCGAAACATTCCATAGTGTGATTCGAGGGTTCAGTCGGGGAAGTCAGGCTGTCAGGGTACTAAATAAAGTTGGTATATATCTGCTGAACTGGCAATATGCTGATTGCTATGAAGAGATTGCAGCATTAGCTGAACAATATGCCGATTGCTACAAAGGGCAGCAATGAAACATCCACAGTGAATATTCAGTAGACATATCCATCCATTTGATGCACCCACACCACATAATTTAGAGATTTAATTTGGCAAAACCACGGTTCAGGAGCAATTTGGCGAGCAAGAATTAAAGCCCAAACGAGCACGCATTGTGCAGTGCATCACCAAGTTTTCAGAGACTACTACAGCCTACGACGTGTGGGCAGCAAAATCTACGGACAAGTTACTGCAAAATCTACCTGATGTGGAGGTCAGTGACGTCGAGGCTGAGGCGGGCGTGCCAGAGGGGCATCTCGGCGACCCAGACGGCGCGGTCCTCGCGGGTCTGGGAGAACCCGATGCTGCGCAGCCACGCCTCGATGCACGGCAGGCTGTGCGTGTACAGCGGCTTCTTCTTCTCCGGCAGCCGCTCCAGCCACTCGGCGTCCGACGGCAGCGCCGCCGCCCGCGCCACGACCGCCGCCCCCCTCCGCCGCCGCGCCCGCGCGTGCTGCACCGGTGCCGCCACTCCGCGGAGCCCTGGGCGAGCAGAGGGCGAGGAGGAGACGGAGGGGAGGATGGGGACGACCAGGGCACGGAGCGAGCTCGACGGAGCAATCGACATGGTCGCTACGGGCTACGGCCTCCCTGGATCGCTCGCTGGTTTCCTTACCCTTTTTCCCCTTCGCCTCGTTTCTCTTCTCCCATTTTGCCTGTATAATATTGGGCCGTAATTTTACTTGGGTTGTGCCCGTTATAGTTGGGCCTATGGAAGAGAAAGCTGGGAAAGTGTTTTCAACCCCCTTTTCCTATTTTCTTGCATGTCACATTGTACCTAAATAGTCACACTATTTTTTTTTAAAAAAGATAACAAGATATATTAATATGAAATATGTAACTTCGATAGCATGGCTATTCAAATTCAGCTTTTACAAGTTATAATAAAAATAACAAATATAATTGTGAATATGTTAACTATTTTCAGTTTAATTTGTTCTTTTTATTGTAATTTGTAGAAGTTGAATTTATGCTAACATGTTTATGAAGTGATATTTTATATTAATCCATGTTATGATTTTTTTTATAAATATTTAGATGACATGAAAAAAAACGAGGTGATGTCATCTTACTCCTTTTCCGAGAAAACTTGTCAACAAATTTGTATTTCATTTTTTTCGTTACAGTGAAGACAAGGTCCGTGTCCGTACACCGCACTCACGAACTCAACTGCGTCTGTGCGTCTGTGCAGGTCGAACTTATACAAAAGGGAACGGGATTTATGTTATGTTAGAATCCGCGTGGATTTATGCAGCAAATTCTCTTGGCATTGGTGCAACCGGCTGACGTCGGAGACGGGCGGCATTTCTGTGATTTTTGGGATCGCAGTGTGCGTAGTAAGCTGCGGATGAACAGATCACACTTGTTATCATCTTCCTCATGTTGCCCGGATGCAAAGGTGAGAGGCGATAGCAGGGTCGGACGGTAGCCCGCGTAGATGTCCCACTGGAACGACGACAACGACGATGAAGCCACCGGGAGGCAGATTTTGCTGTCCCACGACATAATAACGACCTTTGTCGAAGAAAAACGTCGTACTGTTGCCGTGGTAGTGCCGACGTACTTACGGTACACGTTGTTGCCCTCTCGGTAGCAAAGCGTGTTGGTGTGGCCGTCGAGCCAAGCACTCATGGGCACTAGCCTTTGAAATTGGTTGAATCGGATATCATCCACGACCTTGAACTTGTAGAGAAGCTGCCATGGTTGGTCGTCGTCGTCTTCTTCAACTGGCATTGTCCAAAACTGGATCATCCTCTCTGTCCTGATGGCCAGGCACAACCTCCCGTGCAGCTCGAAGACGCTCACCGCCGCGTCCGCCCACGGGAGCCCGTAGTCCGGTGGGCTGTACGTGCAGGGCTCCTCGTGCGCGACGTCGACCACCAGCACCGGGCCGGGCGTGCCATTGTCGGCTGGGTGCCTGTACGGCGCAGGGCCGATGGTCGCCATACAAATCTTGCCGCCGATGACAACGGCCGGCTTGCTTTCTACCAGGTTGCGCGGGTGCAGAGGAAGCGCGTGTCGGCGCCACCCGGTGGATTCGGCGCCGCGGCCCAGCGTGTACACATCCATCGTGCGGTTGGTGAAGCGGAACAGCTTGTAAACACAGTTGTTCGGGCTGAACCCCAACGCGAACGTGACCGGCGAGCGAGCGTTGTCTTGGTCGGGAGGGAGGCGAGGAGCCCTGGGGACCTCCAGCCTCTCGCCGGTGACGGGGTTGTGTACGATGGCCTTGGCTGTGCTATGGGAGGCGAAGCAGAGGAAGCCGTTGCAGATGTTGGCGATCCTGTAGCCTTCCATGTGGTTGACCCGGCAGATGGGCGCCGTGGCCGTGCGCGTGGACGACGTCGGAGAGACGGCGGCCGGTTCGACCGGGAAGACGCTGGCGACTCTTTGCGAGTCGATGTTGTATGTGGCGACGAGCAGAGCGTCGGGGACATCGTGCGCCGTGGCGTGCCTGTCATGGTGGAGCTTCCGGAAGGAGGGGTCCCTAACGATGTCGCGCCACTGCGTCGAGACGCAACATGACCGGGCGACGTCTTTGGTTGATGCCCTGAGCAAGATTTCTTGCCATAGCTCGACAGGGATCGTCTCCATAGTTGGTGTCCTCGCCAGTAGATCTATCGAAACCGGAACCGAAACCCCCTGGCCCTGATGCCCAGCTCCTTAATTGGCTTAACACCCTAAACGAGGATGATGATGAGATCGTCCAATGCGTTCAACACTTCAGCTGTTCTGTAAACTAATAGGCAGGCGTTGTCCGGATACGATTCGAAATTGGGTTCAGGCACCGAGCGTACGTACCGGACAGCGCTTTCTTCTTCCTCTAGGACTCGGACTCTCGGAGGTCGCTCGCCACGACGCGCGGGGTTGCGATTTGCGTTCAGCACTTCAGCTGTTCTGTCCAGCGATCTTAAAGTCCAGCTATCTCTGTTCGCATTGCGAGGCTGCTGCTACTCCACCAAACGCCTGAAATTAATATATCTGTTCTATACGCGAGCTATTTTGGGTGGCGGGGCCTTAACTTTACAAAAATAATTACGCGGAGCAGTTAGTAAGGCAAATTTGACTAGCTATTTTTCATTAAAAATAGTCAGATTACACTGTAAATTATACACATTTATATTGTACGAAAAATCTCACCTATATCATGTCGATCGACCGTAGCTGGACACTTAGGGTCTATTTAGGGTATGTTTGGTTGCCTGTACTAGGCCTAGCTCGCATCAGACCATGGGACTGTCTAGGTATCTCTCGTGTGATTTTTGAAAAAAAATTACCCAGATTTTTTATCCCCTCATATTTGTATCCAACGGTAGAAAAAATAGTACACAGACAAAAACAGGTCTAAATAAGATCGGGCCAATACAGACTAATAAAACAGATACAATATGGGTTGCAATATGCTAAAATTACAGTGATTTATAACTAAAATTACAGTTGTAAAAATAGTAGATATGGCATGTAAGTGCACTGTAATTTTAGTACAAATGTAATGTAAAATTTGGTAACTAGAATATTTATCGTTTTAGTATAAATGCACTGCTTGAGAAACCGTCCAGGTATCTAAAGTGTTAAATATTGCATTTATAACTAAAATTATAGTGCTTTATAACTAAAATTACATTTGTAAAAATAGTAGTTATGGTATGTAAGTGCGCTATAATTTTAGTACAAATATACTGTAAATTTTGGTAACTAGAAAAAGAAAAAAAAGAAATAGAGAGAAGCATGGGCGCGCAAATCAAAATATCGCACGGAGACCGTGGTGAACATGGGCCCCATGCGGCGCCATGCATGATCCATTTTCTGTTGACTGGAAGCTGAGATACTCCGGCTACTGGCTACTGTCTACTGTGTTACTATCAGCTTATCGATCGTTTCCTCCACCATGTCGCCCGTGAGACGTGTGGCGCTGGACCACTTTGTGCGTGTCTGATTCGTCGCGCCTAATCGCGGTGCAGATCCGACGGTTGAAAAAACGTCAAATACGAAGAAAAAAATCACACGAGAGATATATAGCAAATTCGTCAGACCATGCATGCAGATTTGATATGTTTGGCTGCCTGTATTGGCTCTCGAGACAGGATGAGGCAATGCAAAAATTGCCTTTGAGCCATGCCGAGCGGAAACGCAGGAATTGAACTTCGCAACTCAACCTGGCTCCATGGATACAGTGGTACTGCGCCCATGCAATAGCACATAGCACCCGCACGTGCAAGGGGGAGGGAGCTAGTCACCTCCCCTTCCTTATTTTGCCCCCACCGAAGAAAGCTAGGGTTTACTCTCATTTGATCATTTCTATTCACGGCTCATCATCTCTTCATAGATCTACTCCCTTCGTTTCATAATGTAAGACTTCGTTTCATAATGTAAGACTTTCTAGCATTGCTCATATTCATATACTAGATGTTACTGAATCTAGATGCATATATATGTCTAGATTCATTAATATCTATATAAATATGAGCAATCCTATAAAGTCTTATATTGTTAATCGGAGGAAGTATGAAGCAGCAGCAGTTCATAGCAACTAGCAGGAAGCGTTCGCCTCCACGTGCATCTATCCCACGTCAACCACCATTCGTCGCGGCACTTGTCATCCTCACCGCCTGTCGCTACGCACCATCCTCTGCCGCCCGTCGCCGCGCGCCATCCTCCGCCACTAGAGAAGGTTGGCGGGGCCCCCAATCAGCCATCAACTACTAGCCATCGCGCCAATCTACTCCGTCCCAAACTCGTCTACTTCGCCACGGCATCGCCGCCCATCGCAGCCATGTGAGTCCGCGGCTTGCCTGTTGTAGCTCCATCCTCACTGCCCGTCGTGGTCGTGGCACTACTTGGCCTTGCTTTGCTGCAGTCTATGCTCCATTTTGCAGAGAAGGCCACATTACCCTTCGCTTTCGCCTCATCGGCAATGGCACGCGACAGCAGCGCTGCTCCGATCAGATCAGTGGCGTGGGCTCCAGAAGCTTCTGGAAGGCGTCCAAGAGGGCCCGCCTCCACGGAGGCGATGGTGGGAGCGGAGGAGGAGTGGTAGTGCGTGGCGCTGGATGTTGGAGTGCTGCTGCGCCGTCCACTGATGACGCTGAGAAACGGCCTCGGTGGCGGTGGCAATTACGTGAGTAGTGGCCGCCGGAGCTAGGCGGTGGCAGTAGCGGTGATGCTCGTGGTGTCGGCCGTCGTATTGCGCTAGGGCGTCAAGAAGAAGAAAGGAGGAGAGAGAGGGGGATGGGAGAGATGAAGAAGATGATATATGGGTCCCACTTTATTTTATTTGATGATTGAGATGCCACATGGACACCACGTCAGCAAAACCGCTCTGCAAAACCGTCGTGGGAGTTAAATTGCACCGGTTTTAATAGTTGGGGTTGAGAGATCCTCTATTATGGTTGAGGGATACGAATTAGATTCAGGCACTAGGTAAGGGAGTCAAAGTGGACTTATTCCTTCAGTCGCTCAGCTATTAGATGGGTCGGGCTGGTATCAGATGGTAAACAACCCCCAAAGGCGCTAGAGCGAGAATCCCCACATACGGTTTGCTTTCTTCTTCTTCCCCAGGTCTGTGCTCTGTAGATCTCCAAAAAAATCGTCCATTCTCTTGTCGATTTGCTCATCCTTCTCCGATTCTTTAATCTTGTCCTCTCTTAGGCATTGAGGCCGCTTACTTGCGACCTCTTACCTCCTTGCTATAATATATCCTCCTCGTCGTCCTGCTCCGCTCCAAGTTTGAAGCGATGGGATCGATTGCTCGAATCGTTCGATCGATCGGCCGCCATCTGCTTCAGCCATCGTCAACTTGGCAGATCCATGAAATCCCTTGGCTGCAGACTGCACAGAGAGACTCAAATCTCTTATGCCGCCGCCGCCGCCGCCTCACCGCCCACCCGGTCGCCGCCGCCGCAGCCCTAGTCGGTGCCTCGGTGGTAGCATCGGCAGCCAAATGGGCCGTCTGGTTGTATATCAGACTGGGCCTACTTTGTGGCTTGGCTTAGCCCGGCCCATTTGAGGTACCTAGCCGTGGGCGGGTATGAGTATCTGGCCAGCCCAAATGTTTTTTCTCTTCTTCTTCCCGTGCTCGGCTTCCTCCCAAATCCTTCCTCTCCCCGCCTCCCGCGCGCGTGGCCTGCTCCTCCGCTTCCCTGCATCTTCTCCGACCAGGCGTCCACCATTGTTGCTGCCTCCTCCCCGTTCGCGGAGATCCAAATCCTTCCTCTCCCCGCCTCCCGCGCGTGTGGCCTGCCCCTCCGCTCCCTGCATTCTCCGACCAGGTGTCCCAGTTCACCGATATGGAGGGGAGCGATTCTGTTACCTCTCCAGGTTGGTTCTTCTCCCTCTCTTTCTTTTTCTTGCTTTCTTGATTTTACGATTTTCTCTCTTTCTTTCTGTTCTTGCGATTTTTCTTTCTTTTCTTTCTTTTGTTTCACGATTTCTTCTTCTTGTTCTTATCCCCTCTTCTTGCTTGAATTATAGTGTTTTTCCTCTTTTCTTGTTTTCTTTCTTTCTTTCTGTTCTTCGGATTTCTCTCTCGCTCTCTCTCTCTCTCTCTCTCTCTCTCTCTCTCTCTCTCTCTCTCTGTTCTTCCATGCTACGAGAGTTCTTGCTTCTTTGACCTACCACATTTCTCTTTGTCTGGAGCAGATTTGGAGCTGGTGGCCGGGCCTCTGGATTTGGGTACGATATTTGATGTCGATATGGAGGACTTTGTCCATGGCCGACGCACCCTGTTTGCCGTAAGCTTATTCATACAACTCAATCCTTGTTCAGTTTCTTCCTAGAAATTTCTCTTCTTTAGTCCCTCTTCGTGAACATATATCTGAAGGATTTGGTCAAATTCTTGAGTAGGCTCTTACTTTTTTTTTGTCAAGCAAAGAAGCTCCAAAGTTATATTTACAAATCTGGAAGTGGACAGAAACCTAGCTATTCCCTGCAAATTCAGATGAAAAAAAAAACCAGACATAAATTGACTTGCATTTCACTTAATTACATTTCTTCATGCATTGCAAATTATGAAAAAAATGGAAGAAATATCTGTTCCTGAATCATCCTGAATCCTGACACACAGTGCACTGAAAATATATAGGAATGTTAATGTGCACAACCTGAAAATTCAGTGTCATTGGACACAGAGGCCCAGCAGTTGATCACCTGTTTGCCTGGATGCATCATTCATGTGGGCGAGTACACTATAATTAAGAGTCCCCAACAACAACTCCACATGACCTTAGACCTGAGAATTTTTTGTCCTTTGCATTTCTGTTCATAACAACTGTTCCAGCCAAGGAGAGAGTGGTCAAAATTATCCAGAAACACAATCTCACATGCTGCGATCCAAGGCCAACTTTGGCTGGCCACACTGGAGAACAACACCAATTAGCAGTTACTTCCGCTTTGATCGTTTTACTAGTTATCCAATCATATGATCAAGTTGCAAAGTCGTAATGTAGTAGTACTTTTCATCTGTGCGGCAACTCTTATTACCAATGGAATGATTCAGATGAAGAAGTTATCCTCTGGGTGAATTAAAAAAAAATCCTTTCAATTTCCTAGTTTCCATGTCAGGCTTTCAGATTCTGCTTGATGTTCTTTATGATTTGCGTTATAGGATCCTTAAACTTGATATATTTGGACCAAATTTAAGTTATTCAACATGATATTTGTCCTCAGTCTTTATTTCGTTTCTAGCAAATTAAGTGCAGAATCTTTATCGGTTCTAGAAAATATAGGCGAATTCAGTATTTTCTGGTTGTATTTAAGCTTTTGACCTCTATTTACCTTATGTATTCTGTTAATTTAGGTAAGCCTCTGGTCGTATTAAGTCCAGTTTCAGGCTATAGTTTCCTAAAGCCAATTTTCGAATGTGCAGTCAGACTTGCGTGCATGTTTTGTGAAAATAATCCCTATTCCTTGCTTTACTACCTTAGAGAAAAAAAAAACTGTACACCATAAGGTCTTGCTCTAGGCAAGTGATAAACCGAGGTCGTATACTTTAACAGAATATGGCAAATAAAATTTGAAAGTTCCGAAGAGATTATATAAATCTGGTTGCACAAGTAGTGTTTTACAGCAGACAAGATATGCGAGCCTACATGAGTGTCTTAGTTTCAGGCTTATGAAAATTTCATGCCACAGATATGATGTGGTTTATGATACAATGCAGTTATAATAAATGTTTTGTAGGGTCTATGTATCTAGCTAATCTCAAATGGAGCAGTAGTAGTATGAAAGATTACAATGTTGCATGGTACTCTTGAAAAGAATCAAGTTCAATTCTAGGAAATCATCCCTTTGAATATGCTTTCAGGTATGCGCTTATGCTCTCCTGAAAGCAATCCCTGGTCTCAGAGCTCTCGTAGATGACATTCCTCATCATAGTTATGATGTTGGACATGTTGGAGGTACTAATCTGATCCCTATGTTATTTTGTTCCCAAAACCTCAACCATTGAAGTGAACCACTCATATTTATTATCTTTTCCACGTAGGAAATCTGTGCTTGAGATGTAATATGAAGGAATTGAATAAATATATTCTGATGGACTATTTGGAAATACAACGCATCACAAACTCCCTGTTTATTTTCAGAAACTGTAAGTGTTATTAACTCAATCTATAGTTGAACACTCTAAATTCCTGATCTGCAGTGTTCTTACTGGTAGTTTATCAATATTATAGGGGAGCCAAAAACAGTGACGGTGAATGTACAAGCTCTTATGGATGAGCTTCTATCTGAGATTGACTATTGGTGCTTAGAGAAGGATTATGAGAATTCAATGAATATGGTTTTGATGCAAGTCAGCTTCACACAACAAACAAATGATCTTCTTCTTTTTGAGTCCTCCACAAAGGTAGTACTTCCCTTATCTCTAACATAAGTTGGGCTTGTATTGTGCGAATATTACATTATCATAATTTTGTAGTGGGGATGCTACAACTGTGCTGTACATTTCACCCGCATGGAATGTAGCAAATCTATTTATATGGATGGCCGTTCTGTCTCCGAGTTTGAAGAGGAGTGTTACCTGGACTGTCATGAGTGCAAGATCGCTGTAGGATACAAGCGTATGAAAGTGTGCAAATTACCACAGGTTCTAAACTTCTATGAAGTTTCAGGCCTCCTGCCTGAGTTGAGAATCTTAAATCAGGTATATTCCCAGATTTCCTTAGTGATGTGGAAAAGTATTTAGATCGTAGCAGTGAACTGAATCGCCTCTCACTATTTTTTTCCCCAAGGACTATGGGCTTACGTGCGTAATGCCAGAAAGAAACAAGGCTTGTCTCTATTGCCTATTAGAGCCAACAAATTGGACACATGTAGAAGCCGCTGGGGTAAGTTTTAAGCAAAACCAATCCTGTATAATGCATTGTTTCCTTTACAATCTGTTCAGTAGTAATTCTCTTTCAGTTTTTATTGAACTTTTTCAGTTTCTAACTGCACACCTGCTTCACCTTTCAGTTCAATGCCCGTCTGTGTCCACTAGGCCCTGCATTACCACCGCAGATCCAGGGCAAATGCGCAATTGCAATGTACCAAAGGATTTGAGTACGTACTACTTGTGCTCTAGAGAGATTCCTGAACCTTGGTTGCTGGTGCAGTGTAAATTTTGAAAACCTCAATGGGGTGGCTGTTAGCAAGGGTCGTGAATAGTTTCAGGAAATACTGGTTTGGAAACACCTTGATATATGTATCTTGGAGCTTGCATTAACTAAATAGTCGTGGATGTTCTTTATCCTCATTTTAATTCTTGTGATCTTTGCTTTGTGTTCCCTTGAAAGACTAGAGATAAATTGTAAGTGTAATATTTCTAATTATCGCTTTGCTACTGCAGTGCGAGAGGCTACTGATAAATAACTAACGGGGTTGGATTTGTGGAGCTGGGAACAACCTCAAGAGCAGAATTTGAATCGAGCGATCAGTAGACCTGTCAAGCCGTACAAGATCTCTGATGATGAATTAGTTCTCGGTTGCTGTTGTTTCCCCAGTTTGCTTGTAGAAAAATAGTAAACCTGGTGCTCTTTTCTTGTAGCTTGACTTGGTAGGTGTAGTTTTCTGCTGATTAGAAGCCGTGATGATGCAGTGACACAACTGTGAGCTCCTCTTGTAATGTGATTTGGGGTTGAAACTGTTCACACAAAAAAGAAAGCATTATTGGCTGAAAATTGCCCTTGGTGTTGCTTATAGATGTTCAAAGATAGAGTTTACTAGCTGTGGTCGCTTTTGAGCTGTGTGACCTGCTGTAATGTGCCTTGTAGTGCTTTCTATAAGAGCTGGGCCTAGGCCTTGTTAGTGATTTTGATCTTAAAAGATCAGATAGAGTATGTCTGTATATGTAAAACTGTTGGTACAAAATGTAGCCTTACATACTGCAAGTATAAAATGTATTGTCGTACATAGGTTTCCTTGCTTCTAGGGGTTGTTCAAACTCTCTTCTTTAGTCAATGGAATGGGCACTTTGCTGAATACTAAATTGCTAGAACATAAATACCAGCAGGAGTAACTTATTATGCGATACACTGGTTCAACTACAGAATTTAATCTCTCCTTGCAGGTACACTCTCCACCATGTATTAATTTTTTTCATCCAATAAAAATGGAGGTGCTGGTGAAACTGATCTTTTGGATGACTTTGCTTTTCTTTTTTCAAAAATTGAATTTTGCATTTCTAGGGAGCCCGAGCTAGATAACGACGAAAAATACTGAGGAAAGGATCATCGATGACAGAAATATGAACTAATCTGGGGACGATGGCAAGCTCTGTTGCTGACCAAAAGCCTAGTTTGTACTTTTAGTTGACGACGATGACAATGATTAGTTGCCCAAAGGTTATACTACAAATTATCAGTTATGGCAAACAAAACCGTAACAGACCATACTGCCAAGCTCCGATGCAAGGTTGAAAAGAGGAAAAAAAAACTAATCGATTGGAATCCAGATCCACCTCCCAGTGCCAGAATTCACCAGCTATTACATGATCATTTGTCGAGACAGAATCAAATTGAAGTATCAGATGCAGCTTCAGGTTCTGGAGCTGCCAGCCGTATAAACCTCTTCGGATCTTGTTGGTAGTACGTGAGTGTTGTCAGTTATCGCAAAATTTGATAATAACAAGCAGCCTTGCAAACTGCCATCAAATTCAGATCATCCGCTGAATTCCATCCAAAATGCAAACTCGAACAATCGAGAACCATCCGTTGATCCATCCGTGGACCAAAAGAAGAAGCAACCCGAACCAAGGCGAAGACCCCGACGAGGGCAACAACAATAAACAAGAAGAAAAAAAAAAGGAAAAAGAAGAAGACGACGACGTGGCGAGCCAAGTAGCAGCAAATCCTCGTCCACTCATCCAGTTCTACGGGAGGCCGCGGCTGCTGCTCCTCCCCCTCCACTGATTCCGCCCTTCCTCCAATGGCCGCCGCCTCCTCCTCTGCCGCCGCCTGCTTCCTCTCCCCGTCCCCTCCTCCCCGCCCGCGCCACCATTCCATCAAACACCTCGCGTGCGCCGCCTCCAGGTCGCCGTCGCCGGGGCCCTCCTCCTCCCGCTCCCTCGCCCTCCCTTCGCCTTCGGCTTCGGCTTCTCCGTGGCCGTGGCCGCGGCGGCTCCGCGACCTGCTCCCCGACGAGACCGGCCGGATCCTGTCGTCCGCCACGGGCTCCCTCATCGTCGCCCTCGCCTCGGCCGCGCTGATCCTCGGCGACGCCGGCTCCGCCTCCGCGTTCGTCGTCGCCACGCCGCGGAAGCTGCAGGCCGACGAGCTCGCCACCGTGCGCCTCTTCCAGGAGAACACGCCCTCCGTCGTCTACATTACCAACCTCGCCGTGAGGTAGAAATCCGCCGCGTTCGTCCTCCTCGGCTTGCCTTTTTTTTTTTCACGCGTACTGATGCGAATTCGGGTTGCTATAGGCAGGATGCCTTCACGCTGGACGTGCTCGAGGTGCCGCAGGGGTCCGGGTCGGGGTTCGTCTGGGACAAGAGCGGCCACATAGTCACCAATTTCCATGTCATCCGTGGCGCGTCAGATCTCAGGTTTGTTAAAATGACATGCTGCTGTCGCCCACTTAGAGCTGAATTCGAATCATACTTCACAATTCTGATAGATTTTTTTGGGTGCATGAAGATTTGTATAGGAGTGTAAATTGCTCTAGACTTCTAGAACTTGAAATGGATGGAGTAATGCAAATAGATGTTGGTTAGCTGCAGTAATGTGGTTACAGTGACAACTGACAACGGTTCAGTGAACTGTAAACACTTCCTACTAGTGACTCATTATTCAATGGCTTCCTTTTTCTTAGTTTAATATGTTCAAAGGTGCTATGATATAGATTAGTCATAGTTGCTGACAGGATTGTGTGTTTGAAGCTTTAAAACGATTATATTTTGCATATCATTTTCATTATGTACTTAAATGCTACACTTGAGTATTTGGTGCACAATAATTCATTCCCGAGCCCAACAATAACTTGCGTTTTGGTTTCTTCTAAGCCGCATATACTAGTATGCTGTGTACACTGTTCTGCTAATGCTACATGGTGCCAACTTATTGACAATGCATTATTGCATATAGAGCTAAAACATCCATCCATCTAAGATACTGTTTTGATGAATTCTTATGACATAATAACCTCCAACGGTATCATGGCGAAGTGAAGTTACCACGCTAGTTTTATGCAGGGTCACACTTGCTGATCAGACAGTGTATGAAGCGCAAGTTGTTGGATTTGACCAGGATAAGGATGTTGCTGTTTTGCGTATTAAAGCACCAACAGATAAATTAAGACCTGTACCAGTTGGTGTGTCGGCAGACTTACTGGTCGGTCAGAAAGTATTTGCCATAGGGAACCCGGTGAGTGTTTCTTACACCAACTGTTCGGTGTATTACCCATTCATGACAACTGGCTCATAAGCTTAATAAAATGTATTCTAACATAGTCTCAAAAAAACACTATCCAGTTCTTTACTTGTGATGTGCACCCCTGAATAATTTATTTCCATAGTTTCAATGTACTTTTCTGTTCAGAGCTGAAACAACCTTAGAAATCCCCCTAGCTGTTCATGAATATGTCTGACATTGTAATGAAAATACAATATATGCTAGAGAATATTGTACACAAAAAAAATACAATTAATCACTATGCAAACAACCAATATATCAAAATGATCTTATGCCACTAAGACTATGTATCGCGTGTTTTGGTGATATCTTTAGGCTTTTAGCACGTATTGATTCCTGGATAGAAAAATATGCTTACAACACTTGATTATTCTGAGTTATTTTCTATCATGCTTGCATTAACTTACTGATCACTAACAGTCTGTAACATGTTATGTCTATGTTTATGCAGTTTGGTCTTGACCACACTCTTACTACAGGAGTCATCAGGTGTAATGTTGTTTGAGTAAACAGATTCTGTCTTTTGCTGATTCATAATGCAATACACTGAGACACCTCTGTTTTGTTTTTCTGTTGACCCCCTTCCCTGCAGTGGATTGCGTAGAGAAATCAGTTCAGCTGCAACAGGACGCCCTATACAGGATGTGATACAAACTGATGCTGCTATCAATCCTGGTAACAGTGGTGGGCCACTTCTTGATAGCTCAGGAAACTTGATAGGTGTAAACACTGCTATATACTCACCTTCAGGAGCATCATCCGGTGTTGGCTTTTCCATTCCAGTTGATACAGTATGCAACTTGACATAAATACAAAACTCAGAGTTTCAGAATTTTTTATTTTCTATTCTATTAACATCTCTTTTGAACACATCCAGGTTGGTGGTATTGTGGATCAGCTTATAAAGTTTGGTAAAGTAACAAGACCTATTCTAGGGATAAAATTTGCTCCAGATCAATCTGTAGAGCAGCTTGGATTAAGTGGAGTGCTTGTCTTGGATGCTCCTCCAAATGGACCAGCAGGCAAAGCGGTATTGTCCATAGATCTTATTTATTGGTTTCCTGTAAATTGCAGTCAGTCTTAAAAGCATTGGTTTTCTTGCACTAGGCATGTTCCAATTACGTGTCAATTTGAGTTTACTGGGAGAACACCTGAGTTATTACTCCATAACATCATATGCTATGTTGATTGATGTCCTCTCGTGTGTTTTCAATCGTCACTAGGACTAAGGACAGCTGAACAGACATAACAGTGATAATTCATTTAGCATAAAGGCTAACCTTATGTGATTGATAGAACAAATCCTTTTTATTGCAGACACTGTATTTTCTTTGAACATGTTCGTGTAATAGAAGACTAGCTGCTTGCTTTGAAAATGACTGGTGCAACTAAAACTTATACATCTTGTTGTATGCTAGGGTCTGCAATCGACCAAGCGGGATTCCTATGGTCGGCTTATCCTAGGGGACATAATTACTTCTGTGAATGGAACAAAGGTAACAAATGGAAGCGACTTGTATAGGATTCTGGATCAGTGTAAAGTTGGAGAGAAGGTAAGCTTTCACACGTTTTTGTAAGGAAGAAATTGCTGTGATTGATAATAGCTCAGGTACTTATGCATATTGTGTTATAGGTGACTGTGGAAGTATTGCGTGGAGATCAAAAGGAGAAGATACCCGTGATTCTTGAACCAAAGCCAGATGAATCATAATAGTAAGCCACCTCCATAGGATCCACTCTACTGTTTGTATGTCCACATAGATGCAGAAATGGAATATATACAAGAAATTAGCATTTTCCCCTACCACGGAATTCGCTGTACATAATTCATGCTTGTAAATTTTCTGGCAAAAAGAGAAAATCCAATTTGGCTTATTTCCTTGTCATTCATGCTTCTGGTGTAACCGCCTCAGTAGAGACGTGTCATACGTGATGTCTCTGTTTTCCTGTATTTTGGTGAGGACCATGTACAGCAGAGACTATATAGTAGACCCCACACTGCTCCGTAAGTCTACTTAACATGGCCTACCGTATTTACACTGCATTCATCACTGGGCCATCTATGAACTAACAGGTTGATGGTCGTACTGATCTCACATATCACCTAAAAATCCTTTCTGACAGTAGAATCCATGCAGGTTTTGCTAGAGAAGTTGTTTTCATGGCCAATGCAATGCGTTGGGTAGTCTGCGATGGCATGGAGATTAATGTGATGGTTATGTCGTGATGTCTAATACAGCAGTGTCAACCACACACGACCCTGTCGTGGATTTTGGGGATCCATACGGTTGTCGAGAGGCAGGGCTGATGTTTCTGTAAACGCGGCAGGGTAACCATCAAAGAAGTCTCTGAAGATACTTTAGCTTCATGGTCACACCTCTGCGAGGATTTTGCATCAAAGGCGTGAAAAGATCTGTGAGCAACAAGTGAAAAGGATGCAATGTTTTAGAAAGGAAGCACCGCAGCAACAAGCAACGAAAAGCTAATCATGTTCATTGCATGATTAATTTATATCAGAGAATAAATAAATAAACAATTACCAGTACGAGGATTTTCAAGTGATACTACTACAGTATCCTTGCTGCTCTGGACAAGTAGACAGACGTCAGGTCCATCGGTCTGGGCACTGTTTGCAAGGTAAACCGTCACAGTCCACTTTAAGTTCTGATAGATGGATCATATCTGACTTCATCAAAGAATACATTAAAAAAAACTTAATTGTCTCTTAAGTATAGCAGAGGTAGGATGTAATCAAGAAACTAGCCATGCTGATTGATTCCATGCAACTTCTCATCAAGCCCTGCACGGCCGTACCGTGTTGCTATCTGAAACCGGCTATAAATCAGCCGCAAGATGATACTATAACACACTTTGCCCTATTCTTTTGAACTTAGGCCATGTTTAGTTCCAAAATAATTCTTCAAACTTTCAATTTTTTTATCACATCAAAACTTTTCTACACACAAACTTCCAACTTTTCTCAACTTTTTCGTCATATCGTTTCAATTTCAACCAAACTTTTAATTTTGATGTGAACTAAACACATGCTTATTCATTGGATTCTTATGAATTGTTTGTTCCATTGATTAGAAAATACCTTTTCTTAAAAAAAATTCTACTACATTATTTACCCACTTATTGTAAGACATTTGTTAAGTTTATTTTGTAATAAAGTATTTACTCCCTCCGTTTCTAAATATTTGATGCCGTTGACTTTTTTAAATATTGACCGTTCATCTTATTTAAAAAATTTAAGTAATTATTAATTCTTTTTCTATCATTTGATTCATTGTTAAATATACTTATACGTATACATATAGTTTTACATATTTCACAAAATTTTTTAATAAGACGAACGGTTAAACATGTGCTAAAAAGTCAACGGTATTAAATATTTAGAAACAGAGGGAGTAGTTTATCCTTGTAACCAAATTGATAATCCGCTACGATAAGTCGATAATCGCTCAACCGGGGCGCTGACGAGCGAGCAGAGCAGGACGATCGGTCAAGCCGCCGTTGGCCCCGGCTGTCGCGTGCAGAGTCTACTTCACATTGAAGTCTGCTCGGCTCAGCCGCTCAGCGAGATTACCACCCACAAATTGATTAATTAGAGGATTACTGCTATACGTGTGATCCAGTTACATAACTCATGTATAATTAGAGACATACAACTATAGATTAATTAAAATAGAGTATATTTATATGCATTGCATTCGTTTAAAATTAGTGATTAAATTGAGTCGTACGTAAATAACAGATAGGTCGTATGCATAGTAATTTCCTAATCAGAGCCTTCCTTGCTAATCAAACGTGGTCCAAAGAGATATGCCTATCAGAGAAGATCGTGGAGATAAGCACGGACAGAGTAGGCTAAAACTCGTTTGGTTTTTAATAGCTGTCATTTATACGAAAGATATGGATTAACCGAAGTGTGTAGTATTTGTACTTCACCTCTTTGCTCTTCTGGAACTTTGGTTAGGTAGTTATGCTTGTATCATTCAGAGTACCCTTGGTGTTTAGCTTTCATCTTGATGGACTAGTAATAAATTAGATGAGACAACAAGCCAAATCAGTACTACATTATTGCATGCATAGATGGGCTTTCTCTCACTAAATATAGCTAATAATATATTTTTGACCGGAGAAATAGTTAACTTTCATGAGTTTAATTAGGGAGGACTTGGTAGCATATTCTCGCGCATGACCGGATTTGCATGATTGCACAAGTACAGATTATGATATTAAGGGCACTAATATATATTTTTCAGGACGAATTAAGAGTAAAGCTTGGTAAAGGAGAGTTGGTGATCGAAGGAGATATCTGGAAAATGACCGTTCATTTGTAGCATATGGTTGAAATCTATGGTGCATGCAGCATGGTTCATAGAGTAGTTCAGTATCAGATTATCATCAGTACGTAGTGGCCGGTCAGGGGAAGAGAAGGTTGGAGAGATTAAAGGCCCTGTTGAAACAAAGAAGTTTGCACCTGTACTTTAATTAGTTTCGTTTGAATGTTGCATCGATCTGTACTTTAATTAGTTTTGTTTTGAAGGTTGCATCTGTCCTGTACGTACGTGTTGAGCTAGCTAGTACATTAATGATGTAGCTAATTATGTGAATATGCCGAAACAAGTGTTACAAGTCGACTACAACTGTGCCATGTTGGTTAATTAGCAACACAAGTCAATCTCTGCACTACCACATACTCACCACACCATGCAGAGCTAGAAATATGACAGGAGCCGCACGTAGACTGTTTTACCAACATACAGCATTGGCCATCAACTTTTAGGGATGAATCTGAATATATATTGTCTAAATTTATTCTTAGAAAATTTGGTTTTCCAGAGACGGATGGAGTATTTAGTAACAATAAAGAGAAAAACATATGACTACTTCGGTACTTCTCTATGATAAAAAAAACAAAGGCTATGTTTAAAGGGGTTTAAGATTATAAGAAATAATTGATTGGTACGTTGCTTCTGAGAATTTATAAAAGGTAACTTTCCCAGCATCTAATTTCTAGTTTATTTTCTTAATAAGGGAATTGAAGATTCTGTGCGAAGTTGTACTTACTAGAAATTCTGCGAACAAGAGCAAATAAGCTTGTGGAAAATATTGCGACTCGAGGAAAAATTTTAAAAACATTTTTATGACTATATTTGAACTTATATAGTAGCCCTGCATGAACATATAAAAACTCTGTATACAATATATACTTATTATGCAAGCTCTGTTACACTCAACATTTTTTTGGAATAAATTGTTACAATTACCATTTACCGCAGACAAACAAATTAAAGCGTGCAGCCAAACTTATCAGCCACACGCATCAAACAAATTTAATTAAACCTGCTCACGAATTTATCGTGGCAAGTAATTAAGTACATACTTAACCTGCAGAGAGAAGAGAATAAAATCGATCGAGCAACATTGGTATCGAAGACGTTCGCGACGTCAGAACGGGTGATAGCTCCGGCGGAACGCGGTGGCGTTGGCGAAAAGTCCGACGATGTCCTGCCGGTAGGGAAGGAACGACCTCCGGCGACCGCCGCCGCCGCCGCCGCCCCTGCTGCCGCCGTTGGCGTAGTAGCTCAGGGCACCGTCATGGCCCACCTCGCCGCCTCTGCCGCCCTTGTGCTCGGAGCCGGAGGAGGAGGAGCTCGCGTTCAAGAACACGAACTTCTCCTTGCCGTCGCTGTGGCTCCGGCCGATGGAGCGCTGGCGCCACCGGAGGAGAGACGACCCAGTGGAGCCGCTCTTCCGGCACCGCGCCGGGGAGGCCGCCGCCGCCACCGGCAACGCGGGACACAGCGGGCAGTACAGGAACGTCGACTCCGCCGGCTCCCCGTCGAGGTCGAGGTCGAGGTCGTCGTCCGCCGCCGGCTGCGTCGTCGGTGGTGGCGGCGGCGGCGGGCCGTGGTCCACCATCAGAAACCGCCATAGCGGCAGACGCGAGGCCTTCTCCGGCGCCTGCCGATGCGGCGGCGGCGTCGGCGGCGGCGACCTCGGCCGGCCGAAGACCGGGTACAGCGGCGGGCCCACGCAGCGGCCGCCGGCTAGCGGCGGGACCTCGGCGAAGGTGAAGCCGCCGCCGTCGTCGTCGGCCATCATGTTGCCGCCGGCGATGATCGCGTTGAGCTCCATCGCGTTCAGCTGCTTCTGCCGTGCGTGTCGCCTCCCATGGCGTGTGCGGCTTCCTCCTCGGTGTCTTGGCGCCATGGCTCTCCTTATATACACCAAGCTACGGAGTAGTAGAAGCCTTCATTCTCAACTGTACTGCACGAAAGCGTTTCGAATTGCCTCGAGATGGGGGCACTAATCTCGACCGCTGATCACGATATTTGACAGCTCGCAACGGATGTGATTGCGCGTTGCAGTTGAATCGTACTACTAGTTGGGTTAGGTTGCACTCGCTGTCAACGTGGCATGCAGAGATGTGGCTAGTTGCGGCCCAAGCCCACCTGAGCGGAGCCTTACGAATCGCTGGGCAATTTTGGTAGGCCCGAATTTTTTATTGGGCCTAGGTAGGTCTCTTTTTTCGCCAGGTTAGGCCTCCCTAGGCCCAATAAGGCCGCAGAGTGCCGCAGAAGCTATTTAATGGGCCGAATTAACCGTCAATGGGCCCATCCGACATTTCCTCTAAATGGACCGCAGTCGACCGCCATTCCTTCGTAATGGGCCGAACGAGTCGTGATTTTCTCCAGACGGGCTCTAGAGGGCCTACATTTCCTCGTAATGCGTGGTAACCTCATCTTAATGGACAGGAGGAGGAGGACTCATGCCTCACCACCGTGGCGCCCGCCACTGTCTCCGCCATCCTCCAACCTTGATGGCATCCTCGCCATGGGCAGTGGCGGGTGAGCTCCCGCTTCCCAACCTGCTTTCCCGCCACCGAAGACGACGACAACAACGGTAATGGGTTTGAGGAGGAGGACGCATACCTCCTCTTCCTCTCCCCTGTCTCATCCGTCTTCGCACCACTGTTGCTCGCCACACCACGCTGTTCGTCCTCCCCTCCCCCTTCCAACCGCCGCACCTCTCCCAGCACGATCTCCGCCACCTCCTCCGCCACTTCGTCTTCTCCACCTCCTTCCTCTCCTTCACCGATCTCAACTCCCTCTCACGGACACTGCTCGCCACACAGTGCCCGCCCTTCCCAACGCCCTCCAACCTGCTCGCCATCCTCTGTACTCTATCGTGCTCCGACCTCAACAACATCCTCGCCATGGGCATCGGCTCGCCACGCTGTCCCTTCGCCATGGGTGGAGGAAGTAGGACCCATTAACATGTGGGTCCCACCATTTTTTATCTTGTTTGTAGGCCCCTATTTTGTTTTAATTATTTAGTTTTCAATTTTGCTCCTTTTATTTGTTTTCCGAAGTAAACTACCACGTAAGCGTCAATACCACGTGGAACAAAAGACATGGTCAAATTAGCCTAGTAGGTACCACGACAACCAAAAAAAGGGACAATACTACCGAGGGATCTCGTTTGCACTGGTTTTATAAGTTGGAGACCCGTTGTATCTGTTTTTTTTCCAGGGACGTAAATCGGATTCGGTGTCAAATTAAGGGGCCCAAATGAACTTTTTCAGTCACTCAATGACAAGACGGGCCCACCTAAGTTGTACGGCGATTCGTACAGAGCGCTCACGTGGGCTTGGGCTGCAACTCCGCAAACCCACATCTCGTGTCAAGGCCACGTGAGCTCTCTAATGCTGTGATCAGCGGTCAAGATTAACGCCCCATCTCGATACAAGTGCCCTTTTGGGTACAGTGAGACTGTACGAGAATGAAGGACGTTGCTGCGTCGAGTGCTAGCTGCTGTACAAATACAGCATAATTAAGCATGAGTCCAATAGCTCAACGACAAGGTGCCAACAAATGACGACTCTATAGGTAACGGGTTAATAATAAAAGAGGCAAAAAAAAAAAAGAAGTAAAGAACCACTTGTACCTTTCACCTACGAAACAGGGTACAGTGCTACGTAGACGCAACGACCGGGTTAATTGTGTCCACTAACCCAAAGCGCAGGGCTTAATTGAAAAGGAGATGGAGAAGGGTTGGTAATCGAGTGGTGAGAAAGATACTGAAGATTTGACAGCGATTTTTGTGTCCTGTGTTGTGTTGTGTTGCGTCCGTATGTATTTGCGACGTCTGATCCGATGTACTCTTCAGGCTTCCAGATCGATAAGATGTGTTAACATAAGCAGGTAATCCTACTCCCCATTGCCGCAACCACAAGTTGCGTCCTTGATTCTGAGAGAGCTAAAGCTAATTGGGTAATCTGCATTGTTTGGTGTGATGATGCGTTGCATTTTTCAAATGTTATTGTAAACTATTTGTTTGGAAAGACTTGTTTAAGGTGTACTCCCCTGTTCCATTTTTAACGCAACCATGAGTTTTCGTTTCCAACTTTGATCTTCCGTCTTATTTGATTTTTATTTTATTTTTTTATGATTAGTTTTTTTATTTTTATTAGATGATAAAATATTAATATTATTTTATGCGCGACTTACATTTTTTATTTTTTTTAAATAAGATGGACAATTAAAGTTGGACATGTAAACTCATGATTGTATTTAAAATAGGAAGGAGGGATTACGTCGAAGGCCCTGTTTGATTCAGTCTATGATTATTATAATCTGTATTATTAGGAGTAAGCTAAAATAAATAAGTAGATTATTAAGATAGATTATTATAATCTATAAGCCAGATTAGTATAATCTAATAATCTATAAGACCCACTGCCCTTATATACCTCCAATATAAGAGCATATATTGGAGAAACAAACAACTCGCAGCTTAGACTGAAATAAACAAGGCCTAAGTACCAATAGTTGTTCAAACTGTGACCGCGTACATCCTTTAAGGTATAAAGGCTGGATTTTTAATCCATTTTCTAAAATAAACTATTTGCTTGGAATTCCTATGTTCTAAACCGAATTCGAATTAATTCGAACTTCGGCTGGCGGAATCGCGTTTCACGTACTGCTACACGTTTTTACGTTGGAAAGAGAGAGAAACGTACTACACGTTTCTGAATTCCAATGCTTATTAAAAAGGTAGTAGGAATCATCAAAGTGATCAAACCAATACAAAATCCACGATATATACATAAGTATTAGTATTACCCACATACAAAAAAAATCTGCATAAAGATTTTCTGCTACTACAAATCTGTCACACTTCAGTTCTACCACAAGGCAATCCGAAGTCACACCATGACTTGACAAAAATATATATAATTAAGGAATTAATTAAGCAAACGATCAGCGAGAAAGAACGCTACAATACGTTAGAACGGGTGGTAGCTCCGGCGGAACGCGCCGGCGTTGGCGAACAAGCCGACGAGATCCTGCTTGTACGGGAGGAACGACGGCCTCCGGCCACCGCCATTGCCGCCTCCACTCGCGTAATATCTCCAGCCGCCGCCACGGCCACCGGCATCGCCGCGCGACGTCGTGGTCGTCCTCCCCTTACTACGGACGTCGGAGCCCGAGCTCAAGAACACGAACTTCTCCTTCCCGTCGCTGTGGCTCCGCCCGATGAGCCGCTGCCGCCACCGGAGGACCGACCCGGTCGAGCCGCTCTTCTGGCACCTCGCCGGAGAGTTAGAAACCGCCGGCGCGGGTGATCCGGGCGACCACAGGCAGTACGTCTCCGCCGGCACGCCGTCAAGAACGCCATCCTCGTCGGCCTGCTCCCCCGACGGCGGCGCCGACGCCCTCTCCTCCAGCAGAAGCTGCCCCAGCGGCACCCGCACGGTGGCCGTGTCAGGCTCCTCCACCTCCTGCACCGGCGGCGGCGACCGCGGGCGGCCGAAGACCGGGTACACGACAGCGCCGATGCGGCCGCCTCCAACCACACACGTGACAGCCGCCGCCGCCGCGAAGGTGAAGTCCTCCTCGTCAGACTCTAGGACGTCGTCGTGGACGACGGCGGCGGCGGCGGCGGCGGCAGCGACGCCACGGTCGCCGTCCGCCTCCGCCATGGCGTGGCTGGTGGTGGTGGAGTTTTTCTGTGGCGCGAGCTGCGCTGCGCTGTGGCCAACGGGGCGGCGGAACTAAAGGGAGGCGGGAGATGCGCGCGTGAGGTGGGCCACGGGCGGTTGCGCGTCGCGAGCAACAAGTGACGGCCGGTACGGCCCATAATCTAACCGACAGGTGGGCCCCACCAATCTCCCGCCAGTGATGAGAGGGGGGAGCTGGTTGGTCGGTTGGTGCGTGGGCCCATGAGGGCCACGGTGGGCCACGCGACACGTGGCGGACGATGCTTGAGTTGAGTTGCCATTTGGGAGAGGAAAAGAAAAGAAAAGGCTGGCATGCAATGGAAGGGAAATAGAATGCAAGCTGGACAGCAAAGAATCCTAGTGGAATGGAACGGAATGGATTGGATCCATGTGCTTTTCTCATCGTTTTCTAGTGTCTCTTACAAGCCTTTTTTTAAAAAAAAATTATTGTTGTCTATCTATTCTACTTGTTGCTTCCTTGAGCTCCAAATGGATCACCTACCACCGAGATCAGAAGACGTTGTTGGGTTAGATCTAGAAGCAAAAGATGAAACTGAAAGGGAAACAACACAAAAGGAAAGAAAAAAATTAGCAGCTCTGGGGTTCCGTTTAGCTTGTCCTAGGATCGATGCTTGTGATGTTTGATCTGTATGGCGTGTGATTGACGGCATGGCGCCCGGGTAATCTGCTCCGTTCTAAGTAAAGTATGTTTCACTCAAGATGCACGCCATGGTAACAGCAAAAAATCAAAGGCAGCACATGTAAATGTACTGTGCAGTACATACGCTACTCAACCAACATACTGTGAGCCCGTGAATTCACAAAAGAGTCGAACGGCTCTGCAGGGTTTTCTTTCCGTAAAATAAAAGGCATTTTTTCCTCGGAGGAAATAAAGGGCCGTTTTGATTTGATACCAAAAACATACCCTACCAATTTATTGGCAAATTGAATAGTATGCGTGTTATTTTGGATTGAAGCCAAATATTTGGTAGTACCCTTATACTATTTGGTCATTTTCTAGAAATTTCTTCACTATACTATAAGAATTTGACTTTATATCGGTAGCAATCCAAATGGTAGCCAAATAATTTTACCCTACCAATATTTTGGTAGTGCCAAAGTTTGCCTAGACTTTGGCACTACCAATAAATTGGTACGGTAGAGAACCAAACAAGCACAAACTCTTTATTTTTTAGGGGTTTAATGGGCCAAGATGTTCTCTCTGGTGCTTGAGCTGACTCTTATTCATATCTACTTTTGTAGATAAAATAAATTTAATTTGACTCACTGAAATATAGGTCTAATTTAATTCGTATCTCTCATCAGCAAACCATGTGGCATACCATCAGATGTTTGACGTTGGTTTGATTAGGTCAACGAACCACGTCAATGGAATTCGCCTTCAAAACTTTTGAGGGAGTCATTTTACACTTGTTTTAATAGTCGATATGCTAGTATGTATTCCTTTTGCTATTAAGAGATACGAACATGATCAGACCTACATTGAGGGATTAATATTAGACTTTCTCCTTTTTTTTAACGTTCGCCTACGCGACAAAAGTTTGATGGATCCAGTCGTCGGCCTAGTAGAACGGGCCCATCAGTTGCACGGGCTACAGTAAGTGCCAGATACGAGAGGGCCCATGAGTACTTCGGAAACTGCTTCCGTTGGGAACCTTTTTTACATTGAGATTCGTGCGCGCGAAAGGCTGCAGCACACGCTTTCCAGAGCCACACGCGCGCGCGAGGCGCGCACACACGCACGCACAGCGCACACGGCCACACGGGCGCGCGTGTGCACCCCGACAAATTCAATCGTACACGAAAACAGCTGGAGAAAACATCAAACCGAATAGTGGTGCAACCTTTGCACGTACTACGTTGACCCGTTCCCGCGCCTTGCGCCGCCGGGGCGCGCGTCGCGTGGACTTGATCCGATCCGGCGCCGGCGCGGCGAGGCGTGGCGCGCGCGCTTCTCACGGGGTTTTCCCCGAGATGGACACGCGGCCAAAGCCCCAGTGACCCATCTGGTACATCTCCTCCAGCCACGCCAGGTCCTCGTCGGTCGGGGCACCCGCGCCGGCGGTGGCAGCGGCGGCGGACGCGGTGTCGTCGTCGTTGGCGACGATGTCGGCGGCTTCTAGCTCTTCTTCTGGCTTCGCGATCGCCTTCTTCTCGCCGGCGGCGGCCGCCGACGTGGCGGCGACGTCGCGGACGCGCTTGTTGTGCAGCAGCGTCCGCCTCCGGCTCCTGAGGCGGCCGACGCAGCGGCGGCCGACGGCGAGCGGGGCCTTGACGAGCGCTAGGCTCAGCATGCTGACCAGCGCGCACGGGCAGCAACCCAGCGCGATGCAGTCCGCGAGCATCACCGCCGCGCACGACCGGCACCTGCACCCCACACCGCCGCCGCCGCCCGCCGTCGTGGGCCCCTCCTCCCCGTCGCCGTCGCCGTCGCGCCACCGCCGTGGCCGCTGCAGCTGCATGGCCCTGCTCATAGTTGAACAATGCGCGATTCGCGTCAGTGAGCGAGCGAGTGAGCTAGTAGCTGTAGTGGCACACACACTGAACTCGCCGGCGATCTCGAGAGGATGCAGGAAATGATCGCGACGTGACACGGCGAGCTTTGCTGCTAGCGTTTTGTAGGTAGGGTTCGGGTGCGAGCTGAGTAGTTACGACGTCGCAGTAGTAACGCATGCGCTGCATCCGTCAGACCGGGAGGCAGGTAAAGCGTTGTTACTGTCAGCAAACGAGCAGCTAGCTAGCAGCACAGTCGCATCGCAAAGCCGGAAACAGCAACGGTTATAAATGCATGCCACTGCCACGAGAGGAGAAGAGATGTTTCTCAGTTTTGGCCATCTCCTCCTCTCCACTGAAGCAAAGCCGAAGCTGAATTTAACCCTCTCAGCCAGAGACGCAGCAGCAGCAGAAGCAGTAACTTTGAATTCAGAAGGTGAGAGAGAGAGAGAGAGAGAGAGGCCATGCCATTGCCATTGCCATTGTCACACTGATCTCTTTTACTTGGAGAGAGGACATGGTAGCTACAGTGCTCGAAAACTGCAAGGTTGGGGCGCTTTTGGTCGCGGCTACGCCTTTTGGGAAGGGAGGGGACAGGGGTTGGGTACCCGTGAGTTGAAGGCCGTGCAGTGCAGGGCGCCATTTCTGAGCAAAGTGGCTGTGCGTTTTGATCTAGCCACTGTGCCAACACGTCAGTATTCACAGGCTCTAGTACAGCTGGGAACTGTAGCTGCCAACATCTCTCGATCCGCTGTCTGATTCCCCTTGTTGTTCCAGGACCCAGCAATACTACTTCACATGCATCCATGCATTAGTACTGACGTGAGAGTTCATTCAGAGTGAGAGAAAGAGAGTTGTTTGTGACTGTGTGAGTATGGGGGGGCCTGAGTGAGTTGATCATCAGATTCAGAGATTGCAGGGGGCTTTGGGACAAGTACGTTGATCAGATGCTGGACAAGGACAAATGCAACTGTGCAAGCAATGACTTTTTTCTGCATGTCATTATTGGATCAATGATAAAACAAGATGCATGGTTGTCTGGAAAAATGGCTGGAGGAGGAAGATCTGTGTACGCGTGCTGCATCCGAGAGGGGGCATCAGTGCATCTGTGCATGTGTGGAACATGTCGGGAGTGGACCGAATCTGATGGTTCTGAACTTCTGATCTCTGCTCGGCGTGCACATTGCATTTATCAATTCCTAGAATATTTTGACCGGAAAATCTTGTGTATATAAGCTCAGAAAATAATGCGTATGTAAGCAAAAACTGATCAAAGATTATATGGAAAATGGAAATATTGAGATAGTTTATTCACATGAAAAAATATCTTTGAGTGTGTTGTAGTAGCATATATGGCCAAGCTAAGGGGGAATCGATCGATAATTAATCAACTAGTGCATTGACCAAAAATATTTTCGTTGTGAGAAGTTAGCTAGGCTTATGGTCACTCCACACCTTAATTAAAAAGAACATATTAGGCCTATACGATGTCCTACCTGTTTCAGAGGTTTTTCAGAGTTGTAATTACTATTGCTGATCAAAATATGAGAGTGCTAGCTACCAATCGTTACAAAAGCTAATATGTAGTAGCAGATAAAATCTACGAGCAGTACATGGCAATCAAGTTAGGAAGGGGCTATACTGTATATCTGTCTGTCCGTTGATCACAATTCACACATGTCGAGGTACATGGGCAAAAAGCTAGCTAGTAGCACCTAGCAATTCCTGCATTTCTGCCCATACACTGCAAGTGATCATGTCATGCTTTTCGGATCGTAGCGGCCGGAAAGGTAAGAAAATCACAGGCTTAAAGAAGCATATATCTTGTTCGAAATTCAGTGAGTGAGATCGTAGATTCAGGCTTTCAGCACCATTAGCTGCAGACGCCCAGATGGCAGCTCATGCATGTAATACATTGTCGCCACATTCACTGAATTTGATGGTTTGATCACATTTCCAATCAAACGCCTTAAATCGAGTGGAACAGAAAGAGATAGAGATGATCGAGGAAGAGTAGATTGGTGTACTTACTTGGAGCGGGAGATCATTGTAACTGCAGTTTCCTGATCCATGGACGTCGTTGCTGCCGTGCCGTCAGAGAATGGAAGAACCCAACACCACCGAAAGCTTCAGCTTCGACGATCCGTGTAGGTGTTGCTCAGCCGGAAGCGGAGACGACGCCTCCGCCATTCAAGATCGCAACGGGAAGAAGAGCCCGAATTCAGCGGAGAGAATAAGAGTTCTTTTTTTTTTCTTTTTTACAACGGCTCATCGGAAAAACAGGGGAGGATTAATAGTTGTTTCATGCTGTGCAAATGCATGCATGGTGTTGCTTGGAGTCAGGAATATCTCAGAGAAAAATATCTCTCTGATGTACTAAGCTTCCACTAGGTTTGATTTGATGATTGTTTTCTAATCGGTGCAGGTAAACAGAGATTAGTATACTGAATTTGCCTTGCTGCTGCCGACCAGATCGGTCAGATCCAGATCCAGGTGTGGCGCTGTCAGATGTGAGCAATGCTCTGCAGCATCCCAGTTCATGTGCATTGTTGCCTCAGACATGCATAGGATAAGGTAATTTGCGTCCCTATCTAGTTAATTACACTAGACCGTGCGAATAATCTGCTGCTCTGCTGTCTTTGACCTCGATGACTCTGACAATGATGAGCAGGTGCTAACCTTCTGAAGCCACACAAGAACCCTACTCTCTGTCCTGCTTGCTGGCCTCTTCCTCTGTTGATCTGTTCTTGCATTTTTCACCATTTTTTTTGGCAAAATTATTAACCTGATGTATGCTAAGGATTTGTGTATTTCGTGTTGCGTTGAAATTGGAAAAGTGGAACATTTTCTGCAGGACTTGCTTTCGCAGTCGTCAAATTTTTGCCTTCCGTGGAGTTCAAACTTGTTCAGACATGGTATATTTTGCAACGAATATGTGATTTCACCAGCAGAACATCTTATCAAATTAGAACCTGATTCATGTCTTATTCACAATCTAATCACCTCCTTTACAGCTGTTTGAGACGAAGAAATTTTTCACATGAAAATTTCAGGGATAACTACCTACAGAATGAACAAGCATCTGTACATGGCGACCGAACGATCAGGCCGCCGGCGGCGGCGCCTCGACCGACGTCGCCGGCGGCGCGGCGGCCTCCATCTTGGCAATGGCGCCCGGGCCGCCGCCGCCGTGGACGAAGCCGCCCTCCATGTCGTCGTCGTAGTAGGCGACGCGGTCCGGGCGCGGCCGCGGCCGCAGGTGCTTCTTGGTGCAGACCTGCCCCACGATGCAGGAGATCACCAGCAGCGCCGCGATGACGCCCAGCACGATGAACACCGGCGTGTACGACCCGCCCCCGCCGGTGGCCCCGGCCGCCGCCGCCGCCGACGTGTCCTGCCGCGGCGGCCGCATGGCGTGCGCGCCGCCGGCCAGAAGAGGCGTCGCCGGCGAGGACATCGACATCACGCAAACCTGTGCTTAGTGCAGAGAGAGCTAAGAACAATTTGGAGGCTACTTAATATCACTTGGGTAAATATGCTTGGAGTGAGCTTAAAGGCTGGGGTTAGTGTGGAAGGGGAGGATTGGAACTTTGCTACTTTCCAAATTTCCCCTTTTTGGCCATGACAAAGCCAAGGATCCTAGCACTTTTTTCTGACACATTGTGCACAGCAAAAGACAGAGAATGGATTTTTGTTCAAGCCAGAGGTTGAAAAGTTGTTACTGAATGCTAATCTGGTCCTTTTCTGCATGAATCTTGAGCAGAACAAAGAAGGATCGCTTGGCAGTGTGTGTCATTAGGCAGTAGATAGAGAGTGCAAAAGTACGATGGAAGGGAGACTATTTGTCCCCTTGTGGTTACATGTCACTCAAATGGTTATGAAAAAAATTAAAAAAAATTAAGAAGATATATTAACATGTGATATACCACTCCACAAACATGTAAGTTCAAATTTAACTTCTAAATCTCATAACAAAAAAATAAATTTTACTGTGAATATATGTTAACTAGCTGTAGTTTAATTTTTTTTTTGTGAGATGTAGAAATTCAATTTGAACTGGTATGTTTCTAGAGTAATATATCACATGTTGATACATCTTCTAAATTTTTTTTATATTTTTTTATAACCATTTGAGCGAGATACAAACCCCTCAAGGGATCAAAATCCACTCTCAGGAGGACCTGTTTAGATGGATGTTATTTTGAACTATATAATTTTAGTAAATTAATAAATATTTATTTTGTTATTTAATACTATTGGTAATGTTGGGGATGTTATCAGCGTACTAAAATTTGGCCATTGCTAAATTTTGGAAATGTTATTTTTGACAATAATTTGAACAGCTCGAAATGCCACGTCAGGCATAGGCAAGTTTCTGAGTTATTCCTGGCCGTCCATCTCAGATCCAACGGCTGTAGAACACGGGAGGTGTGGCCACATCGCACTCGAACCCATCTACGCCTTATCTTATCGCGCGCGCCCTCCTCCCGCGTTTTTCTCCTCTCCCCGTCGCAGAGCAGAGCGCGCCATCCAGGAACCCGCGAGCTCGCCATGGCCATGGCTTCCACCGCCGTCTCCTCCACCCTACCCCTCTTCCACGTCCGCACCGCCTCCTCCGCTCCCGCGGCGCTCCGGTTCACCACCCGCGGCCGCGGCGGCGGCCGCCACTCCGTCGCCTGCAACTCCACGGCGGCTTCTTCCCCCAAGGTGCTCGAGCTCGGGGACGCCATCGCGGGGCTCACCCTGGAGGAGGCCAGGGGCCTCGTGGACCACCTCCAGGAGCGCCTCGGCGTGTCCGCGGCCGCGTTCGCGCCCGCCGCGGTCGTCGCGGCGCCCGGCGCCGCGGGCGGCGGCGAGGACGGCGCGCCCGCCGAGAAGACGGAGTTCGACGTGGTGATCGAGGAGGTGCCGAGCAGCGCGCGCATCGCGACCATCAAGGTGGTGCGCGCGCTGACGAACCTGGCGCTCAAGGAGGCCAAGGACCTCATCGAGGGTCTCCCCAAGAAGGCCAAGGAGGCCGTGAGCAAGGAGGAGGCCGAGGAGGCCAAGAAGCAGCTCGAGGAGGTCGGCGCCAAGGTGTCAATCGCCTGACCTCCCTGACGAACACACGCACTAGGCTACTAGGACACCCAAATCTTGCTCAATTTTTTGTGTTGCATTACACCTCGAGACATTTTGTATCATCGTTGTTTCGCTGCAAGAATTGAATAACTGGATTTGCCAAATCATACATTCCGGTTTATACATTTCCTTTGAAGAATTGATGTGCATATACAGATACTTTGCTAACTAGCATGGTGGCCCGCGCAGATTGCGTGGCTAGCATCATTATATTTTGTCACATAATAACATATATGTTTTCTCAATGTATTATTGAAATATATTAAAATGACAACATAATTTTAAATTTTGTACTACCTTTACGAAACTACTAATGTATAGTATTCATATTGTATTTTATATACGTGTTAGTTATTAATTATTTTTAATATCAAATTTTAGTTATTTGTAAATTATATTCCTATATAGACTCTAGGCTCTTCTTCTAATATTATTTATTTTTAATTCTAAAATTTTATTATTTTTAATTGTATTTCTATATGGACTCTAAACTCATATTTCAATATTCTTTAATTTATAATTTCGAATTTTAGTTACTTCTAAATTGCATTCTTATATTGACTTTATACTCTTCTTCCTTTTTTTTAATTTCGAATTTTAGTTATTTGTAAATTGTATTTTTATACGAACTCTAAACTCTACTTTTAATTTTATTATGTTTATTCTGAATTTTAGTTAGTTTTAAATTCTTATATGGACTCTATACTCTAATTCTAATATTCCTTATTTTTAATTCCGAATTTCTATTATTTCTTAATTGTATTTCTATATGGACTCTATACTCTACTTATAATATTCCTTATTTTTAATTCTGAATTTCTATTATTTCTTAATTGTATTTCTATATAGACTCCAGTTTCCTCTTCTAATATTCCTTATTTTTGAATTCCGAATTTCAACTATTTGTAAATTGTATTTCTATATGTACTCTAGTCTTATCTTCTAATATTTCTTATTTTTTAATTCCGAATTTCAACTATTTCTAAATTGTATTTCTATATGGACTCTATTTTTCTTTTTCTCCGATTAATGTGGGAATTTTTAAGCCGTGAGAGCGAATGTGAAGGCTATTTTTTCTATTTCTTTGATAAGTTAATAGATAGATTTGCTATGGCCTACATGATCGAACACAATCACCCATGATCCATTCAGCAATTGCCGTGGAGAGACTGCACCGTGGGCCACAAATCCTCGAGGGCCCAGAAGTTGTCGCTCGACGCTGCCAAGAACTCGTCGGAGACGACGACGTCACCAGCGGCGGCGGCAGCAGCACCGCCATCTTGTCCTCCATGGATTGAGCTCGCGTAGCCTGGCTGCAGCTGGTCCAAGTAGCTACCACTACTCATGCCGCTCGGCGGCGGCGCCTCAGTGGCGTACTCCTGCGTGACGGCGACGGTGGCGGTGGTGGTCCGGCCGGAGACGCTGCTGCTGCCTTGGTCCTCGGCCACCGTGTTCTGGTGCACTGTAGCCGCAGGCATGATGCTTTCGCTCGTCGTCGTCGCGTAAATTCCGTCAGTGCTTTTCCTGTGCTTCTTCTGTATCTTGGTCCTCCAGAAGTTCTTGACCTCGTTGTCGGTCCGGCCAGGAAGGTACCTTGCAATCTTGGACCACCTGAAGAATCCAAGTGATCAATCTATCGATGATCCCTTCCAAAATTTTGTCAGCCAGTACTAAATGAGACATACTAATACTATAATTTTGGATATATATATACGTAGATTCGTAATATTAGCATGTGTCGTTAGGGTTCACAATTCCAACGAAAACCGGTCGAATTTCGCGAAATTTCGAGGTTTCGACGAGGCTCCAAAATAGAAGATGTCTGAGATTTTGATGAGTTTCATCCAAATTCAAATTTGAATTGATAAAAAAGGAAAAAAAAATTAAATAAAATCTTATAAATAGTATGATATTTATAAAATAAAAAAAAGATGTATTCCATGTATTTACTGAAATTTACAGTACGAAAGAAAAGAATAACAAATTAAAAAAAGAAAAACAATCTCAGTTTACCTCTTTTTCTAGTTACTGATGAAATTTCGATGATTTTGCTCGGAATTTAACAAATCTGACCGGTTTTCGCGAGCTTATCGGTAAACTCAGGGAAGTTGTATTTAAAGTTTGGTTTACGAAATTTGTTCGGAATCTACCGGCTTTGTACCGGATTTCGTGAAAACCGTCATTCCGCCAGAGCCCGAAACGGAAGACCATCTCGGAATCATAAATGCTGTATGTCATAGCAATATTTTGCGATGGAGGCGATCGAGTTAATGTGCGTTACCTGTTGCCCCATCTGGCCTGTAGCTCGACGATGAGCGTGTGCTCCTCCGGCGTGATGTTGCCGCGCCGCACGTCGGGTCGCAGGTAGTTCAGCCACCGCAGCCGGCAGCTCTTCCCGGTACGGTTAAGCCCTGCAGCTTGATGGCGTGAAGATATATATATATATATAGAGAGAGAGAGATTTTCTACTATGCTTGGTATATATTAGAGCTAAGATAGAAGGTACAGATGCAAAGGTACTTAAGAGTGTGGGCCAGGTATAAAAGCTAGAAGGTTATAATGGTAATTGTCTTTTATCATCACTAATGGTTAAGGACCAATCAGTTGACAAGGAGCATATGGATGCCATGCCACAGCCACTGTACCGGCGGCGCGGGCGAGGGTGTTCCACGCGCCCTCGCCGTTGGCGGCGATGTAGTTGACGAGGCTGAGGTCCTCCTCCATCGTCCAGGGCCCCTTGCGCACCGCCGCCTCCACCGTCTGCACGCCGCCGCCGCCGCTCCCTTCCACCGTATACTGCATGGCTACCGGCGGCTCAACGACGTACGGACGATGGCGGCGGCGTACACACCTCGCCGCGCGACGGCCACGCTTATATACTGCACTGTACAAGAAGAACAGCATGCGCGCGCGGGGGAGGCTGGCACGACGTGACGCGAGGTGGCTGATGATGATGATACGATGGATGGATAGCAACTTCGGCACGCCTAACTCGGAAAGCCGCTCGCCGGGAGCCCCCGAAACGGCTGCAGGGGTTGGCGTGTCGCATCAAACGGGCGCTCGATCGTCTCGTTTGGCCTTGCACTGCCTTTAACTTCTTCGGCAACTGATCGTATCATAGTTACGTGCAATTGCCATTGGTTTGGATCTATGTACCTTTTCCTCTCCATTGGTTATTTCGCACGTGCGAATTCCATGGAAATGTTTACGTGGAGCTAGGTTGGATCTCCACGTCAAAGTTCAGTCTCAATCTGTCAATCATGCTCTGACTAGGTAGCTGATTAATTTTTAGCAGGGAGATGAAGCTGAATTTGCTAGTTAGGGGAGATTTTATTATTTACCGTCCTTCCAAAAAGACAGTTTCAAGTGTCACTTTTCTAAACTTTCATTCCCTACCACTTGTGCCCGCCGCGAGGGTTGAGGACTGTTACGAACCTCTGTAGTTGTAACAAGGACCTACAACAAGGACCTCCACGACAACTGGTGTGCCCTGTCTCGTTGGACCACTGGTTGCTCATGCTCTTTAACTGTCCTCACTCACTGCTCGTCTTTGATGCTATGGACCGTTCCTGGAACCTCTACCACGCTCGCACCATGCGTGGGGGCCGTGTGCTGGTGGCTTCCTCAGGTGGTCTCATCCTCTACTACTCGTCGGCCATGGGCAATTTTGCCGTTGCCATCCTGCTCATCAGTGCGGCTGACCGTAGTGACTGCAATAGTGTGGCCTATTCTTAAGCCGCTCCTTGTAGGTGATCCCTAGGGTATTTTGGTCTTTTTATGAGGGCATCCACGGGCCAATAAAAAAACCAGCCACGTAGTTAGGAATTGGGCAAAGAGTGACACACGAGAGAGAATTAGTGAAGATCGGGTAGTAAATTACAACAGAAATTTAGGAGAGTGATATTTAAAAACTGATTGTTGGAGGATGTCAAATAGTAAATTCCCCTGCTAGTTAGTAGTACATCGTGGTATTACCAATCGCGTGAAAGATTAGCTCAAGACACATCAGAGACAAATCGTACTAAGGAACAACACTACGAATTAATTGTGGAACGGTGTGTGTAAGCAGGCAACTAACTACATACTCCCTCCGTCCCATAAAAAACCAATCTAGTACCGGATATGACACATCCTAGTACTATGAATCTAGACATACATATGTCTTCGTAGTACTATAATATGTCATATTCGGTTCTAGATTCGTTTTTTTATGAACAGAGACCAACCTAGTACCGGATATGACACATCCTAGTATTATGAATCTGAACATACATATGTCCAGATTCGTAGTACTATAATATATCACATCTGATCTTAGATTCATTTTTTATGGGACGGATGGAGTATAGGCAAAGATATATGGTTGCTATTCCTTAAACTATTGTTGCTTGGATAAGCAGCTTGCAGGCTTGAAGGTTGCAATGGATCTTAAGCTTTTGCGTGGTGCATGAGAGTGAGGGTACTCGTGTTTAATTCTGCAAGTATCTTATCGAGTGAACCCGAGTTAATGAAAACCGTGTACTCTAGTGCCCAACTTCCATAGCTACAAACAAGACCACGTTCCTGAATCCTGAAGAGCGTAACGTCTGTACCAAACTGTTTCATTTCCAGCTGCTAGCTGAAGTGCAAATGCACCACTACTGCTGGAAGCCACATTTGCCAAACCCATTAGCTTTCTGCTGGTAACCGTAAGCAGCCCAAAGTCCACAGATTACGCCACATGTTTCATGCCTCTGTGAAATGGACTATCGACGTCTATATGCGTTTCAATCATAAAAGAGCCCCGATAAAAGAAACAGGACAGGGTTGCACAACAGGCAGCAGCCTTGAGCCCTTGACTATGTTCTAACATATACTCCATCCGTTTCACAATGTAAGACTTTTTAGCATTATCCATATTTATATAGATATTAATGAATCTAAACACATATATGTGTAAAATCAAAGGTGTTTTTGATTATTATTCTGTGATGAACAATTGACATATGTGATTATTGGTTTTCATATTTGAAGATTATTGACGAAGTGGTTTTGGAGATGATTGGATTTACAGGTGTTAAACATGTATTGCTGGATTTGGTCCGATCAGACCGGGCATGGGTTGCCGGTCAGACCGGCGGTTATCGAGCGGTCAGACCGGCCAGCTCGCGGTTTGATCGGCCGACCCTGTGTTGGTTTTGGTTTCGGGTTGTTTGTTTGGATATCCGTGATTGTTTTATGTTTATGTTTTCTAGAAGGATACTATGTGTATGTAATACTGTTGTTTGCTACTAATGAGTCAAGTTGGAGATAGATTGGTCTTGGAATATGGTTTCTTTATTTGCTTCATGTGTAGGTGACTCGATGTCTCGGGAGAGTATTGCCGGTGATGGATCGGGAGTTGACTTGGGGATAAGGCGATGTCCGTGACGGTCAGATATCATGCGGGATGCTTAGGCTAGAGTTCAATGTACGTGGTTGGTGAAGATTCCATATGGCATACGATGGAGGTATTGTGTGCACATGGGATACGGAGTTGAATTTGGAAGGAGTCCAAATTTGTTATGATTGGAGTTTGTAAAGTTTGTTTCTGGTACGAGAAGGTTTCCTAGGTGGATTAGGACTTCTAGTATGAGTTTGGTTCGTGGCTTTAGGCTGCCTACCTCGTGTATAAATAGAGAGGGAGTGTGAGGCTTCCCGGTATCACTTTTGAGAGCATTTAGTTAGGGTTTCGAATTTAGTCGAGATTTTGGTGAGTAGTCTGTTGTTGCACTTTGTAAACACATATAAGAGTAATAAAGTGTTATCTACTTTAAGATTTCTTCGATTTGTGTTTTCTCGGGTGCGGCGGTCCAACCGGCGAGACATCTACTTCGAGAGTTCTTCGATTTGTGTTTTCTCGGGTGCGGCGGCCCAACCAGCGAGACATCGGTGGTTAGACTGGCAGCATCGCGGTAGTTAGACCGACGGAGTACCTGCTGTCAGACCGGCAACGATTACAGACGGCAGGAGCTGATCTCGGCGGTTCGACCGGTGTTACTATCTCAGTCAAACGACGACTTCCAGGCGGTCAAACTGGTTACCGTGATCCGTCGAATTTAAGGGTAACTTTTGATTCCGCAAAAACTTTGGGTTTTTGGGTATACCAACCATTCATCCCCCTCTGGTTGGTTTAGTTCTTTGTGTTTCGATCCTACAATATACGTAGAGATTCATTACCATATATATGAATGTGTGTATTGCTAGAAAGTTTTACATTGTGAAACGGACGAAGTACTACAATACTAGGGTACTGTATCATTTACAGGTTGGTTAAACGCCTTTTCTACATTAGACTCACCAGTATCAAGCACTTTTCATGTACAGAACTTGGGTACAAACGACACTGGCAAGTTTTGCATACCTTCGTGTACACCTTCGACAACATGTGGTGTACTATAGCTGGACGAACCGCTGCCAGGGGCAGGCTTTGCCTAATACAAACTATAACGTTGCATGCGTTTATTTCCGTGGCAATATAAACATCATCACACATTTTATGATACTAGTACATGCTATGCTACTGGACTATCCCCTGTTCTCTCTTTAGGATGTCTACTCGTTCCCCTTATCCAACTTTGCCTTCTTCGCTTCATAATCCTTCACGGCGGCCTTGATTGCATCCTCTGCAAGCATGCTGCAGTGGAGCTTTACAGGCGGAAGCGATAGATGCTTCGCTATCTCACTGAAAACAGGACATGATAAGTCAATAGAACTCCAATGAGCACAATAAAGCTTGTGCCCAAGCAATGCTAGCCACAGGCGGAAGACAATAGGATTGTAAGTGAAACTCACAATAATATGGTAAAGGATGTTTCCTAAAAATGAGGGATGAGCCTACGATCCCTGAGATGTACTACCTCTGGTTATATGTATGACATCGTTGACTTTTTTAAATTCATTTCGAACTTCATATGTTCTATAAATATTTGTGCAAATAGACATTTATATTAATAGTATCATACATTTACAAAATGCAGAAAGTAATAATTCTCTATTATAAAAAAAATTTGGTACCTCCTAATACCAAGGCACAATGGAGCAAGCTGACATAAAAGAGAGAACTTGTAACATCAAATAGATGACTTTATTTAGTTAATAGATAACTAAGCATTCGGGAATTTCACGGGATTTAGAAGACCTAAGTTTTCCACCTCCATTCTTCTTTTGGATTAGATGCCTTATCTTGCATCTAACCATTCACAGATATGAGATGAACACCAATGTGGGCCTACTGCCTACTGCAGGCCTGGACAACACACTTTGGGGTGGGTTTTGCAGAAGATAAAGTGGTTCAGCTTGCTGTTAAAACTTCTCTCTTTTATATCAGTTTGCTCTATTGTTTTCTCCTTCTTCTCCAATCAGTATTGAGGTACTAAATTTTACACTAGATAAAATTTGCAGTCCTGAAGTATTACTATGAAGTTCCGACAATTAACATTCAGATGCAGGGTACAGCTGCGCAAGAGGTAAAAATAAATGTAGATGTGCTGGTGCACTACCAGAAAAACCGGTCGTTGTCCCAGGCATGCAATTGGAAACCATTAAAACTCCAAGCAAACTATAGTAAAAAAGACAGGCTAAAACTTAAGGATACATGAATTTAACATTTGCCCTGGTATTTTCAATGAATTTGCAGACTCAATGGACATGGTAGTCACTACCATGAGTCAGCCAATGCTTCCAAGAAAAATCAGCAATCAGGCATTGTGCTCAAATCTATAAAAGCAAATAGATATCATCAAGCAAATAAGAACAGAAAATATCCTATGACTACCAATGCTGCAAAAAAAATCAAGCCCATATCCTGAAGCCCATACCACCGAGCCATCTAGAGGACACTCTAGTGTATCTCACAAGAAACTAATGAATCTTATTGCTGAGAACTAACATAGAAAACAACCTTTATTGCTGAGAACTAACATATAATGAAAAGACTACATCAACAAGAAAACAAAGACCCCACAAAAAAAAGGACTAGATCAGCAAGTACAGCAGTTATTTACCTGTTCTTGATTGAAGCTGCATCCTCCATTTGTTTTCCCTTCACCCACTCACTGGCTGAAATTAAAACTATATTAGAGAGACAAACTTTTTAACCTCAATTGTAATATAGTAATAATGATATTAGGAAAAGCCATGCATGATAGTAAGAATTGTATCTATGCAGTCTAGAGAGAGCCAGCCAATAGCCATTTCAACTTTATAACTTCATAAGCACGCATATTATATCTAAAAGAGACTTCTAAACCCAAAAAAAATTGTATCTCAAGTATGTTTAACTGATTGACACTCCATGCAAAATTAACTTTTTCGGCTTCTTAAACATTGAAGTCAATATATTTTTGGTGCACCCTAAATGCATATCAAGTGTGTCAAATGTTATTGTGACCGCAATGACAGCTAGATTGGCTACATAATGGCAACATGTTAGGAGACAAGTCCAACATGTTAGGGAGACAGCAATTAATTGGATACATAACGGCACGTCCTCATGTTATTACCTAAAAGACACTTGCAAACAATTAAAAGGTCAACAGAGTTCAATTGCTAAATGCGAATTTATGGAATAATGTACAGATATTTGCAGTTTTCAACATAAGAGTGCTTATCACTATCTCAAATCTTAACATAGTAAGCAAGAGCAGTCACTGAATCAGTTGGTTGATCAACCTCAAAACAACTTGTGAGTGATTCAGTGACTGCTCTCCTAACATGTTGGCCTTGTCTCCTAACATAAGACATAGGATCCACAAAGTAATCTGGATACTAGCCGTGGAAATGGGAATTTCTGTGTTAGGATATATGATATCTACAAATATACAATGCCCACACGATATATCTATACCCTATAAAAACTAATATGAACACATTAAGGCAACAGCGTAGAATATTAGAACCAATAGCATCACAAAAAAGTAAGTCAAACTCAATTTCAGCCATCTACTATAATTCTCAGATTCACAATATTGCAATGCTCAGGTAGGCATATTCGTAATTTTGAACTAGCGGGGACGGCACTATTCAATACTAAGGGCTTTGCAATAATAGAATTTGATTGAAATGGAACCAAAACCTACAATAACTTCCCTATTTTACAAATTTCATCGCCACATTCAAGTGCGACATCAGTCACTTCCATCATTCGTACAATTACCCACCAGATTTTCACAAGCACACCGATACTGGGGATCTAGGTTTACTCACCGACGGAGGAGGAGGCGATGGCGGAGCCGCACCCGAAGGTCTTGAAGCAGGCGTCCACGATCCTACCGGACTCCTCGTCGACGCGGATCTGCAGCTTCATGACGTCGCCGCACGCCGGCGCGCCGACGAGTCCCGTGCCCACGTCGGGGTCGTCCTTGTCGAACGTCCCCACGTTCCGCGGGTTGTCGTAGTGGTCCACCACCCGCTCGTGGTACCCCCTCCTCCTCACAACGGCCACCGCCGAAGCCGCCGCCGCCGCCGCCGCCTCTCCAGCGCCGCCGCCCGCCGGGCGCAGCCCAACGCCGAGGAGACGCTTCCCCGCCGCGCGCAGCATCGTCGCCGACGAATTCTCGCCTTGATCGGGATGGAGGGGTCGAGGCGTCTCTGGATTTCTCTCCTCTCTCTGCTTCTCGCCACGAACGCGTGTGCTCCGCTAAATATGGCGAAGATATGGAGTGGCTTCGTGGGCCTCGGGAGAAGCGACACGTGGAGCCCACGTGGGTGGGCGGGCTTACTCCGCGGGGGAGAATGGCGGTTCGGTTCAGCGTGCGAGAGATATGGGCCTTGTAGTATTGGGCCGTGATTTTCTTGACAGATATTTGGGCCTGGGCCTCCTCACTTTCGAGGTCATCAGATCAGGGCTATATGCTGCTTGCCTGCTTCTTCTACACGTCCATGTCCAAGTGTACACGTGCTCTGTCACTCTCGACTTCATCTCGTAGTCACCCTGTCCATTTCATTTTCTAGAGCACGTAACTGTCACGAATTTCTTGTGGCAATCGGTTCGAGAAAAAAAAAACAGCCGTTTTCTTTATTCTGTTCATATCCCCTGTCCGTCTGCATCGAAACTAGAAAAATTGCCCGGTACTTCATCGATATTGAGTGAGTGCAAACTTGAAATTGAATGGATGAATATTGAGGTACTATTCCCTGAGAAAAGAAAGGGGGGAAAATAGGCAAGAAATTCCACCGGATGGCTCTTGTACTGAATCTAATCTCAATGTCAAACAACCCGCGTTACAACAGCGACACCGAGCTAGCTTAGATCCCGTTCTTCTCGGCTGCTTCTTCACATTATTGTTATAGTTTATTTGATCCATTCTTCTCAAAAATGTTTTCTTAAAAAAAGAGTAAATTATATTTGCGGTGCAACAAGGCAGGAGGGTGTAATTTAGCGCAAAAACTTTCTAATTACCGTACGAGTGTAACAACTTGTGAGGACGGTTTCATTTTAGTCCAATAAGTTAAGAAGTGATATGACAATTTAATTATTTTGAGCATTTGATATACATATTTAATTTTTTAGTACTTATTTTGTTACTATACTTGTACGGATTTGCATAAACATATTTAGTTTTTTTATTGTAATAATTGAAAGTCAATTAATCTTTACTATGTAGAAAATATTATACTTCAATTGAGATTTCAGAAGGTGAATAAAAAAATCAAACCGGTGATGCGAATTGGATGTGCCATGTAAATTTTAAATATTAAATTTAAGATTAGGTAATATCCATAGAATTGCTAAGATTAGGCAATATCTATAGAATTGCTATATGATGTTATATTAATATCATGAAAATAACTCGCCTAGTACTTGTTAACCAAAATAGCACGTACTTACATAAGTTGTTGCCCCAGAATATTTCTTGCACTATATAATACACTCATTTATCAAGTTGTTGCACTTAGACATTTATTGCTCTCAAGTTGTTGCACTGTGGGTGTAATTTACTTAAAAAATCTACTGATTGGTTAAACTTTTTTTCTAACCTGTTTTGTTAACTTATTTTTTAAAATATTTAATTTATCTTTATAATCAAGTAGATAGCCCATGATAATAATTCACTCAGAAATCTATTTCTACTATATGGTTCTTGTACTATCTGCACGAATTTATATTAGCATCAGACCGAGAAAAAACAGTGGTTTGCTTGCATCAATTCGTACCCTCTGTTCGTATACATCCAACTAGAAATCGCCCGGCACTTCGCTGGTACTTAAGTGTTGAAATCTTGAAATTCCCCATTAAAAAAATGGAAATTGAGGTTAGAAACTCCACTATATGGTTGTTGTATTAAATCTAATCTGAATGTCAAACAATTGACGTTACAACAGCGTCACCAAGCTGGTATTAAGTGTTGAAATTCTTGTTGGATGGATGACAATTGAGGTGCCATTCCCTGCGGGAGAAAAGGAAAATTGAGGTTAGAACGATGGTTCTTGGACTAAATCAGTAAATCTATTCTAAATGTCAAACGATGCACGTTACAACAGCATCATCGAGCTAGCTTAATTCAACCATGTTTTCATGGCTACAGTAACCAGTTACACACGCTTTCGTTATCTGCTTGTTGGCTTAGACACAGCTAAAATTTAAATTTAGAGTTGATTTTATGAAATATTATGGTCTATGTTTCAGATTTAACTTTTAAACAACAAATTTTATTGCCTTATTTATCTGATATAAAAGATTATGCATGATTTTTTATTGTCTTTTCACATTTCTTTGGATATCAACCTTAGCTCAACCCACCAGCTACGGACGCAAGACAGGAACGAGTTATGGCTGCTAAACTCTGCTCATGAAAGTTCTTAGGAAAGCTTGTCCATCTGGTCAAAGTGCAGAGTCTAGATTAAGATAATTAATGATACGTACATCCGTGACCTCTTGACCTTTCTGCTCTCTATCGTCAGCAAATAACCAATCCATCCAGGACAAGAATTATATAACTTGACATTGCTGTCTTCCAGAGGCCTTGGGTATACAGATGTTGTTCAACAAAAAAAATAGTACATGGTTAGCTATTTTTAAGCTAACCTTACAATGTTTAACGATTTGTCAAATCAGTGAATCAGATATGATTACACATCCCATCCACACTTACGTCTGACGTTGCAAATATTTCTGTGTTGATTAATTGTTGCGATTTTTGGCCTAATCGTTGATTTGGCATGCCCCATGCACCATGCTAGCTGCGAGGTTAACTTACATTAACCGTTTCTAGAGGTTTTGGTGGAACGTCAACTTCAGAATCGATCCATCGCCATGTCCATTTCAGAAGCCTTGCACTTACTATCTTACTGATTGGATGCTGCCATAACAAGTAAAAGATTACTATCGTGTTCTGATATTGGAGAAAGGATGTGGACGACGCTATGCAAGGTTGCCAACTGATGTTGTTTCAAAACATAAGCCCAGTTTAGTTCGAAACTATTTCTTCAAACTTCTAACTTTTCTATCACATTAAAACTTTTCTACACACACAAACTTTCAACTTTTTCGTCACATCGTTCCAATTTCAAACAAACTTTCAATTTTGATGTGAACTAAACACAGCCAGATTCTAGATGACCGGGCTCACTTCTGGACTGAACATTCTTCTATCTGAAGATTTGACCAAAGTAGAGTGCTTGAACTTTCTCGTTGGAGTTGCTGCAACAACTTTTTTCTGGGGTACCAGAGCCATCGTCGATATATTTGCAAACAAAAAGTAATTTGTGAATAAAACTTTTATTATATGTGTTCTTAGCAATCTAAAAGCGAAGACTGAAAAATAAACTTCGATGAGAAAACTTCAAAATCGGCTCCAAATTTAAGTTTGAAAATTCAAATTGCTATGTGTGATAGCACTACTATACCAAACAATTTTGCTATGCTCATCTCTGTTATTTCAGTGAAGATTATGATATCTCTCAAACATCCATGCAAGTAAACCTTTTTGTTTAAGGCTCCAGATGTAGGTGATATATTTAACTGAAGATTGCATGACCTTCTGCCCTTCCATTTTTTTATGTGTCCAAGAGGAACAGCTCATGTTACAAGTTGCATCTTACACCTAAAGTTACTTTATTTTAGAGGGCAATGGCATGTAGCGTCTGCAAGGTGAGTTGCCATGCCTTTGCAAGATCGATGAGGCATTGTCTCCAAGAAGTAGGCCTGAATCTTTTTGCACATGCCTGGATGCCTGATGCTGGTGGTAACAGGGGGACATTTCCAAGACCATGCACTAGAAAAAGTCCCAAATAGTTAGGGAAAAACTGTCTAAATATTATCTTGCTCTTTCAAAAGTTGCCTTGTCTATTCAATTTATCTGTGCATCTCTTTGTTGTATAGCAACTGGAGTGAGAAGATGGTCAGATAGTGGGTCCAAAAGTCACTCGTACAATGATGAAAGCTTACAGCCATACAGTGTTTTCTGATGCTTCTTCAGTTTTGAGTATTTTCTTCAGTTTGCAGCATCATTGAGTTTACAGTGCTTGTCCTGCTTGTTTCTGTTACAAAAAGGAGGTGTTTTCTGAAAGGCCTGAAACAGTAAAAGGGTGCGTAGCTTTTTGACAGGTTTGCATTATATCCTCTTTTCACATGCCACCTGGAAAACATGTTGTACCAGTAAATTGCCATTGCATTCTAAACCAAATTGCATTATGGCAAATTAATCTGATTGTCTCACATGGTCCCAAGCTGGTCTAGCAAATCATCTGAATTTGCCAGGCCGGAATTTTTGTGTCATGAACATGGTCTCTCGGATTGCTATCTCCAGATTCAGTACAGTCTGTCAAAGCTACCAACTGCTCACCAGTCAGCTTCCTCCACCACTGCAGTCACAGACATGCCGTACTTGCCTGTAATTGAGAATGTAATGACTATATCCTGTGTTGCTCAATGGTCCTCACTCCTCACCTATTGGTTATACCTAACTTTACTACCGTACTACTCCCTCCGCTTTTTAATAGTATACTCTACTTCCTCAGTTTCACAAAAAATTCGAGATTCATTATTAGAATTTTATTTTTTGTGAAACAGGGAGAGTACGACATAGGTTGCTTTTTAATTCATTTGAATATTTCTGTTTTTAGAAATATTTCTGCAAATAGATAAGCAAATGGATATGCTTAAAGTAATTTTGATGAAAGTTCTGACGGTACTATTTTCGTTTCTCTTAAAAAATGATGTTTAAAGTTTGAGACAAGAAAAGGTTAAGTGTGTTGTATATTAAAAAACGGAGGTATAAATAGCTAGCTAGTTGACTTCTTCATGCTAAACAATCAATTTCGAAACTTGGATGGGTTTTGGTTGGTCACCACATATGCAATTTTCGTTTCGCAGACCTAACCTTAATTTTGTTGCCTCCAAACTGCTAGCCAAATCTTAGCAAAATTCAGAGATGCACTCCAGGTATTCGGTTAGCTTTAGATATCACAACAAAAAAAGAAGTACAGTGGCGACTGGCGATGATGAACCTATCAGTTCATCCATCAAAGCTGAACTCAAAGAGACAAGGACAGCATCATCAAAGAGCAAGATACATACTAACGAATCACCGCTGTTCAATTGATCCCTTCATCAATGTGATTAGATTCAAGAACATTCCAATACACTGTTGTTCTCTGAAAGTATTAACTAACCTGTTGTTCTCTG